CTCGTCGGGGGACTGGGCCTTGAACTCAATTTGAGGGGGATCCCCGGGAGTATGCTCGGTAATAACGGTATGACACAAGGCAAGAGCCAGCATGAAGTCCTCTGTGCAGTGCTTCTGCCGTTCACCGGAATGTCCTGCCAAGTCAGCCACAAATTTCGGCGCAATGAATGTCAGCTGGTCGTCATGCAAATAAGGGTTGTCATGGATTCCACGCAACAGGCCCAGCATTCGTATCGCGTCGGCAGCAATTTGTTGCCGAGCCTCTGCGGCCTCTGCATCGGCATCAGCTCCCTCGCGACGCCGCATGCCGATCTGAGCCTCCGTGTAAGCCTCTCCATATGCCAGGCCGTTAACCGTGCATTTCTTGAACTCCATCACATTTTGAGTCAAGGTGCCAGTTTTGTCAGAGAAGATGTACTCGACTTGACCGACGTCGTCTGAAATGTTCCAAGACTTAGGCACACAATAGATCCCCAGTCTCTCGTAGTACATGTAGAGATCGCTGTGGATGAAAACTGCTTGGATCGTCCGAACAATTTCAAGAGAAATGTAAAGCGAAATAGGAACCAAGTTCTGAAACAGGATCAAAGCGGTCCAGAAAGTAACGATGCCAGTCACAGGTGGTGAGCCTCCGTAGGACCCATAATCGAAATAGTCTAGAGATTTATTTGGCGCGGCCCATGCGACTCCATTCACAATACCTGCGACAAGACACATGAGGAATAGGATGATGAAGTTGTATATGACGTTCCAGTTGAGAGCCTTTGCCATACGAGGCCGTTTGGCTGGAGTCGCACCGGAGTTGAGCATGATCTTACTCTCTCCGCCGGTGAAAAGCACGACACCAAGAACCCATTCGGTACTCTTCAAACTGCAACCACGGAGCAAGATGTTGTTGATAGAGATGGGCTCAACCATCTCCTTACGGGGGGCTTCAGGAAACTTTGGATCACGCTGGTCCCAGCGCACGGCACCATTGTAAGAGTACAGATTGGCATGCGGGGCCTCACTTTCGATAACAAATTCGGCCTTCTCGCAGTCTCTGGCATGTCTAACTTGACGGCCACAGTGAAGAGCTTGGCGGACCTTCAAGTTAGTCTCTCCATCTAGGCCTTTTGTTTCGACATAACAGGCACCATCCGGGTCAGAAGTGGACAAAATAACGATATCAGCTGGAATCGGATCTTCATTGTACAACCGGACAAAGTCGCCAACTTGCAGACTTTTCCAGTGCTCACGCTTAAACCGAGCCTTCCCGGATGTCTGCTTGAACATATCCAAGACGGTTCCATGTTTCTTGTCCGGCGTAGGCTCCACGACGCTCTCTCGAGCTGCGCTGGCGGGAGACAGATACTTGTTTTCGGGATTACTCATCATCGGCCAATCTTCGCGAGCTTCAGGCTGAGGAGATGGGACGTCGGTCAAAGGAATGGCAACGTCTTCGGCGACTATGGAGTTGCGCTGTGTATAAATCGACGACCGAGGATCTGCTGTACTCAAAAATGAGCCGCGTCTTTGCCCTCGGTTGTCATCTCCGTGTTGTTCCTTCTTTTGGAATTGAGACACAAGCCACTTATACGAGGCAATCAAACCTCTGGTACAAGCCTTCTTGACACGACGCCATAAATCAATGTTTTCTTCTGTCGAATTGACATTGTTCCACTCGACCAGTCTGTAAACCGGAGAATTATTCACTTGATTGTCAGACACAGTCCGTCCCCAATCCTCAATAGCATCTTTGATAGCCGTCACAACGATAATAACGATGAGAGGAACGGCGTTCAGGCCGGGGTTGTTGGCACCGAAAATTGAGAAGAACTAGAATGTCATCAGCCAAAGGGAATTGTGGTTGGAGCTAGGGAACCCATTTTGTCGCTACATACGTTAAGAATGATGACGAACAAGAAATAGATGTTCGCAATATTGTGAAACTGTAGCCAGATGTTGTAGGGAACAAAGGTGAGTGCCGTATACTTGGCAGTGCGAATTTTGTTTCTGGGATACGTGATGCGCAAATGACCGTCCTCGTCGCGCTCGGATTCCGGGATGGGAATGCTGAAGTAGATTCTCCGATTTAGTCCTTCTTGCGGGGTTTCGGGTCCACTATTGGCTGAGGTGCTTGTATTGGTCGATTTTCGCTTTTCATCTCTCATATCTGATCGTTTGTGGAAGCGATCAATTATAGAAACACGTTTCTTGATGCCTCCAGCTCCAGGAGCTCGCGTGGTGGCCCATCTTTGTCGTTGAGTTGGCTTGGAGACATTGCTGCTGACCTCCCCGACATCACCACCTTGCTCGTTGTTGTCCTCCCCATTGCTGTCCTCCCCATTGTTCCCAGGGAAGCGCACGGAAGCCATCTAGGCTAATTATGCGCCCCAAAAGGGCATGAAAATTGACAGAAACTTTGTTTATTGATAGCAGACAAGCATCCGGTTTCGATGGCCGGATTCCGACAGCGCTAAGCGCAGGGTAAGATTGCCGGTCTGGGTGCGTTCACGGGGTTGATGGCGAGGGTAACACAATTTCATGAGCGACGTAAGTCTTGAGCAAATAAGGGGTTCTAGGTGCGCGTGTTGTAGATGTTTTTGTCGAAGGGCTTCGAGAAATCGTCCAAAACTATTCAAAACAGGGTTTCCGCAGCCGATCGTGATGGAAGATGATTGTAATGCGAAAACCGAGGGTTATAGGGCGCACCCAAAAGGGGCCATTCAAAAATCTGAAGTGAAAAAATGAAAGAAAGAGAAGAAGCACCAATGTGGTTATTTTGTGCTTCGAGGGGTGAGAGAGAGAGATGGAGTACCCGCCTGAGCTTACCCTCTCGAATGGATCTCAGTACGGAGTACGGGAAAGCATGTATTGTTATTACCACCTGTCCGTGGATGCTTACCGATGGGCCGGGCCAAGATACCTTTGCTTTGTCATCCAAAGTGGTCTTGGCAGAGAACTTTTAAACACGTCAACGGCCATTTTGATATCATTTGGGTATAACTTGGGTATGACTCGGGTGTGATTTCATATGACATGTTTTGATTATGTTTAAACTGCAAGTTTCTCCTGTTTTAGGCAACTTTAGGCATCTAAGTCCTTGTCATTTCCAGCAGGCCATTTATCACCTAGGGCTGATGGGCGTAGCTAGCCAGGTATTCAATCTCGGCCTCGGGACAATACGTGTAAATTCCGGTATTGATGGTGTCCAGCCCGTTCCGGCCTACCCCCTAAATTTCTGACAGTGGCAATCGGGGTACTCGGCACTTGAACTCTGGGACGCTCAAAATACAAAGCAATCAATATGCGTAGGATTGAAATCTTGATCGCTTAGAGGGTAGGTAATGAAAAATGACTTTTCTTCTTTTTTTGGCCTCCCTTCTCTACTGCGCGTAGGGGCACTGCCACTGTCAGCATTGCGATCGCCTACAATTAGGCTTAACGGGGTATCAACCACCGTAGCTCTAGGTACGGAATTTGGATGCCCCAGTTCTTCACTAAAAAAAAATTCATCGGCATCCGATTGATCCGTACTCCGTAATTTGTATGCTGTAGCAGACTCTGGAGTAACGGTTATTGGCCCACAGCTGTTGTGTCTTCGCCCCCACTACGAACTATGTTGTACCAATTTAACCGTTGAGTTGACATTTTCTACCGTTGCAAATCTTATAGATCTAGGTAACATCAAACTGAATGCTAAATAGAAATTCTCCTGTCTTGCTTGCACTCATGTGATTAAAAATTGGAGTTTTGATAAAATAATCGGACAATGTCGTGGGCACGCACAATGGACTTTCTTTTTCTAACGCCTCCCCTAATGATATCAGAGACCCAGAATTTCGGGGTCGGAGCACCAATCCTGAAACAACCGACACGGCACGAGCTTCCCGGTCCACCTGACTCAGCTTTTGATTCTTTTTTTTTTCCTCTGATAGATGGGTCATGGGTACGGAGTACGGACTCCGTAGCGTCTGCCAAACTCCCAAGGCTCACTTGCACATGGGTCAAAATATCACTGGACCCGTTGTTTTTAGTCACGTGCACTAGTTTTCTTCTTACCTTACCGGCTCCTTGTTTCTTGGCAGAGAAAGAACTCTTGGCTTCAGGAGAATAATTCAAAAGAGGCCCGATGATCATCGTCCTCATACAGAGCAGGGTTCACGGTTGCCGGGGAATTTGTGCTTCCTCCCCCCCTTTCTACGGGGTGCCAGCCCTAAAAGCACCTATGTCTCACGGGTGTGTTACTCTAGAAGGTTGAGGTGCAGATCTCGAGGCAAGGCTCTAAATTAAAAGCAGATGTAGCTATATTTACTCTGTCCCCAGTACAGCGTTCGAATGGTGTGTTGATACAATACAGTTGTATAACACAGGTGTCGTCAGCCCGACCACGAACTATGTACACTAGTGGACCAGTGGGCCCGATGTGTAGCGTACTATCGCCTTGACTAAACTTAATTGGAGTTTTACTACCTGCAGGACTCGACTGACCTAGAGAAAATATCAAAAAGAATCTGCCACTCTTATCTCAAAATTGAATTTCAAACGGAATTTGTACTTCGACATTTGGTATCCATAAAAATGGATGGAATGAAGTTTTCGGTGCTCCGTAGCAATAGAAATAAATAGTAGACTGGATCACCCGCAGATCGACGCCACTAGGAATGTGGCAGTTAGATCTACAACAACTGCACAATTTTCAACTTGTGACATGCTTTGCACAACTTAGCCAAGATTTTTCTAGGTATGAGGTATGGATTCTCAATGTACGGAGTACTCCACACAGATTACATACGTGAGTTTAATGCTCTCAATTGGACCCCAACCTGAGTTCCGGTCTCGAAGAACCTTGATCGTCTGAACGTTGTTGCTCCGTCCAGGTTCCACTTAACCAACTATCCGAACAAAGAAAACCTAGCTGAGTCAGCAGTGTTCATGTGACACCGCGCTGAATCGGCGCGTTCGACGACGCGAGATGCCTCTTTAATTTCTAAGGAAAATCCTCGACACACCCCATCATGCGGACGATAAAGGATTTATGGTTTAACAGGCCTGCATTCACTAGTGTCAACTCGAACAGCACACCTGAGAAGAATGAAAGCGCAGAACTCGCAATCGAATCCTCACCCCTCACCGAACCCCCCTCTTCCTCGGTATTCGATCAGATATTACCAGAATCCGAACAAGACGCTGAAGCACACTTAAAAATGGCGCTGTATCTGACAACCCAGGATAGCGTCCTTCAAGTCCCTACATTGCATCAAAGTTTCCAAAGCATCGATTCAGCCACCGGGGCCTCATATCTGAACGAGAGCCTCAACGGATCTCAGCGCATCATAAAGGATGGCAGAGAGGTAGTCATCAGCTCTGATGGAGAAGATACTGACTCGATTTGTTCGTTGGAGGACCCAAAGAATCTTTTCGCTCCGAAGTCCATGAAAAACGACTTTACACCGGCCAAATTCACCATGAAGAAGATATCATCGCCAAAGAAATACAGACACAACATTGACTCTCTCGTTCACGATGCAGTGGATGATAATAAGGTCGAGGCCAGTGTAGCTCGGGCAAAAGCAAATTTTGTACAGAAGCAACCGAACGGCAACGAGCCAGGAAACGACCCGCCCGGCACTGTTCTGAATGAATCCATGTTAATCTCAGCACTCGGTCAGAATGAAGACGGTGTTGGAGGCCAACGTCTGATAGGTGCTATTAGACGAACTGATGCTCTTGACCTCGGCCGCGCGTGGCCATTTTTTGATTGCACACAAACACTGGCACCGGCCCCCAAATTCCCACAGGATATGTTCGCACCTGGGACGAGCATGGAAATTTTAAGGGGTGAGCTCTGAATGAGACAATATGAAAATTTTCGTGTGTTGACCAATTTGCAGAGTCCGACACTCGCGAGCGCCAGTTCATGTCAGGCGAATTCATTCAGATTGCTTTGTCCAAAGGACTTTTACCAGACAAATTCGTTTTGTGGCTATTTCACTCTAGTTTGTCTTTCAACATCTGTTTTCCATTTACACGAAGTTAACATGTTTTCAAGTACCCCATGAACGTCGAGAGGAATTGAGTAATGCTTATTACCGGATTATTAAGGTTTGCAAATTCTCCTATATCCAACTTCCATTAGAATTTGGACTAACTATATGATTCAGAACATGGATGTGCAGCGCCTAAAGTTGCTCATTCGTCCAGTCGATATTAATGAGCTTTTCACACGATTAGGTGCTCGGAGCCAGGCTTTGGATCCTTCCAAGGAAATCATCCCAGTCCTTTCCCAATGTATGATTTGACTATCTTCCTTTGGCTCTGTGACTCCCTAATGAATGCTGGCAGATATCACTCCAGCTTCCACGTTAAAAGATCATGTTTCGTTTGTTTCAGTCCTCAGATTACTAAGAGAAACTGCTGGCTTGTAAGTTTCCACTCCCAAGTCTCTAATAACGCGAGGCTTACAAATTTTTAGATTAGCAGAAGATACTCAAGAGCAGGTGGTGCTCCTGCTCCTACGTCTTACTCTTGATGCCTCATTGACAACGGATGCTATGGTATCATCGGAGCTCCAGTGGACCATCAATGCTGTATTAGATCCTGAAAATTTCCATGAACCCAGTGCTAAAGATTCGGTGCGTATTCTCCTGTCTGTTGCACCACGTTCAAAGCTAACGACACCAGCTGCAACGTGTCTGCGCTACTCTCTACGCTACAACATGTGATGTTTGCATTCAGAGTCAAATTGTGCATCACATATTGCCCACATCTCCATGGTTTGCACTGATACGATGTCGCCTGGCCGTTGCGTTTCTGTTACGGAGTGCTAGCCCTCTTGCTGAACCCCCTGAAAAGTTGCTTGATATCAAGCGTATCACACTGTTACTGCTCCGCGATGAGCGTTTCCAGGTGAAGCGTTTCAAGAATATAGCCGACTACGACTGGAGGGAATTAATTTCACTCACAGCTCTTCTTAACGTCGCGATTGATTCGTCTGCGTTGGATATAAATTTCAGACGTAGTCAAACTGAGAAAGACTATGATGCTGCCATCGACAGGCTGGCAGCTCAGATCAAGTTGATCTTCTGCTCTATTCAGGATTCCGGGGCCTCACATGTGACACGAACGGTGGCAAAAAGTGAACTCGAGGCCTTGCACTACCGAATTGTCTACTCAGTTCGGTCCAAGCCACCGCCGAAAACCACCATTTTCGAGTCGCATGTAAAGGAGAGGGATGGCAACATTCGGAGCCATTTCGGCAACTTTGCTGCGATTGCTGCTAGAAAGCAAAATCAAGAGACCGGGCAAGAAACGATTCCGTCTGCAGCGCCAGGCGACGCGGATTATGGTGATGCAGAGATTCCCATCCGCACGCATGATCAGGTATCCTGAGCATTTCAGCAGTTCAAGTCCCAAAATTTCCATCCACCTGACGAAACAGAAACGCTGTACGAATGAGTTGATGTGTTGAAATACCCAGCTTTTCCTTCTACCGCCAACCTTGAACTTACGACCCTTATGAACATGCCCCCGAGAGCGACATTCTTCCTCCGACGCTTTTTTTTTACAGAATCCTAGTGTAGTCCAGAATTAAATACGAAACAAAAATGATCGCTAAAAGAGTTCGATCATATATCAGGTCATACATGGGCTGTGCAAACAAAGCCCCCTCTGTCTATGAAGGTGGGCAAGAGAGGCAAAGATAACCCGAACTATAACACACGAAATACAGCAGTCGCAAACGTGAAACCCAAGATAGAAAATTATTCACACTTAGTCGTAGAATTTCCGATTCTGGTTCTTGCCGAAGAGCATCTCTCGGACTGCAGGGAGAGCATCGATTTCCAGCAACCGCAGACGCTCCTCAAAAGTGTTGTTGATTTCAATCTTGCCTTGCCCACCGACAATGAACACACCACCAGCACTGTAACCAGTTAGTCTCCTTGACGTAGATTGGTAGGGGGAGCGAAGAAACTCACGATCCCTCTGGCAATGGCTCCGACTCATCCAAGGTCACGGTCACCTCTGAGCCAACATGGTCCTTGTACTCCTTGGCCGCCTCCTCAATGGCATTTTTAGTAACATCAAAGTCCTTCTTCCGCGAGCGAATTGCAACGTTGTCCTCGTTTAGGTAATACAGGCCTTCGAGGACCAACCCCTTGAGCATGACCTGGTATTTCTTCTCATCGTCGGCAGCTACCTTAGAAACCTTCTCACGGGCATTTTGGAACAGCTCATCAAGCAGTTCCTGACGACCACCGAGCACGCGGAGTCGTGTCTTGTTGGCGAGTGTGGACCGGGTGATCTGCTGGGACATGGCGGCCTGCTTGAACTTCTTCTCGTAGAGGGTATCGATGGCCGCAGTTTCCTGGCGTACCAGCTTAGACTTTTCGATCGCAAATTCTTCATCGGCCTTCAACTGGATCTCTCGGGCCTTCTCAAGGGCTTCTTGCTTGATGAAGGCGGTCATCTTGCGGAGCTCGCCCGCGACCTGGATTCGATGGCCATCAGTCCAACCCAAGCTTTCCGGGACCTAGAGTAAACGATGGACATACCTGATCATCTGAAAGAGCATGGCTTTGTGACATTTTGGCGATTCAGAGCTGTATAGCTTGTTGAGGGTGGAATGACGTGGGGAAGAGGGAAAGGATGTTGTGTCCGACTGAGCTCGGATTGCGTTGCCTTGGCGTTCCGCATCCATGTCCTCCGCACTCCCCCTCAATAACTTGCCGTTTCAGCTTGATCCTGTTATCTCCTATAGTTTTATCTGAGTCATGGCTTCTTTACTCCGGTAGTTTATTCCACTTGATGCGTTTCTCTCAATTTTCCCTCGACCCGACCAATGCACAATACACAAGATGAGCAATCTAGGTGACTTGTCGCCGGAGGGAAGTGTTGCGGTAAGACCACGGAAATCAAAATATACTGTGAGAAAGATGATAAACTAAAGCAAACATCAGGTTGGTGTAATCGTTGGTGTCATCTCAACTAGCCTCCAGGCTATCGGACTTACGCTCCAGCGCAAATCGCATCTGCTCGAGGACGAGAAACACCCCTACGATGTGCGCAGACCCCCCTACAAGCGCCGACGATGGCAGTTAGGGATGGGAATGTTTGTGGTTTCCAATATTGTTGGAAGTACCATCCAAATCACCACCCTTCCGCTACCAGTTCTCTCGGCCCTCCAAGCGGTCAGTAGTTCCCCTTCTATTTACGGCGGAGATCAGTTGCTGATGGGAATGCCGATTAGTCTGGACTAGTGTTCAATACTGTATTCGCGACACTCATACTCGGTGAACCCTTTACCCGATATTCTCTCGCAGGCACCATTCTCGTCTGCATCGGCGCGTTGTTGATTGCGACCTTCGGCGCCATCGGGGAACCCGCGCATACCTTGGATCAGCTCCTTGATCTCCTCCAGCGACGGCCATTCCTTCTGTGGATGGGCGCCACTAACTTTCTGGTTGTTGTGGTACTTCTAGGTACCAAGATGCTGGAACGCTTCGTGCCGTCATCACGCGCGAAACCCTCGGCCTCAGGTCATTTTTCACCACATCTGCTGCGACTGCAAAGTCGCATGAGGTTGATCCGCGGCATGAGTTATGGATTTATAAGTGGTATACTGTCAGCTCACTCCCTTTTGCTGGCAAAATCGGCAGTGGAGCTTCTCGTGCGCACAGTAGTGGACCGCGTGAATCAGTTCAATCGTTGGCAATCATGGGCTATCCTACTAGGGATGATCTCCCTGGCGCTCACACAGCTGTTCTATCTCCATCGTGGGCTGAAGCTGTGCAGTACTAGTGTACTATATCCTTTTGTGTTTTGCATCTACAACATCATTGCCATCATGGATGGCCTGATCTACTTCCGGCAAGTGTCTCAACTAGCGGGCATCCACGCCGGTCTCATCGCTCTAGGTACGATGGTCCTTCTGGGTGGTGTGTTGTGCCTATCGTGGCGTCTTGAGGATATCGATGCTCATGCCGCTGTCACCACTGTGGGTTCCACGCAGACCGGACTTGGGCCGGGCATGGCAATCGTGGAAGAGCACTCTGCGACATCACCTGGGTTGCTGGATGGCCAAGATGAGGAATCACAGATCGGAGAAAGCGAGCCACTTCTCAACTCAAAGGCCCACACTCGACATCTTTCATTTCAGCGAGGAAGAACTCCGAGCTTACCACTTGATCTACATTTTGATCGTGGCTCTGTCGATCTTAATCCCGCGTCTATTTGGGCTGAACTAGATGATTCGGAGTATGAATCCACTGATTGCCACGGACGACCGTCGACAGACGGCCTACGCAGCGTCAGAGGCAACGCAACTCTAAATGGCTCATTGCGGGGTCTAACGCGACACTCGACGATCGGCGCTACCACGCACGGTCGTGAATGGGGATCTCGCCGAACCCAGGGATCGCTGCGTAGGAACTCATGGCGTTGCACCTCAGCACCTCACAGTGGGTTATCGGCCGCGCATCGCAAACGTCGGGGGACCGGGAGTCTGTTAACAACGTCCAATCAAGAGGTCGGTGGGTACGGAACCATTCAAGAGGATGGCGACGATACCCACTGGCATGATAACGTCCCTAACCGTCGTTCGTCCGGAGCCAGGTCTGGTCTTCTTTTTGGCTCAAGGAAGGCTCTGGCAGGTGCCTGGAGGTTTGGCAGAAAACTTCTGTTTCGATGGAGCAACCCGCAGGCAGGCAGTCAGGCTGAGATTGACCCAGAAGATGGCTCTTCCTCGTCCCTACTGCCGCACTCAGTCGTTCCTCTTCCCCGAACACGTCATACACAGGGAATCCCAGTCACTGAATATGACCCCCTGAAGCCATCGTCATCCCCCTGACGTTTTTCCATAATATCCTCTCCCTAATTACCTCCATATAGCACCTACCTTCGCTCCGACTTGTCAATTCTCTATCCCCATGACACCATCCCTATCTTTTCTTCGCTTCTCGCCCTTTCGATGCCCATGTAAAGTAGTCCTTCTTCCTCGGACACCCCGCGCGCAATCCACTCATGTTGCTTCTATCGCTCTTAGCTCCCGGTCGAGAAAAGACTAATCTCGATCTCACTTTTGTGTCCCGCCATCCACTGTCAAGATACTATGATATGATACCACTCGATCGATTATATAGCTCCGCACGAACGAATACAAGACCTTGATATAATGTACTCACGCTCTCTTGACTACACGCCATTAAAGGAAATGCCAATTGTCCATGTATTTATTCTATCATCGGCTATGGCGATGATACAAAGGCCCCAATCAACCAATCACAATGCCTGCCCCAAAGTCAGTATTGGTGGAATTGACCTCTGACATGCAGGTCAGCGAACTTTCCTTACTCCCTCCCTATGCACGCCGAGGCAAAGAAGTCAAATCGGCCGTGTTTAGAATAAAGCACCCGTAGTCATGCAGAATACAAAAACAGAAATGAACCTTGTTGAAAATAGGAGGTTGGGTTTTTATATATGTCAAACAACTTGTGTAGCAATTCCAACGCTTACGGATTGCTCGAGCAGTACTTTTGATATCTTGACCACGTAAGAAACCATGGGTAAAGACCACGTAGCATAATAAAAATTAATTGAAAGTGAGTAGACGCCATGCTGTGAGTGGATGAACTGTTCCTATAAGCTGTACATTGTACTAGGACCTCACACACTACAGGAGGGAGATAGAGCAGAACCCCAGTCTACATCTATAGATCATAACAACTACAAGCAATAAGACAGTCCAGAGGGACAGAATCCGATTGCTCCATACCATACATCATGTAAGCCAGCCAGGGCCATAGCGGTACAAAATCCGACCCAAATGTCATCGAAAATCCGTCACAACAAAGACAGACCCCACGGCATGGAATCAAGAAAAACATTTAACACACAGTTTGAGATTAGACAATGAGGAAAATAACATAATCAGTGGCCAAGGAAATTGTTAAAGACTAAAAGAGCAAAAAGAGACTAGAGAGGAAAAGCCACTTCGCCGACGAGTTTCAATGCACCACAAACACCTCCATCCTCCGCCATTGTCTAGGTAGAGGGAGGAAAACAAAAGCTAAATTAGCGATGAAGCCCAGATTTGCCTGCTTGCGCTCTCTTTCTCTTTTCTTGAAGTTGGTTGCTTTTTCGTGACGGACATTTTTTTTTGGAGCAAGTGTTTTTTTTTGGGGGGGGGTTAATGGAAAGCCATAGTTCTCAGCAAGTTGGGGTTCTCCTTTTTCCGAGATAGAAAGCAATATCAAAAAGGAAACCAGATCCAGTATCATCAAAGAGAGACTGGAAGGAGATTCCAGCGCGGTGCTTGACAATTTACAAATAGTCTCACGAGAGTGCCCTGGAGAATGGCGCATGCAGATACAGCGCGACCATTTCCGAGGGAAGAGTGGGATGATGGATCGGCATAGAGAGAAACGGGTATCAAATGAACGCGAGATCGAGGCGCAGGGAGGAAAGAACAGAGAAAAAGACGCAACATCAGGGACCTTGAGCAGGAAGGAACCCACAGATCAGATCATAACTTGGGCATTTAAGCAGTGGGTTGGTGCTGGGGTGGCATGCGACCGCCGACCGGCATGGGGTACTGACCACCAGCCTGCTGTTGCTGCTGCTGGAGGTTCTGGTAGTACGCCATCTGCTGCTGCTGCTCGTTAGTCATGTACCCAGGGTGAATACCAGGGCGCATATTCCCCTGGGGCGCGTTGACGTTGTTGTGAGCCCCATCTTCGGGGGCCTCGGGGGCGACATCGGGGGCGTCAACGCCGTTCTCACTGGCGGCTGGGTCGGGAGCGTTGAGGCATGCCTGTCAGAGTGTTACTGGATGAAAGACTATCATTAAAGCAGACAATAGCTTACCTGAATAAGGTTCTTGCCCTCGGCTTTGGTGACCAGCGGCTGAAGTTTGGGAGTCGTGAAAGTGTAGACAAGGCCGGTCTCGGAGACGACCAGCAGGAGAACTTGAGTGCCAGTCAAGACCGAGAGTTCATAAGCCTATAGAGTCCCGTTGTGGTTAGTAGAAGTCCCAATCAATCAAATGGTCAAAGGAGCCTCGTTCGGGAAACTGATGCGGAGGCCTCGGGACGCGACGCACCTTCTTCATAATACCGGCCTTCCGCTTGGAAAAAGTAATGTGCCGACGCGACTTATCCTGAATAAACTTGATCTCGATCTTGCGACGTTCACGGCCGGGCTTGTCATCATCATCATCTTCATCGTCGGCGCTCATCCGGTTGCGCTTGGTACCACGGGCATCGGCGCCGTTGCCGGGAAGATCATCGTGACCAGGGGAAAGCTTTTCGTCAAGAACAGCAGACATATTGGCAATAAAGGAGAAACAAAAGACGTTTAATATGGGGGGGGTGGTAGTAATGATTTGAGGGGGGGGGTACCGAAAGGGGAAGGCAAGTGATGACCCAATCGAGTAACGCGTTTATGGGATATGAGAGAAAGGGAATGGGGGAATTGATGGGGGGGGGGAAAGAGCGAAGAAGGCAAAGTGCGAGTTGCGATGGGCAGGCGGTCTGTTACATGGACCACGTGATATTTTAGTTTAGGTACAGCCTGTACGGTCAGATTAATCGGGGGTACTTCTGACACGAGTAATTTTAATGTGAGATGAATGTACAGCTACTTTTCAATCTGTACTGTATTGTAATTGAGTTATATTCGCCTCCTTTGAACCAGGCATGATTCTTGGCTCTGACCGTTCATTGGTTGGTTCTCCTTTCGGCCCCCCATTTGTCCTTTTTTGCCCTTTCCCCTCTGGTCTGGACTCCTTTTCCTTTGTTGATTCCCAGTTGATTGCTCTTTTTGATTTGAGCGTATTAATAAATTAAAACAATTTATATAACAGATTACTCTTTTGGATGTATCTTTCTATACTTAGAAGTCCATTCTATCTCACATGCCTCGAGAGGGACCTTCTCAAAGGTCCGCTGCTATGTGATTGGCCATTTCACCATGAAAACATGCCTATGAGCATCCTTCATTTTCTATCGAGACTATCGTAGAAACACCCTATTTCGAGGTTACATCTACAAAGTGGAATTTTTTTTTTAAAAAAAAGAGATAAGAATAAAATTGAGCTCACATCACACAGGCGCGGGTCGCACCTGCTTTGTGGCACAGAATCATAGCCCTGTATACAACACAACGTACTCGCATGGCTGCATTCAGAGTACATCGTAAATAGTAAAGGGCAATCCCCCTTGTCGTTACTTTCTTATCTCTCTTATAACTCCCATTCCTTTCAGATGACAACCGCAAGAATCGATCTTCCATTCATCATTGTACAGCAAAGTACCGAATCCTAGGCTACGGTGTCGACACTCCAACAATAATCCCCAAATATCTCATCTCCCCTTGCTCCGTACTTCGTACACACACATGCATGCCTTGCATGGAGCCCGTAGAGCCCCTAGAGATACTTTGGTTTCTCACACATGTACTCCGTGGATTGGCCAGGGCTCACAGGAATCAGGGTGACTTGGTCAGTAGGCCTGTAATGAAAGCCAGGGCAATCCAGTCGAGGCTAGATCCCTGATTTTTTATATTATGATTCCTATAATTACTCCAACGTTAACGCAGTGCAACTCTAGCATTCCTTCTTACCTGTTGAATTGGATTGATGTGGTTCTAGGCATGAAGCATGAAATCATGAACATGTTTTGTCCCTTGCACCCAGGTGGCTATCACACGGCCGTGCTGAACGGTGGCAGGGTTCCTGAATCACATCGGGAGGCCTGACAGCAAAGACCGACTATTGTGAACTGTTTCTGAAAGGATGACGATTTTTCCCGAATCCACATCGCAACAATAAGCTACCTAAGCCGATCAACGGGCCGATCCGAGAAGCCCTAGACCCAATGCAGCGGAGACGTGCTCAAGTCGCTTCAGGATTCCTTCCCACATACGGGGTCACTAAAGAATCTTTTGCACCAACGCAGAATTGACGAAAACTGATCATATTCTTCGCATAATGAACAAAAGTTCAACGCTAATCACCAACGGAGACCCCAAAAGGGTCTGCTATCAAGTCTATTTTTACAGAAACGATGCAAGGCATGGGGCACGGAAAGTGGCTTTTCTCCAAGGCGCACCGAAGACCGCAGACAAGGAGAAAATAAAGACAGAAGGAAAGATAAGAGCAAGGCCAAACCGATTAGGTGTAGCAAGTCTCCGCCAAGTCCCTGCAGGGTCCCAAGAATAGGGAAGAAGACGGTAAAAAAAGCCACTGGACATTTCAAAAATTGGAATACACCATCAGGATATAGAGGGAGCACGCAAGTCCGCCAGCTTCCTGCACCTTACTGGACTCCGCCAATGCAACGCCGGATAAATAAAACAGAAACTTGAGGACGCGGAGGGCAAGCCACGATCACGAGTCTCGTCCGGAAAGGAAAAGGGCTGTGAGTTTGGTCGATTTTGCAATCACATTGGGCCGGTGTCGTAAAGTCGGGAAGGGAAAAAAAAGGGCAAAAGATGTGTAGTATTTTAGAAAATAAAAAAAAGCTGAATCATGTGCAACGAAGTGAAGAGGTACGAACAACAGTCCCAAGGACCAGCCTCAAGTAGTAGCGGTGCAAGATTATTGCTGGTAAGTGCCGCGAAGGTAATGGTCACTCACACCACCGCCACCACCGCCCTTGGGACCGAGCCAGACGATCTCAATCACGCTGTGGCCCTCATCTTCTTCGCGAACGTAGAATTGGTGCACATTCTCACCAACCACGAATGCGTCACGGAGCAACCACCGATCCTTAGCAATACCCTCTTCCTCTGCAGGACGCAGGGGACCCAGGCGCTCTTCATATCCGCGGGGGTCTTCGGGCCAGGTCTTTTCGGTAGCATCGAAGTTGATAGCATCATCAGGCACGTGCTCGCCGTAAGTGTACTTCACCAGCGAGTAGCCATTTGTCATGACCCAGAAATGGCGGAGAGTCTCGCCAGTAACGCTGTTCACGGTTTCCTCCTGATCAAAGACCCAGCGACGGAGAACTGACTTACGGCCTGCGGCAGCAGACACGGTGGTCATCTTGACCACGTCCTTGGTGTACCAACTGTTCCAGTGGTGCATGGATTCGATCTTGCGACCGGACTCGTAAACACCATCCACGGGGTCTGCCATGTCCATCTGGTAGAGCGAAGGCCACAAGGTCAAGGGGGTTTCACCGAAGCGTTGGATACACTGACCAAGCTTCTGGTCACCAGGTTGCTCACCCCAGGACTGGCACTCGTCATAGTGCTTCATCAGGACATCCAAAAGAGGCTTCGAGACAAACACACCGGCACCACCGAAAGCAATGTGACCGAAGGTATCCACCTGCCAGCTGGCCTCAGACAAAGATCCAACGTAATGCTTCTTGCTCTCATCAAAGAGCTTCAGTTCCTCAGCAATAGTGGGGAGCGACAGGAAGAAGGTGTCGTCGTCACTAAATCCAACCCATTTGGTATGCGGGCGGTGCTTGCGAATGTGCTCGGTGAACGCCTCGACCATACCAAAGTAGCGGGCAGTGAAGTCGAGCGGAGAGGCCTTGAGTGTCAAGTCCAAACCGCGGTTGCGGAAGTAAGTCTCTTGCTTCTCCAGGTCGTCGTCAGATTCCGGGACCAGAACAAGCAGACCGGCTTTGGTGTTTCCGTAGGAGTAAAGCAGAGAGGGGAGCAGGCGGTCCAGACGGTCGACTGTAGTGGCCAAACCGAACAAAAGCTTGGAGGTCTCCTCGACGTCGTCATCGGCGGCTACATCGACGTCAATAATCTCTGGGCAAACGAAGTTTTCCGGCTTGTTCTCGGGAGACACGACCATACCGCGCTCCATGACAACCATGGGCGGGAGCACAGACTTCTCGATTTCCTCCAAGGTGTGGAATTCGGTGCGAGGGTTCACATGACGAGGCCGGAAATAGGCGCGAGTGTAGTTCTTGCGCGGGAGCCATTCGGAGAAGGGTAGGGGGGCGGCCAATTTCGGATCAGCCTCACAGGTGTTGCTGGTCGGCTGTTGCGAATCAGATTGTGCCGGCGTTTGTACTTGAGGTTGCTTATTTCCACTGAAGGAGGTCCGATCAATTGGGTGCTTGAACCGAAGGAAAGCTGAGCGGTCGTAGCGTTCCATGCAAAAGAAGAATATTCCAATGATCACTAAAGCTACCAAAGGGAATACCGCCTTAATTCGAAAGAGAGGCATTTTGGCTTTCCCGGTGTTGACTGACGACTTTTCAAACATAAAGTAAAGAAGGCGACGCGATATGGAGGGTAGATGAACCCTGGAATTAAAAGTTATGGGTTCGGCGTGCAAGGTATCGTATCCCGGGAATCTCGAACAGAAAAAGCCGGTATCAAACCCCAATTCCGACTAAAAGGAAGAGTCAAATAAATGAGTGTTCCAAGAGTGGATTAAAGAGTGGCAGGCAAATAAAGTGCCGAGATATCTCAACGAGAGGCTGGCAGCGTCGGGACCTGCGACACGGTCCAAAGGGGGAGCGTTTGTAAAGAAGAAGCGTGGTTGGAGGAGAGTAAAGACGCAAGACTAACGCGGCTGGACGATATGCCCAGTCCGAGTGAAAAGTCGATGAGAGGATGGAGGATTGTGTCGTGAAGGTGTTGTAAGAGGAAAGAAAAAGGGAGGTAGCCGAAGCAATTAACGGGACAGGATTGGCCGTGTATGAGTATTACCGTAATATATCATTTAGGTCTTTTCTATTTTTCTATTCGTTCTCTAGTTACATCAATGTACATGTGTACATATCTGACGTTGCGCCATCCGACGTTTTTCATTTGATACGCTGTCAGTGATTTCAGAAGATGTTGCAGCTTAGATTTTGATATCTCGGTATTCACCCCCCCCCCCCGGTTGCGGTGTTGATGCCAAGTTGGGATGCAGGAACAGAACCCTTCGATAAGACCACCTCAAATGATATGTGGCTTATACTTTGCTTTCCCTTTGCTTTATCTACCTGTTAAATCTAAGTGCCGATCATGACGAAAAATGGAATGCTGTTTGGCCAGGAGTGATCATCCCCTCCCAGCTTCAGTGGACTACGCCGCCATGTCACTGACGATCGGCAGTGGGTGAATAAAATTTTTTTTTCCTTTTTTTCCCCTGTGTTGAGGACAGCATTGTTTTTGTTTAATCTGGGTACAGGCGTGGCTGATAAAACTGGAAATAGTCATATGGCCCCTGCTACTCTAAAATAAGCTTCAAGCATCTTCAAGGCCGAGAAGACTGTTTGCGGCGTCACATATTTGGAGGCTTGCATGAAGATGCCGATCAGTTGTTTGGGGTATTTCTATGCATGAATTGTATGATAGGCCAGAAACTCATGTCTACTAATAGCTCCGATTGCTGTCTCCCTAGTGTGTCCATGTACACGTCGTACGGAATGATGAGCATTTGGATTTGCATTTACAACATAGACACTACATGTATGGGAATTCGCATTGTATCTAGCTGGCTGCGCCTATCGGAGCCTCCATCATTCAGCAATCTCGGACAAGATAAGCGACTAACAACATCCGTTCCTATCCCGAGATCCCATCATAATGATGTGAATTTAATAACGCACATAGAATTGGAGGTCACGTCACTGTTGTCAAGTTAGCGCTTGGACCATCTGGTTTGTATCAAAGTTTTACTAACGATCTACCTTGACCCTGTACGAAGTACGAAGTAACAGCATCTGATAGTGGAAAGGACAGGTGTACAATTGTATACTCCATCTTATAGGAAAGAGCCCGGGAAATGATCAGAGACGATCGCACTAACACCCAGCCGCGTCAACCAGTCAAAATTAGCCGGAGGGGCAAATGTAGCCAGCGCCCCACAGACACGCGTCCTTCTTGACGTTAATATGCTGGTATTAGTATTCTCCCATGTATTACATACATGGGTGGATCCTTGGCAATTAAATAAAGTCTGTCTTGTTGAGACATTTCTGACATTCAAGGATGCTCCGCAATTTGCACATATTGTTTTATATTAGAAAACGAGAAGAAGTCTTCCAGAAAAAAAAAAAAAAGGAAGAGACCCTGAAACCATGAATCTTATCGGGTCACGTATTTTCGGTCACCCATGGATTGCCTCACCAGGTGGGCCGAGATCGGCAACCCTTTTAAATGGAAATTTTTAAATGGCCCGGGCAGTTTCTGGTTTAATTGATCCTGTTTCATCATTCTATATGTATACAAACAACATATGTATAACTGAATATCTGAATCTGACCGAAGTATCCGGGGATGACTGGATACTGTTTCAGTTACAACGTGAGTATGGATGGATTACTTCGTACAACAGAAAACAGTCATCGATGTACTCCGTACAAAGAAGGAATCTGGACCACCTGAACTGTGGAGAATCATCCACTTCTGCCCAGGCCTAAAGCTATGGCATTGACCTTGAGAAGTTTACGCACGGATAGTGCATGCGTCTTATCGGGCTCATACAAGCATCCTGTCATATCTCTTACATGTGAATGTGTCCAGTGTATCAGGTTGAAAAGCCGTGTCAACACCTACGAATCCCCTGGAACATGAGTAATACCAGGTGATGGCATGAAACGTTCGCTTACATAAGACACCACATCGGTCATTTGGGCCTTTTAAAGCTTCAAGGGTCGTCTTGGCGTTTTGGTCGGCAAAAGGGGTAGATTCCATCCGTTGTATTAAACGAGGACCCGTGCATTTCTCTCTTGCGCCTATTGCCATATTAAGCTTGGCCATACGCTGCGAATCTCTTCCTTGCATGATAGGGGCCCGGCCATCTCTCGAGATATTCGAGATCCCTGGGTCGCGTCTCGCGTCTACACACATGCTCCTGTCCCAGCGCAATGAGCATCATTAAAACTCATGTACGGAGCTAATGGAACCTACTAAATTTGGCAACTACCTAGGAATACTACCAACAGAATAGCATCGTTGTTCTATAATTGTACATCAATCGGAATGTTGGCGTCCAACAAGTTGCTCTCAAGGCCAGAAAGGGTCACATCCAAGGCTTTCTACAACGGAGATATGGGCCCGTACTTCAAGACTGCTCTCGGTATTTTTTGAGGATTTGGATTCGGACTTGGTTCCATCCAATTCGCAGCATTAAGCAGTCATGATCACTTCTGCCCCTACTTCACGCGCTAGATCCATCGCACTTGCCCATCGTCACTCCCCAAGCTAGAATCTACACCGGCTTTACGTAACTCGGTGATCGTTTCATCGCCCGCCCACTCAGCACTGCTGAGTGCAATGCTGTATTGCCATCATTTATTCGGTACCACAAAGTTTGTCATGCCACCTGCCGCCGGAGTACGGACTCGGGGGGAAACATCTCATCGCTTGATGCATCATAGTGCGACCAAGAGAGCCTCTAGAACCCACCTTCGGTCTTCCTTCTAAGAGCCATTCTATGAGGCTCACCTGGGTCCCAGTTCCCAGGATACTGGCCGTATGGTCATCAGTTTTGATGACAAAGCGTGGGGGTGTCCGCCCAGTCAACGATATGCGACGGCGACCTCCCAGGCGAATGTTTGCAGTGCCCGATTCCAATCCATGAAAACGAATACCAAGAGTCCTTTATGTAGCTGTGGCTCTGGTGGATTCCCTCTCTTTTTCAGACCCAATGAAGCTCACGATGTTAGTTTAAATCGGTTGAAGTTGGACCACTTGCCTTGGAGAATGGCGTGGAGTCCAGCGGCATAGCTCGACGAGTTTGCAGTCAACTCTTAGTTCGAAGAGACTTCGAATCTAGTTGGTGTTGCACAATGAAGAATCTCCATAGAGAGACAAAATTTGTTGCATGCAATGCATAGCGGAGTGAAGAGCAAAAGAAGGAAAGGAGAGAGACAGGTGAAGAAAACTATCTACTACAGGTGCTACCTCCATAGGGACCTGAGGCTACCAAACATCGTCGGATAGTGATTCCATATTTAAAGTCTGAGGATGACTGATTCTGATCACGCGTTCAAAATACGCTTGGTAAACCGAGCCTGATTTTTTTTTGGTGGTGCGCGGAGACTACTTACTGGCTGTCAAAACTTCATCCCACAGTCTGACCTCGAGTAGAAACTCAGTATCCTATAGCTAGATCTTTGTTTTTTTAATCTCCCCATCAAATCTAATGTGAATATAATTCGATCGACAATACACACTATACGCAAATCGATGTATCTTGATCCTTCGCTGCGAGCTTCGCAACAACCGACGACGGCCACGCAATCTATTATCGATCACACAGCACCACAGCTCCTATCATATTCTTTGGGTCCGGTGACTTCGTTATTGACAACATCTGGCAACTATTGATCGCGAATTTGTCCACGTAGTACCGCTGTATCTCCTACGACAACCGAGGGTAGGGACGCTCCTCCAAGCCGACGTCTCCCGACGGCTATTCCGTCCCCCATCATGCCGATGACCTACACGCCGTCCTACAAGCGTGAAAAATAACTAATCCCGTTGCTTTCATGACCCATTCTATGGGCTGCAACATTGCTATAGCATATCACCTCGCCCATCCGGATCATGTCGCAGGCAATGTCTTCTGGGCGGGTAATCATGGCGGTAAATGCATGCGGAGGCTTTTATCTCAGGTGTTGATGATCTCTGAAGTGGAGATTCCGAGCCAATGTGTCGTCTTCTACACCAATATGGGATTGGACGAAGTCACGGCTTCCGGAAGTGTCAAAGTGGCCCGCTCATGTTCGTCGTAACAATGCTACCGTGCTCCCGGGCTTTGCAATGGCGATCGATATTCCACGATCAATATTCCCACTCTGGTAGGGGATAATGATACGGCTCCTCTGGAAGAAATGATAATCTCAATCCTGCGGAAGCTGCTGTCCTGCAAGCTGGAGGTCTTTGGAAATACCTTCAACTATAAGATTGATACAATTTCAAATTCAAAACTGGTTAGACAGTACTGGGATAGCGGGAATAGCGCCTTGAGCAGAAGCGTCATTTATTGAGCAATAAAATAATCTCGCATGTCTGTCTCGATCAGGTCCATCCACTCCTGGTGGATCACCGACCATGAACAAGTTCTAGCCTTGACCAAAAGATGCGCATCACCTGCAGCGTATTTCCCAATGGTTCGCACAATGTTGCCAATCGGATCCACTAAAATGCTCGATGTCCTGGATGTACGATGGTCTACCGAGGGCATGGGGCCTTCCGCCCAAAGGCACACCGGGAGTTATGATAGCCGCCGAGCAGTCCTCTTCAAAGTACCTGGCCTTGTGTTGATTAGGAGTGGCCATAAAAGAGCATTTTCGAATCTCCGACCACAGGTGCTGCTATCATAAAAAGTCCCTCTCTGGATGGCAGTCACGGTCTCAACTTGCTGCTTAGTCTCCACCAGGACCTTGCGGTTCGAAGATGCCACATACCTCAGGCTGATATCTGTGAGAAACTTACATTCAAGAAGCGGCGTGTAGGAGGAAAAGAATGAATTGCCGATGAAACCTGTGGCCCCATGGGGGAAACCACTCAGGTAAAAGATTTCACCTATTGAAGACGTTCATCACGACGATGGTCTGTTCCAGTGCAGGCTTCAACATCGTCCTTACTCGCCAGGCAACCACAACATCACCTTCGCTCGCGAATGCCTTGTTTGCTCCCCTTGGAGCAACGGCAGATGTAGTGCATTTTTCTTCATTCGATCCACGTACCGCTTCGGAAGGCGAATCGGGTGTCCTCCCAGCTTTTGGAACCACATAATCTCAAACAAGTAGTGAAGCCCGAGTTTCACAAGGCTGAGCATGGTCCATAGTCATCCGAGATTGCTATAGCTCTGCGTGGGGGCATATTTGCCTAGTGTATGTAGATAGAGGATCATGATCAAAAGGAACAAAGGCCGGCACTTCTTCTTACTGGTCACGAAGAACAGCTATCCAAGCCTCAAAGAAGTCGGTCCGTGAGATAGCATCAGTAAACGTATGCACATAGCTAATTGTGAGAAGGGTGGCATGCTAGAATAGAGCGGCATGAACATGGAGCTGCGAACGGTCGATGCAAATCCACTCAGTCAACTCTGGAGGACTGGTCAGGTGACAGACTGTAGAGGCAAAGAAATCCTAAGAGGGTGACAAAGAAAAACTGGTCTTGGCCTGCTTTAGGCAACTGTGAGCCCAATGGGTGATCGATTTTGCTTATGCCATACGTCCTAGCAGTGAAAATGAACGCCGTCGCCGTAGATGTCTAGTTATGAAGTGCTGGCAAATGAGATTTGAGTTTTCCACCATCCTGCGATAGTTCGTTGCGTTGTGTTTGCAACGTTAGATTGGAGATGGACTATAAGTTAAGGCGAAGCGGAGCCCCAATCTGGCGCCAATACTGATTTCCACAAGTCTTGACAGTGCTGCCTCAAGATTGAACGCATCTAGGATGTCGTCAAATTGGAGTATAAACGCATGGCAAATAGAACGTACGCCATCCAGGCCATCCTAGTATCGCAAAGGAATAACTCTATCGGGTGGACTATTGCTGGCCGTTTACGCCCGTATGTGAAAACACAAAAAAAAACCCCAAAAAACATTCTTTCAGACAATCAGTGGAAAGTAGGTGCTTATTAATAAGAAAGTTGAGAAAAGGAAGGTGTTTGTCTTATCCCAGAAGTGTGGTGTCTGAGATTGAAATGGGCGATGAAAATTATCTTTTACCACGGCTTGCACACATGTACGGACCGTAGTTTGTTCTAAATTTGAGATGCATCCATAAATCTCAATGTTTAATGAACCATAATCATTAAATTAAAATCATCCTGCAAGTATAGGGAGGTAGGCTGCTCAAAACTTTAGCAGGATCTGAAGGGTCTGTGCTGATCTGGTACCTTGAGAACATGGCTGTCGGACAGTGAAGTTGGGATTTGATTCTTCCTTCCAAGGCTTACGTTAAAGGCCCAATACAGCAATCCATGAATCTTGTGGACGCTAACATATAAAGATCCGCTGGGTCGGCCCGCCCGCAAATGCGTTCGGTGTTTCGTTACTCTTACTGTACAAGTATGGTACTTACATGGCTAACTTACTGCCAGTGGTTTGCCAGGTTGTTACAGGTAATCTTGACTTAAGACTTATGATGAACTTGTTCTATTTTATGTGTATGGGCAGTAGGCAATATATACCTTGTGGTTCTTCTTACGACTTCGCAGCTACTCAGAAAACGTGCGTAAAAATCGATTCCAGACTTCTTGGTCATTGCCCAAGTATTTGGTGTGAATTTCACCTCGGAACTCCCCTGTCAGAATCGTCCATGGACGATGAGGGATAATGAGTGCACTGTCCTTGTAGAGGGTGTTCACGATTTCCATGTCATACTCAGAATGACTCGCATTGTTAATAGCAGCCATTATGCGACCAAACTCAAAATGGGAAGGTTGAACTAGTAATAACTGGGAGCTTTGCACACATTCATCAGGATTAAGCCAGTAGGCTCGAGGGATCCCTAACGGGCAAGGCGGCATGAAGAACAGTTCATCCATGCTCTATGCACGCTTAAGTAAGAAGTTATTACAAGATACTCGGGTCGTGGGAACACACCTGCAGCAAAGTCGAGTCCGAGTCTAAATTTAGAACTCGGTGACATTGAGTCTAATTGAAGGCGAGGAGTTTAGCAAAACTCTCCGCCCAGGTAGCTATGTCATGGTTAATATTCTCAAATTTCCATCAATGAATCAGGTTGCATCGACCATCCCCATTGGCTTTACTCTGAACCTTGACAGGCACCAATTTAACATTGTAATCATCTCGCGCTTTGCGCAGTAGTGACCCTCCGGCTTAGCGTCATTTTCTTCTAGAGAAAACTCCGATGGGTACAGCATGACTCGGTCAGGCTTGCTTTCAAACAGCATGACTGAATTGCAAAGGTAAGCTGTGTTGATGGCATATTGCGGATAGGCAAAGCGAGACCAATCTACTGCATCAACAACTGCTTGACCACTGTGGTGACCTGAAAAGTACACCACAATAGGCCTGTCAATTAGAATGAGTAGAGACTAAACTATAACAAATGGGACAAGTATGGCAATTATAGCACGTAGGGCTTTCGGGAAGCTTCGTAGCATGGTAGGTCCCACGGGGAAAAAGGCGACAAAGAAGCTCGGCAAGGATTCCAGGTTGGGAGAGAAGAATTCCAACGCCTGCAGATACACCCTTTTGAGATGGAAAGTAGTAAACATTGAGCTGAGAAATGGCTGGATGTTGAGGTGTGCGGGAGGCAACGTTGTTGCAGTCTGGCTTCAAAAATAGTCGATCAGCCTGCTGCGCCAAAGGGCTGGGCAAGTGCCCATGTGTATATGCCCCAAGAAAGAATACGCCCCAAGAGAAAAGAAAAAACTTCGAAAAATAGGAATTAAATCACAGATTTGGGGGCTGAAAATAGCAAGGGTCCCAGTGGTTCCCCACTTCTCTGTGGAAGTTGGCTAGCGATTCGCAGATTCTTGATGCAAGACTAGTCTATACAGCTTAGGTATTGCTGTTATATTACAGTGACACAAATATAACAACGACGGATTGGAGGCACAACACCTACGCGTTAATGCTGCAGGGATTCGGATCCTACGGGCTGAAAGTGAATCACTACGCGCTGGGTCTAATCTGTCGGACGGTTCCCCCTGCTCAGTATTGCGAAAATTTCAAGACGAACCGACGCCAATTTAAGCAGAGATGCGAGCCTTATGAGCGCGATTGCTAGTGTCGCTCCGACGTCTTTTATCGTCTCATTTCGTGAAGCCCTCCCCCCAGAACGCTCGTGTCGCCTATTTATTTTTATCATATGGATATGGGGCACGTTACGAGAATGACGACAAACATATCGTTCGTACAGATGTACCAAAGTCGAATCGGCTTCATTTATCTGATTTTTGCTCTCCTAGACTTTGGTTCTGCAGACAGCCTTCCATGGGTGATGAGATAGTCCCCAAAAGGGGTTGGAGCCGATGGCCCTTGGAATGCTGTGTTAGTTGAGCTAGGCAGTGCGCAAGAGCAGATAGCTCTATATCCTGGGGCATGGTGGACAAGCTACATCATCCTTTCTTCCTACTGCTCAAATCTCACGACATCACCCTACTGCTATGCCGATGATGCCGGTACCTTCAGTGCTCAGTCGACCACGTGGGACAACACAAGCATTCAGTATGCTCCAGATGGCACATGGGGGTCTCTGGATATCTCGCAAACCAACGCCATTCCTATCTACGGCAAGGCTCACCGTTCCACCGATATGATGAACCTATTTGGAACGGACATCCCAAGTTCCAACCTAATTACTGTTGAGGACGGCTACCAGACCTACCCAGGAGGGCAGAACTACCCACTTGAAGTTGGCACCCTGGCGCTTGGTGCCCAGTACGTTAACCAGACATTTGGCGATGTCGGAGGAAATTTAATCACTGGCTGGCTGTGGAATGGGTCACAGACAATCCAATCTAATACATACGGCATGCACATTGGTTTTTTCGCGCTAGGCATTCCGGGTAGTCTGATGCTCGGTGGCTACGATCAAAGTCGGGTGCTGGGTGATGTTTCTGTCCAGCCTCATACAGGAAGCTCGGCGCCTATTAATCTACTAGACGTTAGCCTCGGTGTTGCGACCGGTGGTTCACCATGGAATTCCACTAGCAAAGAAAACTTACTTGCACAAGGAAACTCATCTCTTTTGGGGGGTACCACCGTCATAGCAGCCCCAGTTGATCCTTACCTTTACCTACCTCAGAGCTCCTGCGATGCCATTGCTGCTGAGTTGCCAGTGACTCACAACTCCGATTTAGGTCTTTATGCCTGGAACACTGATGACCCTCAGTACCAGAGGACATACTCACAGAAGACGCTACCACGTTGGTTAGTTCACATGACAGTTGGGAAGCGAGCTGGTCTGCGCATTGGACCCCACTCGCATCTAACAGCACAAACAGCAGAAACAGCGAAACCCCGACGACAACTAGTGCCACAGCCCCCAAGTCACCCGAAAGCTCTGACAGCGAAGGCTTTTCACGGGGCGCCAAAGTCGGGATTAGTGCTGGCTGTGGCGCTGCTGGTTTCTTGTTTGTTGTCCTTCTTGTGCTTTGGCTCGTTCGTCGGCAGCGGCGGCAGAAATCTGATTCCGCTCAAGATACCGCTGCTTGTGATGCACTAGCTGCTCAACAAGCTTCCACGGCCCATTTGTCTAACGGGAGTTCGGTTCAAAGTAGCTCTGCTGGTTGGGTTAAGCCGTGTCGGATAATGGAACTGGGTGAAACTCAACCGTATCAAGGGCCATTTTAAATGGGCCTAGGAAAGTCTTTTCCGGTCGACTATCAAAGGCAGTTGTAGGGTAGCCATTCATTGTGTGCTTCTCACGAGTTGCCAGTACTTCCTTCGGTTTCTGATTCTAAACTAGTTATATATTAGTTATGAACACATGTTGGATGTCTTAACCATAAGGCACCATGTGGAGACATATCCTAACTAACAAACTAACTATTTGCTAGATGGATAGCTGTAGCTAGATCTCTCTCCTTCTCCCCTTTTCTTCCTCGTCCCCTTGCTCCTGGAGTTAGATATACCTTTTTATCTTTGACATCCACTGTATTTTAATCCTAAGAACCCTTTTGTTGTTGTTGTATGGTTCTTATAACTGGGCCCCTTCCATAAGATTATGGAAGCATTTAGAGGGTCGTTGTTTTTGGGTGTCGGATGGCAAATTACCCTTGATTGTTTGCTAGGTATGTTTATGTTATCTGAAGAAAGGGACTGTCCGTACTGTAAGGCCATAGCATCAATTTTCAAGTAATTGTGGGATAGTACCTATAGCGGTTTCTACATATCCTAATGCCTAGGTGACATCCTAGGCTGTTCCATTGAGAAACCTGCCTAATTTCTTGAATTAGCGGAATATAGTCAAAAATTCAAACAACACCCTTGCCCAATGTTCACTTGAATGTAATTAAGAAACATTGAAGGTAAGAAGACGACCAAGAGATTAATTAAATACTGGGAATACCAGAACGCTTAGATGCCTTAAGGCCGTGATATAGCTAACTCTATTTGGTAGAAACGATTAAAACTTAATTTCAAAAAATGAACACGGTAGCACTTTCGTTGGTAAGCGCGAAAAAGAAGGTGCTCTTCCTCCTTGCTTATCTTGATATTATATAGGGTATCAAGGTACATACCGCGGTGCTGGGGTGCCGGGGCTAATAAGACCTCGAAGGCCTACTACCCCGGCTTAGTAAAATCAATGAATTTTGACAAATTAGGGTAAGAAAAGGTTGTATAACCTGATGTGGCTATAACCGGGAGAAAGCAGAGGAAGGAATCTTGATATTCAAAATATGGGAAAGCAGGGCATTCATACATCAAATCTGGCAAACAAGCGCTTAGTCTATCTACAAGCAAACAACCAGAGATGGGATCATCTCAATACATGTCACAAGCCCACAATCGCGGCCGACTATTCTTGTAGTTGCTGCGTAAAATCAACTTGACTGCATCTAAGTTCGCTTCAACTGTAGAGCCAAATTCTGGGATTTAAAATGAGTTTCTAGCGGGCGTAATTTTAAGGGAGCATATTTGCGAACATTCAAAAGCTAGTTCCAAGTTTTCCAACTGTTAGTGGTGGTTTGACATTAAAACATAGTTCCTTGTAACCACTGCCCGAGGACCATTATAGGAGACTTATACCGATAGAAGTTGTAGCACAGATAGAAATGATTTGGAAAACGAGTCCGAGTATAGACTGCTTAGGACCACGATGAGCTGATGTATTACTCTCGTCTTTGCGAGGACGCCAGATACCGAATCCCATGCTCAATGTCATGTTGCCCCCTAGTGGTGTTTTGAACTTGGTCTCGACATCGCTTAGGGAAAAGTTTGGGAGAAAATCAAGAAGCAAATCATTCATAGAGTTCAGTGATATGGCCAGCGTCATCCCATTCAACAGGGGTCCTGGAATTTGCTCTGATCGTAAGCTCCATTTTCTTGCTACGGTGATCGACACATCAAGTATTGACCATGCAGAACAGGTTTCCATGATTGTGCTCACGTACATTGTGGCATGTTATTTTCAGACCTTTGCGACTGCATAGAACTATAATACCAAAGAGCGGACAGAAAGCATCAGCATAATATTCGAGAACGAAAATGGGGTCCTGGTCGAGCTAGCTAAAATCTCCTCAGACGTAGACTTAATATGCTGTGTGAAAACGACCTGCAAAGACCGATCAAAGTACATCTTCGATGTCATTGTTTCAATAGGAGGCGCGTAGTGGACAAATTCCTGGTAAATCAGTAGACTCAAACCTTCTATTAACAAGTTAGCCAGCTCAATATAAAGCCAATCATGTGAACCTAAACAACAAACCTTTTGATGAGGCTTCCTTGGCTCGAAAAATACATTCTCATATTTCCTCATCTCGTACGGCGCCGTCCTTAGAAGTGGCTCCTTCCGCTTTCTGGTCCAGCCCTTGACACTCCTCAGGTGTTGCAACCCATGAACGACGCCCGCCATAGGATTCAAAAGCTGACTGACATCCCTATTTGCAGGACTAAAAAAAAGCGGGTCATGAATAGTATCCCCTTCTAGTCTGTACTCTTCCTCCAGCGCGAGGTGCTCCTTCTCGGGTGCTGTTTTAGACGGGTCATAAGGAGACTTGTGTCGTCCGACTTCGTCATCTGTGCCTGACTGGCAGGTTTCTGCTCGTTCGGGGTTAAGGATACATCTTTCCAGGATGAGCTCCTCTGTTTGAGGTCTCTTCTGTGCTTGGAGATAACAAGTGCTGCGGAGGGGATGTGAAATGGGGCAGGTGATGGCTGTTTTGAAGGTCTTCATGGCTTTTCAATTGTGGTTACCAACCTGATGAATCTGTGAAGCGTGAAAGTTTGATGTCGACTTGGGTTTACCCCGGACTTATACCCCAGTTGGAAATGACATCATCATTTATGGCGTCGACTTGCCCAATGTGGTAGTTGAGATCATGTGAACGAGGTCAGTGGCTTTGGTACAGAAATAATTTCAAGAATAGCTATCGCATAATTCATTTTCTGGGCCCACTTCCAAGTCTTTTTAAGAAACGTCGAGCGATACCTGTTTTGGTTTATTTTGCATTGAAGAAATTCTGTTGGATGCCTCAGGCATCACATGTAGGATAGACCAACTACATAGTCTTCCTTCCACTCTCACCTTCTCTCTCTCCCCGTCCATCCAAATTGAATACTGTTTTACCTGCATACATACTATCATTGTGTTTGCATCAAACTCAGATCCTGATCCCTAACACACTTGCTGAAGGTCAAGACCATTTTCGAGCATCACATCACACACTTCTCAGAACACAGGTTTGAGGGGTTCGTCTTCGGCCTTCGACGCTCAAAAAAAATCTACAGGTATTGTTAGACCCCAATTTGGCACTATTGAGTCGAACTGGTAATCCACACAGTGGTGCCCGGGCCCGCAACCTTTAAGAATTGAACAACTTCGAGGCCCCTCCTCCGATTGAAACAAGGATTACAAATTCCAACATGGCTTCAAGCCATTATGTACTTTACGACATCCCCTCCGGCAAGGCACTATGTGTGACATGGTCTCCCAACCCATGGAAAAGTCAGTAAGAGCGACAGCTATGATGGCCAGCTTTATGTGCTTCAATTAGGAATGCAAATGCCAACTAACCCAACGCCTTAGCTCGGCTGCTTTTAAATTTCTAAGGTATTCATTATCGAACGCAATGGGTGAGTAGGACCTAATAGAACGAAAGACAATTGCGAATGAAATACAGGTTGAGTACCCGGATATCAAGTCTACGTTGGAAACCCAGTATCGGTGTCGACTCCAAGCACAATTCTTAGCGAGAATAGGAGATCATCTAATATCCCCAGGGTCGCAGCTAATACTGGAACCCCCGCCTACTCTATCCCTACCATTGCTAGCCCCGATGGAATATATACTATGGATTCGCGCAATATCGTGGACCACATAGAGCGTCAAGCTCCGCTTCCGTCGCTTCACTCAGACTCGGTCTACCTTGAGAAAGTTGAGCGCATATGGTCTCAGTATATGAAAGCCATTAAGCCGATATTCATTCCTCTGGTTCCTGAGCGGATCCTCAATACGGAAAGCCTTGACTATTGGTACACAAGTCGTGCAGCGATGGTTGGAATGTCACTTGGTCAATTGGAGAGAGAGAAGGGCGGCGTTCGAGCGTGGAACGAGGCGGAGCCCGCACTTCGCGAAGGGACAGCTTTCTTGAAGGAGAATGAAGGGCCTCTCTTCATAGGAAAGACTGTCAGCTATGTTGACCTTGTTTGGGTTAGTATTCTTCTCTTCAACGAAAAATTAGGATTAGATGTCTTTCAGGAGGCAATGGAAAGAACTGGAGATTCTCAGGTGCACCTGAAACTGATGAAGGCTGTTCAGCCTTGGTATGGGTGATGTGATCATTGAATCGTATTCTAGAACACAAAAAGCAACCTGATACGCAGGAACGAAATGCAGTAGCTTGATACAATATACTCACCAGCCACATCATGGTTGAAATCTGCGCAAACCAGATTCATCTTCTGAATGCCAGAGGTGATACATTCCACATACCTAATAACTGAGTCCAAGAGCTCGATGCATCTACCAAAGTGAGTATGCAACATTTAAATTTTAAATTTCTTAGGATCTTGATTTTCCAGAAACTTGTAAGCATTATTCTGTCGCGGCTTGGTGGCCGAAGACTTTGTATTGATTTTGCAGATGCTCCGCTGTATGCACAAGTCATCCGGAAGGAAAGATACACTCACATGCAAGGAGATAGCTCCAGATATGTGAGAAAGTTACATGTGGAAAGCTCGTTTTGCCAATTTTAAGCCCTATCGCCGCTTACATTCTAGATTCATCCCCCCCCCCCCAAAAAAAACATCTAGAAAGACCTTGAAAGACTAATAGAAAAGATGTCTCAAGGCCACAAACGCGGCCGACCATTCTTGTGATTGATTGTTCAAATGCTGTAAATGAACCTGGGGTTTCGATCACCCATTTCCTGGATATCCTGCTCCGATAATGATGATATTTTCTCGTCCTCCAGACCCCGGGCCCTGCGTTTGTTGATAACACGATAGGAGACCCACATGAAACCATACATGACACCCGCAAATGCAACCATACCTAAAGTGACAGCGTTACCACGGACAAAGCGTGGGCCTTCGGAATTTGGATACAAGAAAGGGGACATGACTCCGCTGACGTTTCCAAAGGTAAGTTGCAAGCCGGTTGCATAAGTGCGTTTTGCGTATCGTGGCAGGTTTGTAGGCAGCCAAGCGAGAGGTAAACCAACAGCGACATAAAGCCCCAGGGCGACCATCATGGCACCAAAGTAATGCACACCTGAGGACGAGTCTGAAATCAAGATGCCGTAGCCAACGACTGAGACAGCGCAGAAGAGACACACGAAAAATGCACGATGTTGGGTGCGATCGCTCAACCAGGCAACGCTCAAATAGGCAATGGCACCCAGCCCATAGCAAGGGACTGTCAATGCCTGGACCTCGGCAGTGGTCCATTTGCCCATGCCTTTGATGATAGTCGGAAGGAAGGTACTAAATCCATAGAGCATGGTATCAACACCAAACTGGCCAAGGGAGAATGCCCAGATCTTCCAGTCCAAAACACCCTCTTTCACATCCGCCCAGTGGAACTTTTGTGCAGACTTTGTCTGGCCGATATAACGACTTCGGCGAAGGGCAACAAGCGCCCGCTCCTCTTTGTTGAGATAATAAGCTGTGTCCGCGTCATCTGCCAAGACAAACCAGGTTACCACGCCAAGTAGAACGGTTGGAATTCCCTCGATGATCATGATCCAGCGCCAGCCTCGCAGTCCACAGATTCCGTCCATAAACCCAATCCCGTAAGCCAGTAACCCGCCAAAGGCTCCCGCAATGGCTGCACTGCTAAACAGGTAGCTTGTTCGCAAGGCAATCTCGCGTTTACTATAGAAAAGAGTGAGGTAGGTTATAAAGCCCGGGAAAAGACCTGCTTCTACGACTCCAAGTAGGATCCGACAGGCAATCAAGCCGCCATAGCTCTGAGTGATCCCTGTGAGGGTTGCAATGACACCCCACATCACGGAGATTGTGGCAATATAACGAGAGGGCCTTAGTTTCTTGAGCACCAGATTTGAAGGGACCTCGAAGATCTAAATGTTAAAGTTAGCGTCCGTGCGTTGACAGAATCGTGCGATATGCCTACACAGTAGGTCACAAAGAGGATGGACACGGAGACTTGGTACTGGTTGCCAACGAGTCCCAAGTCCTCTTCCAGGCCGTACAATCTTGCGTTTCCAATGTTGACTGTATATTCAAATCAGCCAATGTTTTCCATTGCCCGTTGACACAGGCCAGTTGCAATCACAAAGGGATGAGTCAGATGCCCCGCCCCCACGTACCTCGATCTAGGAAACTGAAGAGATACAGTAACACCACGATAGGAAGGATGTGCAGGTCAATCTTCCTGATCAGAGACTTCTCGATCTTTTCCTCATCGAGAGTTGGCCAAAGGATGATTTCATCAGGCACATCTTGGCCATTAGGTGAACCGGGGTCAGGCCCAGCATGGCCCATGGTGAGATGCCAAAGATCAGATGGGAAGAATGGAGGAATAGACTCGGCCCCTGGGCCTAGATGTTTCTGACGGTCACTTCAATGATGTTCCAAGGTCAAGGGAAAAGTCCTGGGCAAATAGCCACAAGCGAAAAGGAAGAATTAAAGTTGCCAAGCGCCAAGAAGTGGGATAAGGGACCCTTGCAGCGGATTGATAAGAGACGTCTACGTGGTACATGACAAGACCTACATAGGGGACTGTGTTTCTATTTCTTCTTCTTTCTCCGAATTTTCAAATTGCATCATAGTTGTAATATATAGACGTATTAAACCAATTAGCAACATCCTTGGGTAGACCTGGTAGTCCCGAGTAGATGCAAGTGGTAAGTAGACCTTGGGACTTGCATCAGATGACGTAAGGGGTATGCGCCTGAGGCCAAAATGCATGAAAGCCTACTAACAGAAGTCAAGTCCGATATTTAAGCTCCCAGTCTACTCCGTAGAAGATACTCATAGGACATTTAGATTGAGCTCTAGTAAGTCTCTTGTCAGAGGTAGAAAAGTCCACACCAGAGCAAAAAAAAGAAGGTCAGCAGATCACGATCGACCGGTCCAGCCAGCTTATCTAATCATAAATCCCGCTGTCATTTTTTGCCCATTTGTGGCTATTTGCTGCAAAAAGAGGAACTATCACTGTCCGATTCCTTTTCTGCATCAGATTCAATGAGCATTGAGATCGGCCATGAACGGAACTTTTTTCTTCTGCAATTATTCTCACCTCGTAATGCACTGCTGACGGACACGCATCTCTCATGACTTCACTTCTCATTATGAGAAATCCTTCACATCCACGCCTTTTAAGCTTCACCAACGACTCCTGAATTTTCTATTTGCCCCATCCTCTCCTTCTATTCTCCTGGGTCTCCCACACTCGAAAATTCTTCAAAAATCAAATCAAAAAGTGCCGCTCCAACCAATGGCGGACCCAGTCACTCCTTCCTTGGGGAAACTAGTCGCTTCAAAAACTCTTGATGGCCATACTGGCTTCATTTGGGATGTGGCCCTTTCCGGCAATGGTCAAATCCTTGCCTCGGTCTCCAATGACATGATGATCCGTCTATGGAACGCCAATACCGGCCTCCAGCGTAGCGCCGCAAAAGACAACGGCCACTCCAATTGGGTGCGCGCTGTGAGATTTTCCCCCGCTGGCCGATTCTTGGCCACTGCTTCCGATGATATGAGCATTCGCATCAGCGACGTCAACACCGGGTTTACCTACCGCATGCTGCAGGGCCACACTGGCAGAGTGCGAGCGGTGGAATTTTCCCCCGATGGAAGAACCCTCGCTTCGGCCTCAGATGATTTCACTGTACGACTGTGGAATGCGAGCTCTGGCTTGCTACTTAAAACTCTCAATGGGCACTCGGGTTGGGTGCGCGCGGTGGCCTTTTCGCCTGACGGAAAGACTCTCGCTTCAACCTCGGACGACAACACAATTCGCCTTTGGGATACAGTCACCGGCAAACAAATCCATCAACTGAATGGCCATAAATCTTCAATCAGGGCGGTCTGCTTCTCTCCTAATGGGAAGCTGTTGGCGTCGGGGTCACAGGACAAGGACCTGCGCATTTGGGATACGACTTCCGGCGCCACTCTCAATGTCCTCCGGGGACACTCTGGACCTGTGCGTGTGATCGCATTTTGTGCTGATGGGAAATTGGTGGCATCGGCAGCCGACGACTTGACCATCCGCGTATGGGCTGTGTCCTTGGGGTTTGCCTGCGTCCGAGTCTTGACAGGCTATTCAGGGTGGGTTCGGGCCATTACTTTGTCGCGCGATGAAAAAATGGCGGTCTACACGTCTGATGACATGACTATCAAGATCTGGCACTCGGCGTAATTCTCTCTCAGTGAAGGAAGATGCTTCTCGTTGACGCGCGCGTTTCTTTTGTTTTTGTTTGAGATACCCACCAATGTTCTTGATTCTTCAGCTTGCGTGCGATTTCTTGCGATTAGCAATCAACTTACTTTTAATTGATCAAAAGCCGGAACCGGACTGGTCTCCTTTACCTGGTTTGAACAGTTGGGTTGAAGTCGCTAGAGCTAGCCAAGATTGTTCCGTCCATTCAAGAACGTTACGTCTGGTTTTCAAGTCCTCCAGCCTTCTCATGCAAAAAATGTCCGACATGCAAAGGTGCTGGGCGTGCTGCAGATCCCTCTTCTCAATGTTTGCACTAGTATGACTCACTTGGAATCTTGTACCTACATGTGTAGGTGGCCTATTACGCAATGGGGCCGTCCTGTCGCAAATGCTCAATTGGTCTAGCAACAAAATAGGCAATGATGGACAACTTATCTTTCATCGTGCTTTCTGATTCGATTGGTGTGGGAAATGCCCTTCAACATTTCCATGTTACCTGTATCTTAACTAGGGCTGAGACCGTGAGCCAACTAATTTCAAAGGAGAATCATCGCCAAGTCGATGATGAGACCAACAACAAACCCGCAATCACTCTCGCGGACCCAATCTCCAGAGCCCTGAAAGAGATAGCATGGCGGAAATGATAAACCAGAGCTCAGAGTGGTTCTTATGTTCCCCGCGTCGATCCTTGCCCCGGTTGGTCTGCTGTGGTCCGGGGAGCGCAGGCCTTCAAGCATTGGATTGCACCTGACTTTGCATCGGGCTGTTTGCCCGCGCTGCAATGATTCTGTTCCAGTGTACTAGTGCATATTTGCACGAAGCTTGTGCGACAGGCGCTGTTAACATATTGCGTGGATTGACCGGGTTCGGGTTTCCTCTTTTTGATCCGCGGATATCTCAGTCGTTGGGTGATGGATGAAGGACTACGATGATTGCTCGTGTTGCTGCTGTTATAGGCTGCCCGGTGCCTGTTGTTCTTTGAAGATATGGCGAGCGACCTAGAACTCGTAGTCATGCTACGGGGAACAGTATGGATGATTTAATGCTATAATTCACTTGACTTTCTATGTATTATGGAAGCACATGACTTCATCAACTGGATATTTGGTGCAACCCATTCACGAAACTAGCATGCATTCATGTCACTTCACTTCAATCCACCTCCGCATCACCGGGGGCATAGCTGTTCCGCCCAGCTTTGGATTTGGATTCTCCAACCTTCTAACCGTCAACATTTTGCAACGAATTACAATGCCTAACAACCATGGCAGCTACCAAACGGAGATCTACAAGGGTGCCCCATCCTGCCCGGTGTGATTACCGACTCCCAGCAAGCTAGAGAGGCAAGAGCAAGAGTCTCTGGGCATTTGCACATTCAATTATGTCACCGGCGGAGCGGGCGAGAAAGTCACAACGGATAGTAACCGGCAGGCATTCCAGCAGTGGAAGCTGTAGGTTTCTAGATGCTTACCACGATCTTCAGAAACTAACAGAGGCCGATTAAAAGCCCGCGGGTGATGCAAAATATTAGTTGAGACAATACGCAATGATCTACGTTCTCGCTGACCGATGACATGTCCAGACACTCGAGCAAGATGTTTTGGTCGAGCCCTTCAGTCTGAAATACAATTATCCCTTTATCCTAGCACCGATCGGCGCACAAGGTATCTTTCACAAAGACAAGGAGACAGGCCTTGCAGAAGTATGCAAGGAAGGCGGGCACAAGCTCAATTGAAGATGTTGCGACCGCCAACAAGGACGGGAAGCGATAATATCAACTGTACTGGCCAAGGGACAACGATGTTACGCTGTCACTGCGAAATCGGGCAACCGAGAACGAGTTCTTGGTTTAAGTTGGTACCTTAGATATCTAGTCGCTGGCGTGTCGACCGGCGGTTTTGGACAACACCCTCAAAGGGGGGGGGGGGGGGTGGGGACTTAGGTTCGTGATCCCGATTTCCGCGCGAAGTTCGAGAAGAAGACTGGATCGAACTTATTGGTACTTCGCGTGCGTGGATCAGTGATCGTTCCGCTGGGAAACTGCCTTTGTGGGAGGATTTGGCCTTCCTGCGGAAGAATTGGAGTGGGCCGATTGTGTTGAAGGGGACAGTCGATGTGGTCGGGGATAAGATGACGGCACTTTTCGACTCCGGAATTCGGATAGGGTTCGGATGTGGCCAAGGTACCGTACTTAGGGGCCGAAGCAGTTCTTGTTGGTCGACCGGTGATTTGCGGACTGAGCATTCAGGGGCGACACGGGGCCAGACGGGTTCTCAAGGGTCATTTGACCGATTGGTGGCTGAACATAGGCCTATCGGGGATTCGGAGTATGAAAGATTGCGACCGAAGTCGGATTTGCAAGGTGAAAGATGGAAGGGACGTGAAAGCGACGATGTAGAGTCAGAATCAGCCCCGGAGAGACCTGGAACAGACGTAGAAATGTTGGGAGTTGATCACATGTGGAAGGTTGCAATGGTTGGGGCACCAACTGGCTTACACATGAACACTGTAAATGTAAAACAATCTTCATGGCATCAATATTCGAAGATTCTCAATTTTGATGTGTTTAAATAGTCCAATGGGAGGAAAAATTAAGAAGTTCAATGGGGGAAAACCTGACGTCGAGATGAATCTCGACTATGCGCACGCCCACGTTCCAGCCTCGGGATCGACATTGCTCCCGCGACCAGTCGCGTCATTGATATCATTGATTACCCAGTCAACCTCACTATCGTTGCGACTGGGCACATTCGTTGGCGGGGCGGCCCTGGATGGCGCGCGAGCCACGACTCTGACCAGCTTGGAACTAAGTCGGGCTTTGGTTGAGGGGATCTTGACAAGGGCAGGACGAGATGTTGCGATCCATAGTGGCGATGAACACGGTAGGACAGAAGCCGAGTCTCTGCTCGAGCGAAGTGTATGTTCCTAACCCCTGGGCTGTCGACTTACCTTCAACTAATACCCCCTAGTTGGCGACGCTCCACACGACGGTGACCTCAGCATCTTTTTTCGCCGCCGCGACATTTCATCTCTCGTCGACCACTTTATCTTCGGTTGTAAACCTTTCACAGGCACTTTTGTCTACTTTGGATGCCATTCTCGGATCCACCGAGTCTTCGAGGGCCATTGCAGCCATTATCACGCTGATCCGACGTGAGTTCAGATTTGTTGAGCCCGGTGCAAGTGCCCAGAATATCGGTGTCGGAGACCTCCTCATTGGCTCCATAGGCTTCGCGCTATTGCAGCGTTGGGGAAAGAAGAATACTGAAAGATATCTGCGGCAGAATGGCGGGGATGAGATTGTTTGGGATGTCGTCATCCTAGACAACGGCGCAAGAGCAGACGTGATAGGATCCCATCAACTGCAATTCCCCAACCGCAATAGTGAAGAGTTGGTAGAGCCTAGCAGTGCTTCATTTGTGATGCCTGGAAATGGCGAGGAAGCCATTGATGTAGTCCGACGGTCGAGCATGTCTGATCTGTATGGGCATCGTCTCTCTATTCCGTTGGATGGTCAGCAGCAAGTTTCCGATGAGGAAATCCGCGCTTACATTATGAGCCAGCTTCCTCAGGGCTGTCACGCATCTATCAGATCGGAAGTCTTGACGGCACGAACGATCACAGTTGATATCTACGATGATGACATGGCAGAGATCGTCGCTCCCCCTGGCACCAAAATGATAGAGGAGAGATTCCACCATGACTATGACTATGAAGATACCGATACGGCCGATGGCCAGGGGCGGTTTCCCAAGCATACAGTGGTGTTCAGGACAGCCTTCAACAAATCCCAGAGCACTCAGCTGCGACCTCCCAAGCCTACACTTAGTACAGGCCCATTCGCGAAGTTTGCCGAAAATGTTAAGCCAGCTATTTTGGAAAAGAATGAAGTCAAGCGCCCACCGGGGAAAAAACAAGCCATGGCCTCATCCGGACCCTTGGGCATTCAGAGTCCTCGTCTACCTCCCGTGCCTACAAAAGAAACAGCGTCGGGGAAGGAAACAACTGAACAAGAAATCTCAAGCCGACCCGTTCTCAAGAAAAGACCGAACGAGCCTCTGAACTATCGGCCGACAACCTCTGTGTCGAATCGTGGTTTGCGAAGGTCGCCGTTCCCAAACTCCTCCCAGAGACAATCACCACAGTTGGAAACGAAACACGCCCCATCTCACGAGATACACGTCTCTAGAGCCTCGGGTGGGGGACATTTTGCGGCGCAAGAGAAGAACCAAGAGTCGCTCCTCACTCAAACCGACACATTCCTCTCACGCCGGGGTGCTGGAATGCGCTCTGAATCACTTGGCGCAGTTCAGACTCATATTCGCAGCAGCAGCTCCATGTCTGTAAGATCGGAAGCAGACGGGACTTTATCTGCGAATGATAACCTCCCCGCTTCTTCAGCGATGCATCGCAGATCCCAATCATACACTCCTAGCCTGTATTCACTAGCAACTGCAGAGTCTGAGACGTCGCTGCTGCTTGCGCACAGGCCTCACAAAAGTGCGTATGAGGACTTGGAAACCATACAGGCGCTCAATCGTGATGGCTTTGTTCCCGGCATCTTTCCAGAGAGACACTTTGTACACAACATTCGCCGGTTCTCTCGTTTCTCCTCTGCCTCATATGGCTCGAATGCACTCAAAGTCATGGGCGTTCCTAGAGATTCCAGAACCCAATATAGGACCAGGTCAGACGGCCACGAGCACAGTGCGTTCTCAGAGAACGCAGGTCTGCCACCCTCTACAATCCTCCTGTCTTCATTCGTCGATCCAGCTGGGGGCTCGAACGCAGCTGGTGAGACCGAGACGGGGTTCCCGCTGGTCCACTATCTTTCTATTGACCATGACTCCAAAGCGGTGGTTCTGACTTTGCGAGGAACATGGGGCTTCGAAGACATCCTCACAGACATGACCTGCGACTACGATGACCTCGAATGGCAAGGGAAAAGCTGGAAGGTTCACAAAGGCATGCACGCCTCATCCAAACGGCTCCTAGAGGGCGGTGGTGGCCGAGTTATGATCACCCTGCGTGCGGCACTAGAAACGTTCCAAGACTACGGCATAGTCCTATGCGGGCACTCGCTCGGCGGAGGCGTCGCAGCCCTTCTCGCAACCATGATCTCAGAACCCAACCCCTCCACAACAGGCACATCCTTTGTAACAGCCTCACACCTACCATCCACCCGTCCTCGCCTCTTAACCGCACACAGAAACCCTAGTCTCAACACCCCGGGTCCCGGCCTACCAACCTACACCCTCCCAGCGAACCGGCCAATTCATGTCTACGCCTACGGCCCCCCAGCCGTGATGTCCCCCTCCCTCCGCCTCGCTACTCGAGGCCTAATAACAACAATCGTGAATGGCTCAGACATTGTCCCCAGCCTGTCGCTAGGGATTCTGCACGACTTGCACACAGCATCGCTCTCCATCAAGGACGACACCACAGGCGCCAAAGCGCACATCCGCCAGCGAGTCAGCGATTCCCTCCGCCAAAGCATCATCCACAAATTCTACGTGAACCAGCCTCCACTTGTAGTCAACGCGGGCGACGGTGTTGGCGAAGACGCCTGGGCCTGGAAGACGTTGAAACTGCTGCGGGATGAGATGCGTGCACCAAAGCTCATGCCGCCTGGTGAGGTTTTTGTCATTGAGACGATGCGGGTTCTGCAGCGGGATGCGTTTACGGCGCTGGACCTCGGGGTCGATGGGTATCCGCGTCTTGGGAGGCCTGCCACTCGCGTGCAGATTCGGTTTATTCGGGACGTTGATGCTTGGTTTGGCGAGTTGCGCTTTGCTGGTGGCATGTTGAGTGATCATAATCCTGCGCGGTATGAGACTAGTCTTGCTGCGTTGGTGAGGGGGGTTTTGGATGAGTAGACATCCGGGAAGGCTTTGATTTGTGTGTATGTGTTGGTTTTCATATGGGTTGGTATTTACTTGCATGTTGAGCAAAATATGGGATTGCTTTTTCTATGTTTTGGATAACTTCCAAATTTGCGTTGGTTGTGATTTGATGATATTTTCAGGGCACAGATAGACAGAAACGACTGTTTACGGTAGCCCAATAACTCTTGCCCTCAATGGTAATCATCGATTTGTGGCTAACAAAGAACAAAGAGAACCAGAAGCGTTGCGGGGACTACGGGATATTAAAAAAACAGAGAGAAAACGGTCTTCATCATAGAATGTACATTGAGAATCGTTAATTTTATATAGTGTATGGAGCGACCCATCTAAACCAAATGGGAATCCGATAAAAAAGAATCAAAACCAAGATCCAGGGTATCACGGCATCACATACAACGCCAAACAAAAGAAATCCCCATCTGACAAAAGAAAAAAACACCCCTCAACAGAAAAATTGACAAGAATCAGAATAAGACTGAGACGAACAAATCTACAACCGCCTATGCAACAAGTGCAGTAGCAGTAGCAGTAGCAGCAGGGGCGGGGCCGGGGCGACCAGAGTGGCAGCCACGTTCATGACGCTTCATATTGCTGCGCACGGAGAAAGCCTTGCCGCAGCCGGCATGTGTACAGCGGAAGGGCTTCTCGCCAGTGTGCGAGTGGGAGTGGATGCGCAGGGAAGAAGGGCGCGAGAAAGCCTTGTGGCAGGTACGACAGATATAGCGGTCGTGGTTCTGCTGGTACGGGGCTGAGGTGGAAGGCGGGAAGTAGTGGTGATGTTGCCAGGCCGGGATGACGGGGGAGATGAGAGCTGGAGACGAGTGCGAGTGCGAGTGCGAGTGCTGCTGCTGCTGCTGCGTCTGGACCTGGACAGTGGGCATATGGGGAACTGATGCTGGTGTCGAAGGCTGGAAGGAAGATGTGGTTGGTGGGCGTGGGTAGAACATTTGCTGTTGAGGAGCGTCTATTGGAGAAGTATAGGATGACACGCTTGGCGCGGGCGAGGCGTAGGGTGCTGTGTTGCGGGGGATGTGGATTGAGCCGTTGCTGGAAATTGAGGAACGGTGAAGGTGGTGGTGCGCTTCCTTGTGAGAGAGCTCCACGGGAGATGCGCGCCGGTGGGCGTGGCCGGAGCCGGGGCGCATAGGTGGTGTTGGGGGCAGCTCATAGGACTGGACTCGGACGTGGCGTTCACCAAGAGATGGCGAGGGACGATGGCGCTCTGGAGGGTATGAGGTTAGCGAGGATGTTTAGGGTTGTGGTATGGTTAATAACTCACTAGCTGCGTGCTGAGCACCATCGGCACCCTCAAAGAGAGATGAGATTGAAGGCAATGAGACCTTACGCTCTTCTGCCGGTGGCGACAGAGGGGGCGAGCGCTGATAATAGCTGGACTCGAAAGAAGTATATACCGGCTTGACAGCCGTGCTGTGAGAGAGGAGGTTGGCGAGATCCATGATTTAGAAGAGGTGTTGGAGAGGTTTGATCCGGTTGCACTTCAAATTCAGCGTCGTTCAGTGAGTGGGGGATGCCACGAGGTTTATACCCAGAAAACAGGCGGGCGGCTTTGGATGATCGCCAGAGGAGGATGCCGACTCAGGCAAAATTATGATTTATGTTACGGCATTTTTATTAATTTCTTTTCATTATTTCTTTTTTTTGAAAAAAAAATCCCATTTTTCCTTTTTTAATTCTGTTATTGAGACGCAGTTTGCTTCAAAGCTTAATTTAATTGATTTTCCCATCTTTAGGTTTAAATAAATTTTATTTCAAATTAATCTAAGCGAGATAAATAATAAATTATAAATCTTTTCGGAGATTAACGTGGGGGGAATGACGATTCACCACGCGAAGGCAGAAGCCCTAACCTTCCAGCCTTGTGGGATGTGCAGCACGCTAAATCCAAATTGGGGGGCTGTAAAGGCCCGTTAGGTGATTGCACCTCGGCTACGGTTAGTGCAGATCCTGCTAGACCTGTCACATATTCCAAGCCACCCCATAAACGGCTGATCGATCCGGATCTGTTGATCTGCGAGAGACAGATGGACGGATGTGTACAGATAAGAGAGCGATCTAATCACTCTCGTTATCTCTTCCTTTTGAATTGTAGTTTTAATATAAATAAACAAGCGCAAAACCCGGGGATGCCACCGCGGACGGTTCAGGAGATCATTTTGTCGCGTGGCTGTGGAGCAAAACGGCGCAAGCGAAAAGGGAAGGTCACAAAGGGATGAAGCTAGTCCATTTTGGGCCACATCTCCGAAACCTTGGATCTTTACGTCGGCGCAGCTTATACGCTGGTCAGGGTACTCCATTCATGCTATCCATGGGTTGCTTGTGTGTTGGGATTTTGATTTACTCTATTAGTTACGCTGCTATTGATCCCGGATTGTCATCACCAAGAGCGGCTTTGAGCGCTGGGGGCGAGACCAGAGGAGTGCCTGAAACAGTTGTTGATCCATGTCCCCAGGCTCGCTTACACAAACCTTACAGGCATAGTGGGCGGAGTACACGCATCGATGTACAGAGTGTGCACATCATACATGGGAAAAACTTGTTTTCCTCCCACTCTAATACATGATACATAGACAATATCCAGTTAATCTACGACGTGTTCTCTAGGCCCAATCTAATCGTTTATCCCGTTTGATAATGAAGAAAAGGAAAAGATCGCCCCGGCAATTGACAACCCATACGGACACCGACTTAAGTGACAGTCCATCTAAGACCACGCTCCTGAAGATCATTTCTCGAATCCGTGGAACTGAACTATGACTACCAGCGCAAACGACACGATCGGCGTTCTGGAACATTACTGCTATTATCTTTTTTTTACCTCTGAAAATTTTCGGCCGTGCACGATTTCTGCACAGGCGCGATTAGGGATTGGCCGTTGGAGGTGGATTTGTCCCGGCCTCGTGGAAGCGAGCTCCACTATTTTAGCCCTTTTACGAGAGATCGCCGGTGACGGAGGTATTATCATAGAGCGAATTGTACCAAAGAAATTAGATGGCAGTGGGACAAGATGAAAAAATCCGCATGTTTATTTCGATTCATGTTTGACCTCTATATTCCGTACCTCACCGGACAATCCCCTCTACACGACCGCACAACCAGCGCTCTGAAATTATCATTCTAGAATGGCTCGAGCGTCAGGATCGTCCCGGGCTTACGGATGATCAACCCCTTATCGGCACTTGTTCGGATCGCCTATCCTCAACTGAGACTGGTCCCGGTCTTTGTATTCCGTGGGCATTGATTGGGCCTCCCTTGGGTCGGCTCAGGGTAAATGGAAATTTGACCTTTCATATTCAGCTCACTTTCATAAAGTCATGTAAGTCATAGTTGTGAGCAGTCCACGGAGAAAATACGTTTTTGGCAATCTTCAATCCGAGAAGCTTCACGGCCGGAAGCCGGTTTTTGCTTTTTTCTTGCCATGCAATCAGGAGAAAAAGTGATCCGCTCAAGTCTTGTCCCATGGGAGTGATTTTACACTTTGCATTTAGTTTTTTTTTCTTCTGTTCGAATGCTCAACCAAGGGTTATTTTTTCCCTTCCATTCCACTCAACTATCTTCTGCTATATTTATCCCCCCACGCCACGCACATTGTCTATTTTTCCAGTCAACAATCAATAGTCTGCCTAGATGGTCAATCTGACCGAGGAATATCATATTGAGGGTGATCAAGCTATCCTCTTTAGGTCATAGATCCGGGTAGGCAGCGGATTCAGCCGTGATCGCTGATCGTTTCTTGATCCCGGGGCACTGGGCCCATGCCACGCGACTGTCTCACCCCTTTCTTCCCGAACACACGGGCTTGTCCAGGTCGAGTTAGTTGATGACTGCAAATCAGTGGGGCTGAACATGTTCAGCCACACGAAGAATTTGGATCTTCGCAGATGTATTCTGTGTAAATCAAAATTTTATAACCCTCTACCTAACAATATGTAGGTTCAATAAAATGTTCGCTGCAGAATGTTGGTTGCCTTGTGAAAAGTTTGACACATGGCACTTGCATGTCGATGCGCATTATTTCTGCTGTGTCACATATCACATCGTGTTGTGTTTCATCAAGAAAAATCCAAAACTATAATTAAAATTACATCGTCCCAAGCGTCACCCATCAACGGGGTTCCAAAAGTTAGAGTGGTTTCCTCCCAACGCCATGACCCAAACCTATTCTGTGGTTTTCGGCCGTGAAATTACCAAAATCCGCAAGGGTACCGAGGCCACTCTAAATTCTAAACCGCCACGCTTGTTACACGCCGATCGGGGATTGGTAGATCCGATCTTACGCTTGTACTACTTGGGAAGGTGCTTCTATTGGACGGTGGACGCGTCTGGCAATGGAACTGCCACTCTTACAATGTGCACTTTTTTTTTCACGTGGCAGCAAGCCCTAATCTGGCATTCAATCCGATGCACCTGTCTGCGTCTGATCACTAGGATATCCGCATGGGATCTTCCCGCGACGAAGACTGCAGTAGTGTACATGTTACATGCGATGTATGCAGTTATTGGATTATGAAATAATTAATCATTGGTGATACGAACGTATCGAATGACTCCTGTCACTTCCATACTTCCTGTCCATTTTCATTCTCATTCTCATATTCTCAAATGAAGAATCTTCAGATTTCTCTGCCATAATTGCATGTATAGAGAAGTCTTTCAAACAAGAGATGTTCTCATGAACATTTCTGCCAACTAACCTCCTTCCTATTCGGAAATGATCGTGAAGATCCAACTTCATGGGAACACACACACTTGGGTAACCGATGGTCATAGCTCATGCTGACTCATCTCATGATCGCCATGGTTAAGCGATGACGGTTTAGGGAGTGTCTCCGATGCGGTCCTCCACGTAACATGTCCATATTGTTATGCATTTTTGTTATGCGCTGACTCGTATTTGACCCCTGATGCTTCTACCAGGGAAGTTATCGGAACATTGGTTGTGATCTAGATTTAGATTAGATCCCTCCAGAGCAGATCTGATGATGTCTTGGTTAAATCACCATGAACTTGTTTGGCCCCATTAATTGCCACATAGAGTAAGACTTCTGCCGTCGGAAGGTATTTGATCAAGTGGATGAATTACTCTTTCGGGATCCAACATCTCGACTATGTCTGATCCTTTTCCAGCCCCCAAAAACGGGAGAGGTTCATTTCTACACCGCAGATTGTCACAAGCCAGCCGGACCCGAACACGGAAAAATCAGGGGGGAAGTAATTATAGAACGTCATAGCCAAAAAGCCCAAAAAACCAAAAAAATTAAAAAAAAATTCACCAAGACCCTTGATTACCCACTATGTACGGAACATAACCGGATGCTAAACGAGGGATGATCGACAGCGATCGACTCTTATACGGAGTACGGAGCTTTTTTCTTTTTTTTTTTTCTGACTGTCTTGAAAGAGGCAGATTTAGCAAAAGGGGGGGGGCTGTCGCTTCCACCGAGTCGGGCCCGTGAGAAACCACTTACTAAGAAATCAGGGCTACGGCACAACCCTACCGAAGCATGCTAGTCCTAGTCAAGTGTCCGTCGGAAGGGGTGTTAGGCGAGAGACGATTGGAACCCGGCATGTCTTAAGTGAAACAACGACCTGTTCATCGAGGGCGATCACCACGAAATTAGAGAGCTTACCAGCATCTTACCGTGCGTAGAATTTCCCGCCTCGGTATAACCCCCGTGTGGGATCGGCCGTGGGGCCCCTAGCATCGGGGTTGTACTTTTCTACAGTATTGTTCCAGCTCCAGGCCGGCGAACTGGCCCTGTGTGTGTTACATCTTTTGGGCCTCGAGAGAGAGCAAAAAAAAAAATCAAGATAAACCGAAGAACATGGAGCAATGGAGCTGTTCCCACAGGTTTGATAGCTATTTTAGGGAGGTGACACCGGACCCATCGTCATCTTCGTGATTTTATACTCCGTGCTCAACCCCCCCCCCCCCCCCCCCTTTTTTACACCCGTTCTCAAGGCATCGGAAGATCCAGGCCACTTTGCCTCCCGTTGAGTCTGTGTGTTCTCCGTACTACGGTCATAGGTATCTGGATATCAGCGATCTGCGCTCCGTTCCCGCCGAAGCTGTGAAACATCCGAGAAACATCCCTGCGCTAAACCCATGAGCCATATCCAAATGAAGTCATACACCCGCGCATAGTTTACGGAATTGTCTGATAGTCCCTGATAGTCGGTTTCATCAACTTGGACACACTACGAAGTATTGAGGTGCTATATTGTATCGACGGAGCACAATACTCCATCCAACCCTACTCCGTAAGACTCTGAAGCAAAAAGAATAAAAGAATAAAAAAAGTTCCCAATCGTGGATTAAGTTCCTGCCTATTTAGGCATTCTACTTCCATACCTCTTCCTTTCTCGAATTTTTTTTTGGCCCATTTTGATCCCTCGGGTTTCGGGTATTTGTTCGGAAGGGGACCGTTGAGAGATCCAAAGAATTTCAACCTGACTCAGGATTATGTGATCTCCGGGATCCACCTCGCCGAGACCTTTTTCCCGCACTACGCAAGGACACTACTTTCAACATAACAACATACGCCGGATACACTCCGTACACACGGGGTCTGATCATATCCCAGGCACATGCCGACGGTGACATCGACTCCGTACAAGATACTCGGATCGCCTATGCAATGCCACTGCAATTTCATTGTCAATAAGTCCTGCATCCCAGTCCTGTTTCTGGGTTGTCTGCTATATCTGCATTGAACTTTTTTTGCCCGGCACATCTAGAGTTTCAACTGGATCGAGCCGGGGCTCCGGTCCCAACTCGGGCGCATCGAAGGCAATACTTGAATCATCCCTGTCGGAGAGGGAATTCTAAGGTGAACATTGTATAAGCATAGGATCGTACGTTGTAGTGCGTACAACCCATGTTGTGGTGTGGACGCTCATGGGAGATCTTGGGTGATCGGCGTGCGACTTTCACGGTGTTTTTCCCTGCTGGCAATTGCTTCTTCCCTGGTGCGGGGATTGGGTAGGAAATGGCGTGGATGTTACGCTCATGACGATGAAATCATTCCTCCGTACGCCATCGGATTGGTAGAGAGATCTTGAGGGGGAACTAGATTGGTCATCCTACCGTTGCATTCCAGGAGGGTCTGGGACCTGTTGGCGGTTATACATCCTTGTATACTCCGCAGTTCACCTCGCCAGACCTATGATCCGTTGGGTCTCCATACGCAGTGAGGTCGCATGCATGATTGGATATAGGCCTGGCTCGGGTCCCGACTTCCCGGTATTGGTTGCCCTGCGCCGCACGACAGACTGATCGGAGCCCTGCTCAAGTAAAACAAGTACAAGTGGAAAAGGCTTGCATGATACTCCATACATCTGTTATATCTAGTTGCAGGGGACACGGTAAATTTTCTCAATAATACGTTCAGGCTGCATAGGCAATCTGCAATGATACACAAATTTCCAAGTCACCAGGCCGTCCAGATCTGAACGTGCCGGGTGTGGCCGAGATTGTATGACTCGATGTTACGATCTCAATCGGAACTCCGTCGCGGCACAATCTATAAGTGCTTTGACATTTTTTTTTAACGTCTTTGTCTTTGACCTCTACTCCGTACTCTGTACGGGGGTAATGAGACCTCAAGCCACGTTGGGGCCGTTGAAAAGGATCAAGCAGCAGAGTGACCAATGCGTGGATCGGACTCGTGGGGGGGGGGCGTGCAGGACTCCCCAAGCGCTATGACGCCTAGTTTGGTATTGAAACATGATGTATCGTCAAAGACAAGGGCCTCAGTGCGGGATATTATGGCAAGATGCTTTTGAGAATAGGAGTCTCCGTGAGCCGATTTGATGAGATGACTTCAAGTGACGAGTAGAAAAGAAAAGAAAGGAAAAGAAAAGAAAAGAGAGAGGTATTCTACACATCCCCTAATGATTAAAGCATTATATGGAACATTAAGCCAATCGAGTCACTTGTTTATATGCATGGACTAGAGATGGCAGAGTAAGACACACATCCAAAGAGACTTATAAGTTGATCTTAGCCCATTGGTGTGCAATCCTCCGGTCGAAATGCCGATCTGAGCTTACCGGGGGTTTCTTTTTTTTTCCTTCTGTCCAATCGATTTCTTCATTTTTCGAATCATTCGATCCGAGCATGAGAATCATTTTCAAAGGGAAGCAGTCTCGGGGCGAAGAAAAGCAAAAAAAAAAAAGGGAAGACACCAATTCCAAGAGAAAAAGCACCAATGGTTATCTATAATGCTCTTTCGATCTCTTCCGACCTCTTTGATCTTTTCCTGTTATAGTAAGCTGCGGCTCCCTGCCCCATATGCATGATCGGCCACTCCGTGTCTGTGCGAGTGCTTGGCCCACATCTCTGGGGGAGCTTCATATATCTTCTGATCTTTGAACACGAAGGACAGATTTAGATTCATGTACTCCGTACATAAACCAAAATCGATTGCTTGTAATCACATGGTACACCCCCCTTTTTTTTGCTTTCTCTGAAATCAGAAATCTACGCGTTTCCCGTGGTTCAAGAGCATTGGCCAAATGGGGTAAATGGATGAATGGATGAATTGGGTATCGCAGACTGAGAAGAAACTAAACCTCGAGAAATGCATTAAGCATAGACGTCCACCTGACCATTGCTTTGCATGACTTCAGAAGAGACATTGGTAATCGTGCGGGCGGCCACTGCCCTCATGCTCTTTATTGCCTTCTTGAAGTTGGCTTTGTCATAATCTTCGGGCATGTGCTCTCCACTGTAGATGCAAAGCACGCGCATACCCGGCTTGTAGGACAGTTGTTCAAGCAGCTTCGGTGTGATGAGGAAGTACTGGCCACCGCCGCCACCGCCGATAGGGTTACCATTCTCATCGGTTTCCTCCGTCTCGTCCGAGGCACAAGCAATGTCTACCAGGCGTCCGTGAACCATGCGTTCATTACGCGGGTCCATACCTTGGTTGATCTCATCCACAACCCGGAAGGGCGAGGCCGAGAGCGACTGGAGTGCCATGAGATAGAAGATGGTACTCACGGCTCGCTCACCACCAGACTGGCGATGGGAATCCAAGACCGACAGCCCTGCGCCCTCCCGGAATTGGACGTGAATCACGATCGACCATTCCCCAAATTCGCTAGCACCAGGTTCACCATTAGGCCCGAATTCACTTTCTACTTTGCCCAAGGTGACCTGACCAGCACATCCGATACGGCGGAAAGAATCCGAGAAGGCATCGCTGATCTTTTCGATAAGCGCTTCTAACTTGGGCTCCCAGTCCTTGCGGATGTCCGCAATGGCGGTGCCAAGTTCTGAAAGCTTGCCCTGGAAGTCGGCGAGTTTGGAGCGCAACTTCTCAATGGATTTTTCGCGGTCCTCGAACTCCTTGATCATGTGGCTACTGCCCCCGTGGGTGAGTTCGAGCCGGGCCTTTTCAGAATCAATGTCGGCTTCGAGTTTATCCATGTCATGGTCGTCGAGCTCTTCCAGTAGAGCTTGTGCGTCGGGTTGGTTGTGTAGTTCTCGGCTGATTTGATGAGCCCTTTGAAACACGGCTCTGGCCTTCACTTTGGATTCCCTCAATTTCACAGTAGCCTCCTGTGCCTCTCGCCTCTTTGCTTCTAGTAATTGTGTTCTATCAATGTTGCGATGCCGCAGAGTCTGAAGATCTGAAGTCGCCTCCAAGAACAGGACCTCAACTTTCATGAGATCCTCGTAAACTAGGCGGAACCATTCGACAGAATCCTACATCATGTCAGATAAGAGTAGACAGATAGATCAGTGGTGAACTTACGGCGTATTCGACAGCGGCCTCAGCCTTTTGAATTGCAAATTCGTCTTGCTGGTTGCGAATCTCACGAACTCTCTCCCGTACCCCTTCAAACAACGATTTAATATTTTTTAATCTGGCCTCTTGTTGAGCTGCAAGTTGTTAGATAGGTGCCAGATGGAAGCCAGGGAATAGAGCATACAGATCTTCTCTGGAATCGCTCGGTACTGAGTGTGAGCCGTCTGTTTTGCGCTCTTTTCTCTCTCAATGTCTTTCTGCAGTGTGAATTAGTATGAGATGTGATGAAAGCAAGACGAACTGTGCAAAATACCATTTCTCGCTCGGCCTGCTCGTGCTCTTCGCGTATCTTTAACAGCATAGCCCTCTCAGACTCGAGCTTCTCCTTGATGTCCTGCAGCTGTTCGTTCCATAACGTGATGTTCTCTTGGTGTTCACGTTTAAGGGAAACATCAACGGGCTGTTCAGTCCATACCTGAGCAGGTTTGATCTCTCGAACCCGGGTTGATGTGGCACCAGGCCCATACTCTCTACGCCGAGTCACTTGGTAGCTTTTTTTCCCAGATACCCAGGAGCTCATCAAACCCTCCTCCAAACGGGCAAACACTTCGTTTGAGATTTCGCGCAGTCCGATTGCAGTCGAGTGCAGGTTCTTCTCACTGCACAGCATGGCAATGACAGGATCGGGTCCGACCAGAAAATCCTTTGCCCAACCATCAAATCCTAATTGGGTAAGTTGATCCTTAGGCATTGGAGCCCTCATGGTGTCTAAGGACAGTGAACAGGTGCGGATGCTAATATCATGGAGTCCCAATGTTTTATTTATCGCAAATTGCAAGGTGCGGAAATCATTCCTGGTCTGTACGGTGAACGACGTGAAGTCCGTCTTCTGGAATAAGGACTCGACAGCATCGGCAAATTTGGGGTTGGTGATTGAGCATGTAACGATCGGAGGGCCGAAGACTTCTTTTTCAAACTTGCTTTGATTCTCAAGGAGCCATCTATAGGCTTTCAGCGTATCGTAAGAAGCTTTTTGTAACTTCAGTTCTTGTTGACCAGAGGCTGAGTCTAAGTTGCTCAGCTGGCGTTCGGCCTGTTGGATTTTTCTTTGCACTTGCTGTTGCTGGTCCTGAAGGGGCTGCCTCCTGTCTTGGCTTTCTCTGACCTTAATCTCAATCTCACGTTTTTTGAGCCGTTTCTCTCTCTAGTGTTGTGATAAGCATGCTGGTTCAAACATGGGAGAACATCGGGTTTCTTACCAAGGTCTCGTTGTAATGTTCTGGGTCGAACTCCACGGCCTCCTCTTCTTGTTGACGTCGAAGTCTATTGATAGCTTGCTGAGCCGATGCAGCTTCAGTCTTGTGCCTCTGTCCACTCTTTTTTTCTGCCTCGATTTGACCGTTGAGATCCTTGATCCTGCTCTCAAAGTCGTCGATTTTTTGACCGCGTTCAGTGGCGACCCTGGATGCCTTGTCAACAGAATCCTTTCGGCCATCTTTAACACCGTTCAATCGCGCGATGTAGGCCTCTTTGGCATTGACTGCACGCAAAATGGGCTCGTTTTCTGCCCGAATTCGATTATATTCTCGCTCGGCTTCAGCTTTAGTAATCTTCAGGGCCTCGACAGCATTGTGGTGTTCCTTGTACTCCACAATTGGACGGCAACGCTCAAGGATTTCGATTTTCCGCTTAATCACGGCTCTCTGACGCATTCTTTCGACATCGGCTCTTTGCATCTCTTGGCGATTCTCCATGTTCTCTAGCAATTCCTTGTCATCGGCGTTTTGCACCTCAAGTTTCTTCTGCTCAGCTCTTAGCGTCTTCAAGGCCTCATGCCACTGAGTCATTTCCGGACCAGCTGCTGCTCTTTGCGTGGAATGAAGAAGCTCAACCGGTGTAAGTGCAGCAAACTCGGCGACTTTATCCTGGGGAAGGAACTGGCAGAGATTATCTACCTGGATGGCGAATGACTGAGCCAGTTTCAATACATCACTCTTAGAAGCGGGGCTTCCATCGAGTGTGAAAGAGCTCTTATTGCCATCGCGCTTGATGTTTCGTTGGATGACAGGATTCTGGCCAACCTTAGGCGGCCCACATAATTCAATCTCAATCATGGCCTCTCGGGCCCCATGCTTCACAAACTCGCCCAGGTCTTTCGCGCGTCCAAGTTGCTAGAGGTCAGAGGAATATCAGTATACGGTGGGAGTGAAGTGTTATAGTCCAAGTCATACCTGAGGACCCCATCCCAGGCCTAAGCAGATGGCACAGACCAGGGTGCTTTTGCCCGTTCCATTTGGGCCAATGACCATGTTGAGCTTTGGTCCAGGATAGAATACTGCGGATGTGTAGGTCACGAAGTTTGTCACCTTAATCCGCACGATCGCACCCGGCTTATAGCCACCAGGGCCAAGGCCATCGTGGGCTATCGCACGCGGGGCCTGAGAAACTGCTTCTGGTGTTTCAGATCTAGCACTATCTTCGTCGCTCTCTCCTTCGCCTTCACCTTCACTCTCGTCTCCAGGCTCCGATCCATCATCGCTTTCGGCGGGGTTCAAGCGGGGGCGTTTGTAGTTCGCAGGTTGGGCTGGGGGAGTAAGCGCAGGATCATCGCCTTCTTCATCCTCGCTGCGAGGTCGACGACGAGGAAACCCGGGTGACGCCATGCTGGTCGTAGCCCTCGAGTAGATGTAGAGGGAGCCTCATGGGCTGTCTGAGAAATTCGCTATGTCCGGCCTTTCTTTGTTCAAGCCACACGCGAGGGGAACGCGTCTGCGATCAATAGAAAGTCTGGTTTGAGTAGGCGGTGAGAGCCTCAAAATAGCCAATTAGTCGCGACCAAACAGCTTCGACTTTCTACAGCACTCGCCATGCCTCCTCCGAATATCAAGCGGCTGATCTTAACTACTGCGGTGGTTTCTATCACTATCACTGGCACTCTTTATGGAGCTGGTCTCAAAACAAATCAAGAAATTGCTGAGGTATGACCAGATCCATCTAGACCAAAGCTATCCTTTTATCTGCAATCATATCATTGAATCCCATTTCAGATTTGATAATGTATGCTATATAGATTGCAAAGCAGCGACAAGAATCGACGTTTGATGAGCAAATTAAAGCCCTCCAGGGTATGCGCTCCAACTTGATCGCTCGGAAAGGCATACTCGAGAACCAGATACGAGACTTGGATACAAGGATGCTAGGGAAACAGCTGAAAGGCGTCAGTGGTGGTGATCAAGATCAACCAAGCGGAGGACAATGATTATACATATCCTTGCTGAACAAAGGTTATGGATTCACAATTACCATTCAATGCGAACGGTGCAACCGGCCCGCTTTGATCTTCCGAAGGACCGCGCACCACTTTCGATTCAAACAAAAGGTGACCGCTATCAACTATCTACAACATAGTCTTAACATTTACTAGCCACGCAAAGACTTTCTACCAGACCAGTTGTACTTGAAAGAGATCTTTGAGTCCTGCGTCTACGCAATCCAACCATGGCCTGCGAAGTCTAGAGACATCGGACTTGCTTCTATCAAAGAATTTGACTACTTGCTACTGAGCAACATCAGATTTCTCATGTACATAACTTGAACTGCTATTTAAACCAGCTACTACTTCTTTTCTTTATAGACAAAATCTATATACCTTTTTCCCTCCTGGCTGGAGTCAGCACTGAGTTTGTCATCATAGAGATTCCACTAGAGGGCCGAATATACACAGAGGATCATCACAAGCGCTCCCTTCATTTCCTAGACACTGTGGCCTTATCTCCAATCTTGAGTTGCTTAGACGTATATATTAACCAGCCCGGGGGGCCCCTAAACAGCCCGATGAAAACAGGAGACGCTGTTGGTCAACTAATTTGGAAGCAGTGGCGAAACCCCAGATGCCTAAGCCTCGAGGTTGAGTCGCTCCAACAAATCATCCAGCTTCTCGAGCAAGATCTCATAGTTCATTGTATCTTCCGAGAATTCATCCTCGACAATCGCGCCATCCAGAGCTCGAATCACCGGGGCATGGATTTGCGGCTGCTGCCCTTGACTGGCAGTAGCTTTTTTGGAGACTTCCAGGCTTTTGACACCTTCTGCAAGGCCTATAACATCTTCCGGCTGCTCGTCTTCATCGACATCTTCCGGTGGTTCATTTTCTTCCATCATCTCATCCAGGCCAGCCTCATCAAATCTCAATCTAAAGCGCTCTCCAAGATAGAACCGGATATCATCCAGCATTTCAATGGAATCGGTTTCCTGTCTCGCCTTGATGCGAGATGCTGATTCTAGAATCAACTCCGCAAATTCAGGGCTATCTATATGTGCTTCCAGCCGATATGCGAGATATCGAGCGGCAAATTCTTCCAATCGCTGCACGCGGGTCAACCATGCAGCTCGAATGATTGAGTAGATGTCAATGTCATCTTCATCCACCGTGCCGCGAGTTCTCGCAGCTTCATTCTGGGACATTCCGGCACTGCCAAGGGTGCTGATGACCACCGCAGCTTTCGTCTTCAACTTCTCAATGAAGAGCATGTCTGCGGCGAACAAGACATCAACAGCGATTTCTAAGGGGAAGTCGGCTCTCTCGGTGTATAAGAATGTAAGAATAATTTGCAAGACTTCAGGCGAACAGTTGACGTCGATGACCGTCAGATTCTCACTAAGATAGGCTTCACGAAAAGTGGATGTAAACATTGCCTGGAAAAACTCAGACCGCAAAAGCATTGCTCGATGACATGGGAAGATAATTGATTTCGGCGCCTCGGGAGTCTTCTGATTCGCGGTAGAGATAGCGCCAATGGGAATCGAACTGAATGTGCCATTGCTGAATTCTGGTGTGTTTATGTCCGCTTCCTCCTCTTCCTCGGGGAGTTCATCCGCCCTCAGAAGAACATCAGCGAAGATCGCATTGCTTCGTCTCCACTTCACCTCGTTCACTTTCGAAGTCTCCACCTCGAGCTTATTCCCCAGAATATTCTCCTGGAACCATTGTTCCATTTGATCTCGGCCCTTGGAAATATCGTCGGTTCTTCTTTGTCTTGCACGTCTCCTGTCTCCGCTATCACGGATACTGTCTAGAAGACTGGGAATCTCCAAGTGCTTGGATATTCTACTCAACCCTGCAAAAGTCTCGGATTCCGTGAAGTCTGACCCTGGTCCACTTCTCAAGTCCCGAGGAGCTTCTCCAAAATACAGGTATTTGATAGCGGCGCCGAACGCCTCGGGAGGAATGGTACTGGGGAGATTCCATGTTGTAGCGTCTGGATTCACGGCTAGTTTACCATAGAAATACGGAGAACGTGCCGCGAGAATGAATTTGTGGAGGTGAAGCGACTCGTCGGATGCAGTCACAACAAAATCAGTTGTTAATGGAGACTCACGAGTGAGAAGTGAAGTTATATGCGCGGCTAAAGGCTGGAGGGGGTCCGTGGACTTGGAAAAATCATATTCCAGAAGGAGGTTTCGTATCCGGTCGTTTAGGGCATTATAAAGACATCTATGGGACCACCATCGTTAATTCTAGCCACTCTATAGAGAACCCATTGACATTCACCTCTCACCCTGAAATGTATCTCGCTCACAAAGTGCACCAGACTCAAGAAGAAGTTGCACAACTTCATAATGACCACAGAGACTCGCCTACCAATCTCATTGGTTATTATGTGGTACGCGGGGTTGACATAGTCGGTTTATCAACATATTGTACTCACCAGGATCAATGGCGTGTAATCATAGGGATCACGCGCATTGACATTGACGCCCTCGGTGATTTTTTCCTGGCAGACTTTCAAATCGCCCTGACGACATGCGCTGCATAGTTCACGAAATGGCTCACTGAGATCTAAAGGGTTATCGTCCTTAATAGTACCCTCCTTAATCAATTTCTTCTCATTGACTAAGCTGATCTCTAGCTGATCCTTCCGCAGCACAGTTGGTTCATCCATCATGCAAATTGCCTGGAACAACAGGGTCGAGGTGGGATGAGGGCCAACGGCCAACGGCGGGGCGAAAATGGGCTTATCGATAATAGTCACGTGTCCGAGCAACTGTAAAGTCTGTTATTAAGGAGGTGTTTTAACTAAACAGAGTGAGGAGAGTAAACACAGTGATTTCAAGATTGGGTAGTAGAAGTGTCGAGATATATATACTCAAGGTTACAAGCCATAGAAAGGGTAAGAAATGTAATTGAACAAAGGTCATTCGGTGACTTGCCTCCTTCCGACCGTTTTGATGAACACACCCCCACCGCCTGCTGGGTTGGGCAAAGCGCCATAATCAACCGTTGCATAGCAACGATCCCCCAAACATCCGTCTTCAAAGCTCCAGTTCATATTGCCCTGACTCTTCCTCAAACATTCGATTCTGCAGTTCGACTCTTTTTCTTCACTAACGCAGGACCCTTATCCTCAGACCGTTCATGCATCATTGACTCTCATTCTTCTGTTTCGTTTTCACCTCATTGTCCTAACCTCCACAGCAATCTACAGTCATGGCGATTGCTTTGGCTGAGGCCGATAAGTATGAGATTTTGGACAAAATAGGTAATTTCGGCCTTAATTTTGACCAGATTACGTTCTACATGTTCAAAACTAATCGGTGTATATTCAATTAGGTTGCGGTTCCTTCGGGATTATTCGCAAAGTCAAGCGGAAGTCAGATGGATTCGTAAGTGTAGTGCATTGTTGGCATCTTCAACCGGGACTAACCTCAACTTCCTCCTATAGATTTTATGTCGCAAGGAAATCAACTACATCAAAATGTCACAAAAAGAGCGCGAACAACTCACTGCCGAATTCAACATTTTGAGTTCTCTTCGCCACCCAAACATCGTCGCATACTACCACCGAGAACATCTCAAGGCCAGCCAGGACCTGTACCTGTACATGGAGTACTGTGGTGGTGGAGATTTAGGCATGGTCATTAAAAATCTGAAGAAGGCCAATAAATACGCCGAGGAGGAGTTTGTTTGGCGCATTCTCTCGCAGCTTGTCACTGCCTTGTTCCGGTGTCACTACGGATCCGATCCCGCCGAAGTCGGATCGAACATTCTCGGTCCGGCCCCCAAGCCATCTGGTCTTAAGGGAAAGCAGGGGCAAGTCACTATCTTGCATCGCGACCTGAAACCGGAGAACATCTTTCTTGGTAGCGACAACACCGTCAAGCTAGGCGATTTTGGTCTATCCAAGCAAATGCAATCCCACGACTTCGCATCAACTTACGTTGGCACGCCTTTCTATATGTCACCGGAAATATGTGCGGCTGAAAAGTACACCCTGCGATCTGACATTTGGGCGGTCGGCTGCATCATGTACGAACTCTGCCAGAAAGAGCCTCCTTTCAACGCTCGCACCCATATTCAACTAGTTCAGAAAATTCGCGAGGGAAAGTTCGCCCCCTTGCCTGATTACTATTCACCAGAGCTCAAGAACGTTATTGGAAGCTGTCTGCGGGTCAATCCAGATCACCGCCCCGATACTTCCGCTCTGATTAATCTTCCTATCATTCGCCTAATGCGCAAGGAGAAAGAGGTTGTTGACCTCGGAAAGACCCTGCGCCGACGTGAGGAGGTTGCTGTCCATAAAGTCCGCGAAATGGAACAGAACCTCGCCAAGAGAGAAGCAGAACAGCAACATCTCAAGGCCGAAATTGAAAATACTGTTCGACGAGAGTGGGAGGTCAAAGCCCGCTTGGAAATTGATCGCCAGGTGCAAAGCGAACTTGACCGACTCCGTAAGCGATTTGAGTCTGAAGTGCAAGAAAGGGTTGCCATTGAGGTGAAGAAGTACAAGCACAACACTTCGAACAGCAATACCTCCCGAGATGATGTTTTTCGCACGAGTACCCACGGCTCTGGGTCCTCTCGGTCCAGCAACCAAGGTTGGCGGTCTTCTCGGTCTTCTGCCAACTTGACAGACGACAGTGATACTACCCCCTCATCAAGCGCCGACATCACCCAGGTGTCTCTGGGCTCTCCTCCACCAAATTCACGAAAGCAGTCCAAGAAAGAGACGCGAACACCATTTTGTCGGTCCAAGACAGTTGTTGATTCACCGGTAGATGTTCAAATGGCCGAGCCGTCACCTATTTCGATTGCTTCGCTTTCCCTGTCCCCTCGCCGCACTTCCGCCCAAGGCGGCGCTCGCAATATCTTTGCAGAGGCCGAGCGGAACAAAGCCAAGTGGGAGCCCACCCTAGCCTACTCTGACGATGAGGACGACACCCCCGACTTGCCCTCACCAACTCGGCCTAAGGTGAAGCCTGACCCATTGAAGGCCCCGCGGCGACCTCTACTTCGCCAGAACACCGCAGCTCTAATGCAGAAACTTAGCACCCAGCCTTCTTTGTTCCCTTCTAGTGGCACTCGACTTCCTCAATCTACGAGCGTATCAGCCTCCCAGTCAGAAGAGCGCAGTGCAAGTGAGAGCAGATCCAGATCGCCCCACCGCCGTCTGACTAAAATCCCATCATCCGCCAACCTTGCTGCCGACGCGGGCACCTCACCAACTCGCAAGAGTGCCTCGAAGCAGCCAGCTCCCCCTGCCAAGAATGGGGGTGGCGGCGAAGAGATGTTCAAGGCTGTCATGCAGCGCAACATGGGTGGACGCACTCTGGTTGAACTCGCACAGGCGAGAGCAGGAGGCCGCCCGATGGATGAAGTCAAGCGTTGTGCCAGTGACTCGCGCGCTGGCGGCCCCACTATGAGCGTGAAATGCTCTGAACGTGATGCCCCTGCTATCTGGAACCCTGAACTGGACGACATGCCCAGTCCCTTCCTTGCCCGTGGCAGGAAGGTTATTCGCAACTTGCGATAGTCTTTCACTCAGATCGCATTTCCTTTACATTTACTTTGTTCTATTCAATTTGGTCCTGGTTTCGGAATATTTGATGGCGCCTTGATCCGGTGTGGTTGGAGTTTGTTGATTGGAAGGTCTTTCTTTTTTTTCCCTTCCTGGATTTGGATTTTGATAATTTGGTTTCTTTGGAAACCCTTCCCGCGGCTTCGGATTTCGCACTTCCCTTCTTGCGCATACTTTCCCATTACGTCACGGAGTTGGCCCTAATGATTTCGGAGCATCCTTGCCACATGCAAGACACGGAGTTTGATTCACATATCCATGGCTCGTCTATGGCTCGTTGCCTTCGTTGGCTACACACTTGCCTCCCCGAATGGGCTCTTTACTACTTTTTTCTTTTGTTTCTTATGCCGTCACGCCCTTTTCCTACAAGGAGATGATTCAGTTCTCTTGTACATTTGTTTGCATTAGCCATGCATTGACTGTTGAATTTTGTAATTTCAATCCTATTCCTCTAAACCTACAACTCATTCCTGAAGTCCTCGTCCGTTCCAAACAAAATGCGTGCAAGTTTATACACTCAGAGTTCTGGTCTTGCAATGGTTCAAAAATGGATGTACATTGAGACGAAACATCCAGGTTTGGCATCATTCCAGACTTGCGGTTGGGCTGTAGAAGTTTGTGCCGACTTGCTAGATATGCGACTCGAGTCGTCTCTAGTGTCAGCCCTAAATTGGTTGCCCGGTTTACCTAACCACCTTTTGCACAAAGTTTATACATGGACTAGACAAGTATGGACATTTGACTGTAATCTGCGGCATGATACGTGCATCATGTTTATTGAACCTTTCTGTTCACAAGGTCGATTATTACGCCTAAGCCTCCTCATCTTCGACCTCTTCTACCCGAACATGCTTACTCTCTTGGTTTAAACGCCGCTCCTCCTCTTCTAAAGTCAACATCCAATCCTCCTGTGGCGAGTCGCCAGCCTGTGCTTCTGGGGCGGGGCCGGCATTATACCCAGCTTTCTCAAGCTTGTCCATTTCTTCTGGTTCCAACAACCTCCCTTTTCCCTTGATTGACTGCTGTTTCATTCTGACCGCAGCGGGAACAAACTTCTTGGTTGCCTCCTGTCGCAGGTCCCGAATCTGAGGCTTCGCTTCGTAAACAGTTTTGGCCACCGGAACCACTGTTGGACGAGATGGCAGAGGGTGAGGACCACTGCGCTCAACGTTCTGTTGCGAAGGTATGTTTCCATCCCGTCTGCGCTGGTGCTGCCGCGGGATCGGTGGCGGTGTATCCCGCGGCATGGGTATCCTTCGTACATCCTCATCCGTGTCGCTGCTGTCACTATCGCGAGGCATTCGTGTTTCATCTGAGCCTCGCCTTCGCTTCCCGAGCACCCCGTCGCCACCACCCCGTCTAGCCCCATCCCCCTGTCGGCCCCCTCTACCGCCGTGATCGAACCGGGGTGCCTTGTCACCAAGAGCCTCACGCGCCTTCAGAACTGCTCGCAAATCCTTCTCCAGCGCTTCAAGAAGCTCCTTATCGCGCGGCCGTAGTTGCTGTCCCGATTCCTCGGCTTCTTTGAAACTGTTGATCTGGCGCTGAATTCGGTCTGGGTTGCGGCGCGCAAGTTTCTCGTTTCGGCGCGCTAGTGCCTCTGCTTTGCCTTTCTTCAACTCCTTTTGTTTGTCCTGTTTCCGCTGCGCTGCGGCAGGGTTGATCGAGCGCTCTTTATCTTTAGCCATGACGTCAAGCTGATGTTGGAAATAGTGTGTGGAAGGTTTGCAATTATCGGTGCGTAACCTAGTTGTCAAAGCCGGTAAGAGATGCCTTGGGCTCTTTTCGAATCAATTCCAGAGATCGCCAATTAGATACCAGCACAAATGTCTGGGCTCTGTGGGGGTTGTCGCACGTGAACGATGTAGTTGGAAACAAGAATGCAGAGCGTCTACTAGAGAAAGAAGGCGTGCAATGAGGATAGCCGGTTCGTCTGTCTCGTAGAATAATAGGCGATCAAAGCGATAGATCGCTTCGACTGGATCGATCGCGTCGGGCCGTAAGGTCGAGACTGCAGGTGTCCGGAATTGGGATTGGATGACGCTCACAGGCCGATTGAGAGAGTCAATGAAAAAGCGGTGTGTCAGGTAAATTTGCTGGTTTCAGTCTCCCAGCATAGGTAGTTAAAGTTGGGTGTGATAATGGCCAAGTGAAGAAGTTGAGGTCGAAGTTGAAGTTGTTATTTTAATGAGGTACAGAGTAGCGACGGAAGACTTCCCCACTGTTGAGTCCTGGACATTTTCGGTTGGCAGAAAACTAAACTCGTCACAAACACAAAGTCAAAGCGGAGAAAGAGGCGGTGAGCTCTGAGCCCAATCAAAGTCAAGTCTCAACTGGTAGCTGCAAGTGGAGAGCTACCGTTCATCACTATCCGAGTACTCCGTACATTGTACATCTATGTCTATATTGATTAAAGATGTTGTATATCTCCAAAAGCATCAAAAATATCACCATTGCATATATAGCTATATGACTGAGTATGGCTATCATTTTCTCACATTTCTGGTTTATATACTCCTTACTGCAGAGCCTCCTGGATCTCCCACCTCATCGAGCTGGCTGCAGAGCCCAGCATTTAGCCTCGCAATGTCCACTATTTAAAAAATCCAATCGGGGAGGTACTTAATGGATGAAAACAATAGAAACCCCTCTATAGTACTCAATGCAAGAAATTCATAATGTGCTAAACACTGCTTTTTTTGGATTTCCGTTCCATCTTCAAGCCCCTCTTTATGGAGAGGTCCGAGGTATCATATTTCCGCTTGGGCTTGTGCCCCAGAATTCATAAAAAGAGAAATCTCATTAGCCTCTTCCTCGGGGACTGTAAGTGGCTTCTTTGATAGCCGCACACTACCGCCAAACTCTCAGCGGCTCACGTCTTCTTCTCCGCCTCTTTTCCCCTTGTTTGATTTCCCATGGAAAACAAGAAGCTTCCCTCCTCTCTTTTACCATCGATAGTCGCCTTCCCCAACCTGACTGCAGTACATCGCAGCCTCTGCTCTCTACACCTTCCATCCTCCATCATGACCTGTGGTCCGTTGAGTCTCACATCGAGTTTGATCGGCGCCTCGTAGACTGTCGCGGTCGGAGCATGTCTCTGCCGGGACCAAATGTCCGTCTCAGCCTCGATTCCCGATACTTCGCTTGGCCTCACCTCTTCCGAGATCCAAATTCTCCGTCAGCAACAGCAGATTGTTTTGCAGGGCGGCCATGCCGGCAATGGGGTGGCCAGGGGCAGAGGCGCCGGAAGAACCAGCAATTCCAGCTCGCGCGCAACCAGTGCTGCCAGCAGCCAGGGCCGTTTGCTGCTGGACCCTATGAGCCTCCTCGCACTATCGCACCAGTTTGACGTGTTGCAGGCTCAGATCAGTCACCGGATCGAATATGTATGTTTCCCCAGTGGTTCTTGACCGCATGTCCATATCATCGGGAAATCACAATTCGTTGTTTTAACATGAGATGTCCTTGCTAGCTCGAGGATCAAATGCAGCGCTCTATCCAAAATACCTACGACCGCGCGGGAAACGTCATTCGCAATGCTGATGCCGAAATTGCCCGCACCCGTGAAATCTTGGCCTTGATTGACGAGTTGGACAATGAGTTGGCGAAAATTGCTCATATCCGTGATATCGTCAAGTCATTCCGTGGCCGGATCGAGAACTTAGATCACCGCATTGACCAGAGTTCTCGGCTACGACGATGATGCCTTCCCACATCCCCCCCCCCACATGCTTACTTCAAACCCACACCTATCTTGAAGCGCTTTGAAAGACCGTGTACGGTCATGCGTTCTGCACATCTTACATTTACTCGACCACTGGATGGTCGGACAGATATACACCTATGTATGCCCCACATAAGTACCCAAACCAGAACATACCAAAGCCGAGAGAACAAAAAGAAAGAAAAAACTAAATGTCGAATGTGTTTTTGAAGACTATTGTTCCTGAATGCGTCCCAGACACCATATTCATACATCTCACATTTCACTGGTCTGAGTATCTGCTTTGTGAAACAATCGGCTGGAAGAATTGCATGCCTCGCGGCACCATAAAGGTGAGACACCGACGTTGAGCGTGTGCGAACTCGAAGAAACCGCGAATTTTTCAAGACTGCTCGCACTGTGCCGACAATGCTATGGCAACCCGGTTCACACTCGGTACTGGAAATTCATGAGATTTGATGACTATCATGAAGGATGTTGGATGTTATTTCAAGCGCACAAAACACGACTCTTCTTTAAATCTTCTTTATTTGATGCTTCTTCTATTCCTCCCTTTTTTATATTCCCTTCTCTGCATGTTGCGTGTACACTGCTCTGGGGTTTCTTTTTTTTAGCGTTGATGTTGGCTCTTGCTTTTCATAGTGATGGTTATAGCTTGGCCTATGGTGTTCTGCAATATCACTGGATCAAATCGACTGGATCGTACGTTGCATTGCATTGGGTCCTTCAAGGTTGACATGAGAATTTCAGGTGCGGCGGACTTGACGTTCTTCTCTTCCTGAGCCTTGATGCGCTTCTTCATTTGAATCTTCTCCTTGTGGCGATTCTGCTGGTACAGCTTGGCCCGCAGACCACGCAGGTTCTGGGCATCGTGAGACGCCTTGTGTCCCTCACGAGCCAGGCGCTTACGCACGCGCTCTTGGAATGTCAAGGTTTAGATTTGAACACCAAGCAGGTCGTCGGCGTGAGTGTGGTCGCTAAGGATGTGCTGATACTCACGGGGGTTGAGGCCTGTTCCGGTGATGAGGGTGGACATAATTGCCCCGATTTGATAGAGACCCCTAGTCATTGTAGCAGGGATCTCATTAGCTGATGCAAAGCGCGGTCGACAGGCTCGACGAGGGCGCCTTGATCATGTCGTTGATAATGGCAAAAGCGGGTGCACTGGCCTGTTGACGTGCCCTGAAAGTGCAACCGCACTATTTTTGTGCTCTGTAGGACACGAGAGAATGCCCAGGGTGTAAGATTCAAGTGTGGAAGTTGCCCAACACGTAATAGATAATATTAGCGGGTGCGATTCATGCCACTGGGACATCTGGGGCATCCAACATTGGCACATTCTCCTCACGTAATTCGACTGCTTCTCCTTGCAACGCCGCCAAGGCATGCACTTCTGGTGTGCTCACTTCATGTAGGAACGCCAAATCTTTCTCCTTGCGGCGCTCAACAAGCTTTTTCCCACGTTTCTCCGTCCGAGGGAATCGCTTTTCAGTCCCGCATGAGAGGCACCGGACGACAAGTACATCGGCCCATGGCTTCTTGCCGCCGCGACTTGCGTTTCTGGTTTCATGCGAACAAGTCACTCCAGGCATCAAGATGGTATCACAGCGCTTGCAAACTGATCGTTTCAGTGTGACTGGCAGCCGCATCTGCGTCTTCATTGCAACGGCGCGTAGATGTGACACACAGACCCTTGAAATGTTTCTCAATGGCTCTTGGGTCTTCTTTTGAGTCATAGACCAAACTTGCCGTTGGGTATCTACTGTGTGGCCAATATCCCCCAAGTCAACATGACTAGCAACTGAGGTGTGTTCATTGCTTTGAACTTTGGCGTTCTGACCCTGGGCGAGTGTAGATTTACCCTGGAAATATGCGGCGGCTTGGTGTAAATAATCCAGCCGTGCTCGAATGTGGCTCTGAGAGTTCTTGGAATTCTTGACTTCCTTCTTTCCTTTGGCTTTTGCCATTCTCGAAAATTCGACTAATCACCAAGTGGATTTTACGGTTGTTTGCTGCAATTTGCAATTCGAGAAAAGCTTCCTCTCATTTGACGCTAAACCAAAAGCGGTGAGGCTGAACAACCACGTGATGCTCCCTTGGTAAGGTCTTCGTCCTACCGCCTTATGACTTCTTCCCCTGCACCTTTGTCCATCGAGACCTGCCACATTCCCGCGGTCCATACTCTTCTCCTTGCTACCTTTGTCTTCTTTTCACTTCAACCCCTCATCATCACTCTTTCGCAGTCCTCTTTCCTCTTCCCCTCAAAACTCGCCTATTTACGCCGCTATGTCTCACGAGGAAGATCTTATCGACTACTCTGATGAGGAGCTTCAGACCACCACAGCACCTACCACCACTGCTGCGCCTGCCACCACCAATGGCGATGCCGACAAGCAAGGTGACTTGACTGTAACCGGTGGCCGCCCCGACAAGAAGGGCAGCTACGTCGGTATCCACTCGACCGGTTTCCGCGACTTCCTGCTGAAGGGTGAACTTCTGCGCGCCATCACCGACTGCGGCTTCGAACATCCATCGGAGGGTTAGTCTAACTCATTATTCCCACAAGCGTTCCTCCATTTGTTCAATCTCCAACGTCCGTCCATCCTCGCGGGAAGATTCTTCTGTCGGTATTTGGCAATCAGTCGTGTTTCGAATCTGCAGACGACATGAGGATTGGTGCTCCTGAAAAAGGGCACTATCTCATCACCATATTTGCGTTTGGTCCTGTGGCGCTCTTGCGCTAAGCCTGAGCCTCCGTCCCTAACTCTTACGTACTTCATGGAGATTGGCGCACGCGGTGGAAGACTGTGATATTCATCACGTTTCTTCTCCTTGTGAGGCGCACCTCATGTTGTCTGCAGAATATGATAGGCCGCACACAAAAATCATGGCTCTTGAATGTGACATACATTCATGGTGTTTTGATCAAGCGGTGGAAGATGACCGCCCACACATCAGTTTGATGTCGTCAAGGGATGGACGGACTTTGCGAGACGGAAATTTTTTTGCTTCTTCTTTCGTCGAACCCAATCTAACATCGGCTCCGCCTCCCAACAGTCCAACAAGTTTGCATCCCGACTTCTATTTTGAACGTCGATGTTCTTTGCCAAGCCAAGTCCGGTCTTGGTAAGACCGCGGTCTTTGTTCTCACCACCCTTCACCAATTGGAGCCCGTTCCTGGCGAGTGCCAGATCCTGGTTATGTGCCACACCCGTGAGCTAGCTTATCAGATCAAGAACGAGTACGCCCGTTTCTCGAAGTATTTGCCCGACGTTAAGACTGCGGTTTTCTACGGTGGTACCCCAATCCAGAAGGACGTCGAGATCCTGTCCAACAAAGAAACCCACCCCAACATTGTGGTCGCCACTCCCGGTCGTCTGAACGCGCTGGTCCGCGACAAGAAATTGTCCTTGCGCAACGTGAAGGCTTTTGTTCTCGATGAGTGTGACAAGATGCTTGACCAGATCGGTACGTGCATACTAGATACGACTTGATTATCACATTCCACTAACATCCTGCCTCAGATATGCGCCGTGATGTCCAGGAAATCTTCCGTGCCACTCCCGCTGACAAGCAGGTCATGATGTTCAGTGCCACCCTCTCTCAGGAGATTCGTCCCATCTGCAAGAAGTTCATGCGCAACCCGCTGGAGGTCTATGTCGATGACGACACCAAGCTCACTCTTCACGGCTTGCAACAGTACTACATCAAGCTCGACGAGAAGGAGAAGAACCGTAAGCTGAATGAGCTTTTGGACAACCTTGAGTTCAACCAAGTCATCATCTTCGTCAAGAGCACTCAGCGTGCCAACGAGCTGGACAAGCTGTTGCGAGAGTGCAACTTCCCTAGTATCGCAGTTCACTCTGGTGTCAGCCAGGAGGAGCGGTAAGTCCATTCGAGTTTTTCCACTCGCCACATCAATTTGCTGACCTCCGTCTAGTATCAAGCGCTACAAGGAGTTCAAAGAGTTCAACAAGCGCATCTGTGTTGCCACTGATGTCTTTGGCCGTGGTATTGATATCGAGCGCATTAACCTCGCAATCAACTATGATCTTCCCGCCGACGCCGACTCTTACCTTCACCGCGTTGGTCGTGCCGGTCGTTTCGGTACCAAGGGTCTTTCTATCTCCTTCGTCAGCAACGAGGATGATGAGAAGGTCCTTAAGGAGATTGAGAAGCGCTTTGAGGTTGCCCTTCCGTACGTTTTCTTCCCAGTTCTAAAAATACGTTGTCCTTTTTGCATAAGACTAACCATGTTCGCAGTGAGTACCCCGAGGCTGGTGTTGACTCTACCACCTACATGGCCTAGGCATGTCTGGGTGAAAACTTTGTTGATTTGAATTTTCTTTTTCTCTTTCCAATTGTTATGGCGCACTAGCTCGGGTTTTGATATGTTTTTCTCCGTCGTTGGGCGCTGCCTCTGCCCTCCAGCGGTTTTGAAGTGAGGCACAACCCTTCCATGTATTCGAAAACAGCAATGGAAGCAAGAATGAGTTAGCCCTGCACGACTGTTCACCCGTATCATGACCGTATCTTGACGGGAATTCTGGGATCACACTGTCGAGCTGCGATGTCATCGTAATCAACGTCTGCGAGACCAGTTCCAGCCAAAGACAATCAGATAGAAATATGCACCGCCCTGCGGTCGTGGTTTCAACCAGATGACCCGAAGACCCTGCCAAGATCCGATCCAGCCAGAGTGGATATAGACACCAGAATTTAATCTCCGATCATCAGTGTTCCTCGTGTGGTTTGCCCATCTCGGTCAGAGCTGGTCCACCTGTAACTCTAGGGGCCTCATCTTTAACCCCCACCCTGCCAAGTGTCAACAAGCGGAACATTTGTAGATTTGTAGATGGTGGCCGTAGTTCCAATCTGACTTGCAGAGCCTCCGTAACTACTTTGGCCATCCTTTACCCGACCTTTTGTATCAGCGATGGGATTCTTGACTGGTTACAATACAAGCACCTTATCGATCTGGGCACGACAGGTATGCTTAAAGTTTAGGATGCTTCATGTTTGGAACATCTGCCAATCCACAGTGAATACAGCTTGTCAGGGTCTGTAACGCTGTTCGATTTACAACAAGTTCAGGATGTCTCCGTATCCGCCAATTATACAGTTACAAGATAAGTTTCGCCTGCAGGGACCACTGGTAAGTTGAACATCCGGTAAGGAAATTGGGATTCTCTCAGGGGCGAGTGGCAAGACATGCAGAAAGGTCACTAATTAAGTTTTTCTAGTGCGAAGGACACACTGCATCTAAATAAACGGAGTACGGAGGGTGGTGTCTGGAAGTATATAGTAAACAAAATAAATAAAATGGATGGCTGTTGACCGTACACCTCAAACCCACCCAGGTCGAAAGAACGTACAGAGGAAACATGAATAGAGAGCACATCACATAAGAGGCCTGCAATCTAAAAGTACCACCTACAGTTACTTGTTGCGTTATTTTGAGGTGGAGACCCAAGGCCAAATGAGCTTAGCCCGAAGCACTAGAAAGAAAGACACTAAGCGCATTTAAGTAAACAAGGCAGAGAGGAGCGTCGGCTGGTACGAGTGGCTCTGTCTCATACCAATGTTCGAGTCTGCGGGCGTTCGCCGCGTGATTTGAAGATGCTTTTCATGGCACAACGCTGGTACAAAGTAGCTATCCAGATGCGGAGTCCTTTGTTCTTCGTATACATTAGTGTACGGAATCTACACGGCTCTCTCTCAACTCCGTCAGCCTCACTAGACACAGCGTGAGAGAAGTCCATCGGAAATGACGATAGGCTGTGTATGTTATATACTGGTACCGAGTATTTTACACCTCTCTTCCTTTTTTTTTTTTCTTTTTTTCCATCCGTCAGGTTCCGAGATAATTTAACCATAACTGGATGTGGGCTCTAGGCTTTATCGAAGGCACCGAGGGGTCCACTGTGAGATTAACTTGGTTTCAGTGACGACTTGCATTTCGATATTGATTAATTCCAGGGTCAAACGTGGTACGGAGTACTTCAATTATGGCACTCATATTTGGGGTCCGTACGGAGTACTCCGTATACGAAGTCCAATCTAAAGGCCCAAATTACGATCTTCTAGGCTGGAGCGATGTCATGACATCTGTGGCTTTCCCCTAATGCCATCAGATCCTTCATTCAAAAGCCAATGATTGTGGCTTAGGGAGCATAACACAAAGTGATGATGCTTTGACAGTGACGATCTATTTCCGGGTTTCTGCAAACGTGGTTCAGCACCTGCCACCTGTCGGCTTGGAAACACAACTATCCTTATTCGAACGTTTTGGTGTGTCCTCTTCTCCCTACGGAGTACAGGATAGAGTCAACATGGCGAGTGAGTGCTGTCTATTTCCGGTCCCGAGACAAGAAAGAGAGGTGTCGAATGCAACATGCACTGTCATTTTTGCGGTTCCACTTGCACAACGGGGGGTAATATTTGTGCATATGCAGATTTGCCTTAGTGTCCTACGGAGCATGCTCCCCCAGAGATCTAGACTGGTTCTAAATGACAGACCCTAGTCTACAACATACAGGAGATGTGATTGATCCATGCTCTACGGAGTAGTCCTTTCACTGTTGGACCGGAACATCAGGGACATTCTGCAGCGGTTGCTGCTATGGCTTGCTTTTCTTTTTTTTTTGCACCCCCTCTTTTGCGCATGCCCTCAAAAATCCCAGGACCATTTTTAAGGCCATTGTCAGCTTGAATGAATCAGAAATTTTTCCCCTAATATTAGAAAGACTCTCTGGAACCGATTCCTTGATGCGGCTGGACCAGCTGCAAGCATCATTGCTTGGGCACGCGCGTGCCGATCACTACAATGGTATGCTGCGACTATCAACGCCGCAACGCCGCCCCCTTCCAAGGTATGTGGAGGGTTGATCTTGAACATGTCATGTCAGTTGTAATTCCCTCGGCCTCTATAAAGTAGTCCAGGATGAATTGATGAGCTGTGCAAGTCGGGTGGTTAGAAGTCTCCAATGATAAAAAAAAAGGCATGAATCGCTTTGACCTAAGTCTCGGAGCTGGTGCCCTTTTTCACTTGTATCACGATCATTCCCCCCCCCCCCCTCAAAAGTCCAACATTCTTCCCACGATCCAAGAGAATGTTGCGGTGGGTGGACGAGGGGACATTCAACCCCCTCTCATCGTTGTTCTAATGTCGTACAAAAGACAATAGACAATGCCCGGTGGCTATGTTCTGTAGTACATCCGCCCAGTTGTCACTTGAATGTCGATCAGGGAATACAAATTTGATGGGTTTAGATGCATGCTGTGTGAACCACCCCAGGTACCGTATACATGCATGGTTGATGCCATGCATGTGGATTAAGAGGGTACCGAACCAGACCTATCCCCTTGGAATGGGTAAAAGAATGTGCCCGACACGTTGTCTGAATCATAGGCACTGGATACCACAGTTGCTGTTTCCTTTGTAGATGAAAAATATACCGGAAGATACAATCCATGGTTCATATCCAGGAAACGTGCTAGGGATTCTCAATTTTGAAAAGCCACTACTGCACTGTTGACAGGTCTACACCTTGCCTCCAGATCCAGCCGAGATATGGAGTAGATTGGGCTGTTAGAGATCGATAACCAGAGATGCGACCTGCACCACGGTGAGTCTGTTCAAGTCCATCGGATGTTTGTGCCTCGAGGAATGAATAGAGTCCAGACGCAGATCGAAAAGAGGAAAAAGACCAAAAAAAAACTCCCCATTCAAAATTACAGTATTGGCCTGTATGAAAAAAAAAAAGAAAATCGAAAAGGACATTTACAAAATGTGAAGTTAAATATAGTATCAGACTATCAAGACACCAATATGCATGAAGTACTCCGTACATGCCCAACCTTCAACTCTAGCAATTTATATTTTTTTATATATGCAACATATTGAACAGATATCGGCCCTTACCCAAGGGTCCAAATATCCAAGTATCGTGTTAGTAGATGAGAGAGATCCGAAGATATCTCGGTATTGGAGAGCCGCAAAATGTGGAGGCTAGATCGTTTACTACGGAGTAGAATGGATCCAGGGTGTATCAACCAGAGACGGAAAGAGAGTAAAATGAAGATCAAGTTGATCAAAAACATCTGCATCCATCTTCGTTCGAATGATTCTTATCGCTCCTTGATTTCCGTTTCCGGACTGAGGGGGATCCACGACCATTGGGTACTGGCAAGTCTCAAGGAGAAAAAGAAAAAGATATTTTGTTGACCGATCGCATTCAAGACCTTTTCTCTCTCTTTTCCCTCCCCCCCTAAGACGAGCATTTCACGAGAGAGAAATCGAGAAGAGAGAAAAGATATACGGCAAGAAACTTGAACGTGGACAACCCTGTCTTTTCCTTCTTTTCCTTCTTTTCCTTCCGGTCTGAGCTTCCATTCGAATTTCATCCTTCCTGATTACAACTCCCTTTTTTTTAATCCCCTCCCCCCCCCCCCAATTCCACTTTCCTCTTCTCTCTCCTTCACCCTCGCTCTTTTCCTCCCATTCTTTCATTTTCTTGTGTTATAGGGTACCTGGACCTTTTCAATCTGGGACTTTCCCGCCCAGTTCCTTCCCAGATTTGAGAGATGGCTCCTCCTCCACGTCTGCGCATTCTGTCCGGTGAGTTCATCTTCAACCTAGATGTTCACATCGGGAATCCTGACCGAACAAAACAACGATGGTTCGTCATCTAATCAAAGCATGTCTAGTTGGTGGTAATGCGATCTCTGCCTTTCTCTCATGGCGACTTCAGGCGACAGCCTCCTGTGATGTTACGCTAGTCTGGAAATCCGGATATGACTCCGTGTCTCAATACGGTGTCTCGTTTAAGTATGTATCCAGGTTGTTCTGTCACGGCCAGACGGCTAATTCGTTCCGCAGATCAAAAGCATTCGGCAATGAACGTTTCAAACCCCGACATGGTAAGATTGGGAGATCAACACTTGGCTTGAGCCCCGGTTGATGTGTCCCGATTTCTAGTTGTTCGTGCTCCCGAAGAAGCTTCATCCCGTGAACATGTCTACGACTATGTCATCCTCTGCGTGAAAGCGCTGCCGGATGTCTACGACCTTGCCTCCGTGATCGAATCCGTCGTCACCCCCCAGCACACCTGTATTCTGCTGAATACTACAAATACTCTCGGCATCGAAGCCCATCTTGAACAAAGATACCCTACCAACGTCATTCTTTCGCTTGTTTCCAATGTGGAAATCTCCCAAACGGGGCCGAGCGAGTTCGAACATCTGAGCTCAAGCGAGATTTACGTGGGCGCAACCAACAAATCTTCCGCCATTCCGACATCAGTCCAGAGCGACATGGCAGCCGCATTGGCGGTGACTTTGAACTCTGGTCAGGTCAACTGCAAGGTTTCGGATAATATCAGACAGGAGCAGTTCGACCGCATGATAGGGTGAGTCTCTTCGGATTCGTTTGGATTCAAAAATTGGCATGCTAAACGTCTCCCAGCCCGGTCGCGTTCCATCCCGCAAGTGTCGTGTTCGACACCCCAAACCACACACAACTCCTCGAAAAGACCGGTGTTCGTCCACTGGTAATGGGCATCCTTGACGAGATGATGGAAATCGCCTCTGCGCAAGGTTGCTCATTCCCCAGCGATTTCCGGGATAAGACGGTCCAAAAAATGATTGCGTTGGACTCTCCAACCACAATGTATTCAGATTTCCAGGGCCGCCGCCCCATGGAGGTGGAGACTTTCCTAGGGTCACCAATCAAGTTGGCAAGCGAGTCTAATGTTCGCGTCCCCCGAATCGAAACCATGTACGCAATGCTACATCACGTCAACATCGCAAACCAGAAGCCCCGGCAGGAGTCTCCACCTGCATCCGTCACGGGTCAACCGCCTCCCCGAATGTCTTCTGCTCCTCCACAGCAGCGACCCATGATGAATGGGGGCCCGCAATCTTTGCGTGGAAGTCGAACACCCTCGGGCGTGGGCATGCCCCCGCAACAAAGACGAGGCCCACCACCTGGCATGATGCCGAGAGGCCCAGGTGGATCGATGCCACCGGCCAACCGAGTTCAGCGCGACCCCTCGCTGGAGGGACTCGAGGAATTCAGCCATTTGGTTCTCTATGACGAACAGGGCGAACCAAGTGTACCGCAACAGAATGGAAATGGACACCCCGAGCCCGCCCCGGGCCCTGTTTCTGAGTTGACGTTACGGGAGCGAGAGCTGGCTCTTCGTCAACGTGAGCTGCAACTGCGCGAACAGGAGATGAACATGCGCCGGCCCCCCCCCAGGCCCAGGACGTCGTGGACCGCCTCCCTCCCGGCCTGCTACGGCCTTTGACGAAGAAGATGAGGATTATTTCGACCCGATGGATAGCATGGGCATTCCGCACATCGACCCTGACAGTGTCGACATGATGAGCATGACTTCCCGGCGAGGGCGTAAAGGCCTCAGCCATAGCCAGATCCGTAAAAACCCTGAATTTGGTGTAAACACGGGGGGTAGCCGCCCTTCATCAGCCTTCAACCGCTACTTTGGCAGAAAACGCACGAGCGACCGTGTGATGCAAGAAATCCCGGGTCTCCATGATTCATTAATGGACAGTCCCATGATGAGCTACTCCTCCAACCGATATGGAGCCGTGGACCGAAACCAGATGCACGTGGAATCTCGAGCCAATTCCTTAACGGCCAGCCACAAGGGCGACTACCCACCTCGACCCTTCTCACAGAACCGGCGAAACAGCCAGACTCCTGTGCCTCCATTCGGCGGACCCCCGGGACCCCAAGGACCTCCTGGCACAGGAGGCCCGCGGATGAGCCGACCTGGTGGGCCTCACAATGCTCAGCCCTCACCTCCTGGCAACATGCGTACGCCGGCACCGCGGTATCCTCCGGGACAAGGAAACGCGGCAGGGCCGCAGCAAGTTGACCAACACTATGGGGTGAGCAATGCGTTCCCTGCTAAGGGTCCTCCTAAGAACCAAAATCTGACCAGCAGTGCGAGCGCCAGCGCGGGGAGTGGTGATAGTGGAGCCAGTGCAAATCTTGATTCCGAGCCCTCATCCCACAGCAGTCAGGTCAGCCTCGGCGGACAGGGGGTCGCGGCGCCCGTTCGCTAAAAAAACCACACACACCCAAAGGGGTTCCGCTCACTTTTCCCAATGGCTGACCGGCGTTCCATGATTGAATTCTCTTTTCGGCATTGCATTCTTCCTCGGCTTGGATGATCATCGTCCGCCGAAATTTGGTCATGCTTGGACCATTTTTGCATCACGGTGTCACTATGCGGGGACCTTTTATTCTTTGGTCCCGTGCTCTCGAAGCACCGGTTAATACTCTGCTGTTTGCTTCTTTACATATACATGAGGGACATAGGGGTCTTCGTTGCTCAACTTTCAGTTTTCTTTTTGTTTCGGAGTGTGGTTGGGATAACGAGGTGTGCGTGCGAGTTTTGTCTTTTTTTTGTGTGTGATTTGCTCTGCATCGATACTCCTCCTGTTTCGCAGCATTATCGATTTTTAATGAGGCCAATACGCGAGCCTAGACTGAGGCATCCTTATCCTTGCTGTTTCTCTTTGTCCTACCTCCCTTTTCATCTTTACAGCATGTTGATATAGCGTCGTCGTTGGCTCCCCTGCCCACCTTTCATATCTCTGCATGACTGTATACTATCAGCTGGCGCATTCCTTCTTCCTCCCATATAGACTCGTATACGCCTATTGCCTTCGTTTGTCTGTTTTATCATCATTCGCTCCCTCCCCGAGTATTTCCTTCATTTGCCATGTCTCTTTCCTTGTCTCTCCTATGGCTTGATGCAAACCGCCTCGCCTTCTATTTTGTCGTCTGGTCTGGTCTCTGGCGCATTCCTTAAAAGAGCGGGGTTGAATTTAGTCGGTTCATTGAGTGGTGTTGATCTGCTTGCTGGGTTCGCGCTTTGCTGAGGAAATCAATGACGGATGCACTGTAGTGTTCAGTTTCACTGCATCTTTTAAACAGCACTCTCTTATTCCATGAAGCACACTAATTGATCTAGACCGTTCCGTTATATCTTTGAGGTTACTGCGGTTCATTCGGTTTGACTACGTGTTAGTTGAACAAGCTCCAAAGCTCGAATGCGGTCTATCCAAGTAGAGTAATCTGTATCGACACGTGATCCTCTGATCGTAAACCCTTCCACGGTCAAATAATGTCAACAACCAATGCAACCCCGAATTCCAACCTGCCCGGAAGCACACTCATAGTCAGAATAATTTCCACTCACGCCAAGTTTTCAAATCAGATCTCCCCCAAAATGCCGCCCCCTCCAATCCATCGCCGCCAAGAATCGAACACCACTTACTCCCGTCCCTCAACCCTCCCAGGAAGCGGAAATTACAACACAACAGGAACCCACCCATTCAGCACAAATCCAAACACTACAAACACCCCCAAGTACAGCTCCAATGCCTCAACCCCTTCTATGTCCGCTGCCAAATCACGGCAATATGCCCACCTCCATTCCCAGCTCGCACAGCTCAACGCCAACCTCGCCGATACGGAGAACCTACTCCGCATGACCGCCGTGCAGGCCGCGGACATGCGTTTTCTAGGTGGATATTCTGGGGCGCTGTTTATGGGCTCTGCGAAGATTCTGGGGGAGGAGGGGGTTAAGGGAAATGCGGACAAGGATAAGAGGACCAATTCCGAAGAGGGGAGCATCAAGAGGGAGAAGAGTGACGAGGATTGAATTGATGCATCATCAATGATTGAGTAATGATTTGATATGACATGGTGAGTCGGATCCATCAAGATTGTGTCGGTGGTAGTTTACAATAATAGGCTGTAGGTGATGATTTCCATGACCCACGCTAACAAATATCCAATGTCTTAAAAGCAGAGATGTGACCTCCTTTCTCCTGTCCCCTCTATCTTACCGAGGTGTTATCTTACTCCACCACGAATTGACCACCGAGAATGATCGCTGGCTCATCGATGTTTTGGTGTTCATAACTAGTTTCCAGTCATGTTAGCCGTGCTCCATATACTATGGCAGACAAGGAAGTTTTCTCGGCCCAAAGGTCGAGCCTTACCTGAGTGTGCCTATCCCGCCAGCCTCAAGAATCAGTGACGTTTCCGTCAACGGCTTTCCAACCCAGCGCATGGCAAACGCACGCAGAATATGACCATGTGCGACAATAAGCACATCGCCCTTGGGCTCATCCGGGTTCTCGAAGCAGGGGCGCTGGTATTTGTTCTTGATGTCATTGATCAAAGCGTCGAGGCGGCGAATGACATCCTCAGGGGATCTGGCAGACGGGGAATGAATGTTAGCATGGGGATGACGACACCACAACAACTTTCAACGCGTAGCTGGATGCAAGGCCTGGCACCAGAAGATAGTGACAAATAGAACCACTTACTCTCCACCGGGACACCCATCGGTCCAAATATTCCACGGCCCCTCGCCCCTCTCAGCCCGCTGCTCGCGGATCTGCTTGCTCGTCAACCCCTCATAGTCTCCGTAATCCCACTCTCTAACTGCCTCGGTCACCTCAACCTCGGCCTCGGTTCGGATTGCCTCATTGTTTTCGGGCGTCTCTTGTTCACTCCAAGGCATTCGTCCGCGACAGCCAAGCTCGAGGAGCTCTAGAGTGCGCTGGGCGCGGGCGCGGGGCGAGACAAAGCTAGAACGGTGTGTTGGTTACCATTGGAGTGGAATAGTGTAGATCAGTGATTTCTTACACATGGGCGAGCTTCTTAGGAACCACTAGTCTGTCGTCTCCGACGAGGGCTTTGCCTGTAGCTTGAATGCGCTTCTCTCCATTGGCTGTCAGTGGGAGGTCGGTGAGACTGGTGTGTCGGCCATTAAGCGACCATTCCGTCTCGCCGTGGCGGATAATAAAGCATCGAGGGGCCATCTGCTGGGAGCCGTCAAATTTGATTCTAGTAGAAAGAAAGGGAACAACGAAACAAAAGAGAGGGGATCCAGTTCGAGTTCACTAGGACAGCAGGGCTGGGTCTTCTGTGCGTCATGGTGGACCCCGATAACAGGCTTATCAACCATTTTCTGCCATGCAATTCCGTTGTATGTACAGTTGAGCTTCAACTTATTCGGTTTTACTTAATGGTATCTTAAACATTAGATTCTTTTTTGTTCTCAATCCTAGCCCGCCGAACAGCCAACCTCTGAAAAGAATTCCAAGATATCACTGACAAGACACTTCAAAACTCTGAGCCGCCTTCTTCCGCGAGATGGGCTTGCACTTGGTAGTGGTTCGAGTCTTGATCTCTTCGATCATCGCATGTCGTGAACACTTCTTGTCCCTGAACAGTTCCACCTTGCAGCTCGGATCGATGCTAACGTTGATGAAAGCCTCCGCACCCCCGTTTTCAATCTTGCTGCGGCAGCCAGAGGACCCCTGCCCCGCATAGGTGACTGTAGTGCCAACGCAGTGCTTGTTGTGAAACAAGTCAAAGGTCCAGTGAGGCCGATGGACCTGGAGCTCTGCGATGGGAGGGGGCGAGGTGGAAAGGCCGGTTATGGTTGCTGGGAGGAGGATTAGGGCAAAGATGGGTGGTTGGATCAGCTTCATTTTTGGATTGGTGGGTTAGTTGGATTTTTTTCTCAACGGGGTATGCGAGTTGAGAGCAAGTGAGATCGAGAGCATACCATCTTTTTCTTCTACGAGCTTGAGGTCTTTATAGTGCTTTTGTATGATTGCGTAGTTATGACTGCCGTGTTGGGTCTGACCGCGGGTTGACGCGCACATCTTGCACATCTTGCACATCGGGGTTCGTAGCTTATAGCGTTGTACTTGATGTGCTTTTCAATTTGTCTTACAAGGCTCAGATCTTTGCATCTATCCATGGCTTCAGGATTATCAACTAGCCTTAGTAAACATCAACTTGGCCATACGACCATGGCCCTCTAGCACTTGCTACTTGTTATAACCGATTTCAAGGCTCTGTTAACCAGGCTGAGGATATCTTTTTTGATTTTTTGGATTACAGAGTCCTGAGTACTTAGTTGCCCTCTTCCTGGCCTCCGATCCAATGCTTCTATAGATGGTGTCTACCGCCTTTCTCTCCGCTTTGTTTGTACTCTTTGCATCAAGTCAGAAGGCCAAGTTGTCGAATGCTCTGCCAGACAAATATTGACGTATTGGCTCATCCAAATCAACATGGAACGCCGACTCGCATCTAGAAATGTGAGCTTGGAGTGGGTTGAACGAAGTAATCAAGATGGGGACAGTATCTCGGCACATCTCATTCAAAACACATACGCCCGGCTGAAACTCCAGTATGCAGAAAGGTTGCGCCAGAATTGGATTGAACAACTTGAATCGCCCAATCAAACCCTTGAGCAGCTGTCTCTGGCTGCGTGTCTGATTGAATTGTGGAGGAGCATGTACGGCGCTCTACCAGCAACAGAACAAGAAGAATCATCAAAAAATACACTGCCATTCCCAGGGTTCGTGGACCTGGCTTGTGGGAATGGTATCCTCGTGTGTATACTTCTCATGGAAGGATACAAGGGCTTAGGTTTTGACGCCTGCCGTCGAAAGTCCTGGGAGACATTCCCAGCGGAGATACAGGACTGCCTGGAAGAGAGAATCTTCATCCCGCAGCCTTTTATGGATGTATTGGAGTTGCAAGAAATTGGCGTTAAGATACACACCGGCGAATTCCCGGATAAGACATTCATCATATCCGACCATGCAGATGAACTCACGGTATGGACTCCAATAATGGCCGCTTTATCAAGTCCCTCGTCGCCATTGCCATTCTTTGTGGTTCCGTGCTGTTCTCGTTCACTTGCTGGTTCGTCGTATCGCTATCCTCCGCCAAAGGAGGGTGGACCAGTACCAAAGAGTGAGAATGGCGATCCTGCCGCAAGGAAAGTGTATGATGCCATAGAGCAGAATTCACAGCCTGCTTCTGGTGACTTGAGGGCACTTCGTGCAATCAAGATCGAAGAGAAGACTAAGACCGGATTCCTAGGTTCAATGATTGGATCTCTCGCTGCAAAAACAATGAGTGTTGCCGAGGAAATTGGGTTCGATGTTGAGAAGACATGGTTGTGCACTCCGGGGGCCATTAACATGGCGTTGATTGGAAGTCGACAGCAGGTCACAAGCGAGTGGCTAAAGAACTCCTATTCTAAAGATTCTCCAACACAAAGTGACCAAGCAGATACAGTTTTGAAGAATATCATACAAGTAGTTGAGCGTGAGTGCTTCAAAGATGGTGGCATCCAGGTAGCTGCTAATCTTTGGGTTGAACGGACGAAGATTCTTCACCAGGGACAGGGAACAGCGCACCAAGCTAATTAAAGATATCCAAATTGAAGCTAATCATCTGTCAATGGCAGTCGTATATTATTCCTACTTACCTTTCGCCCTACCTTTTGTATTTCAAGCATCTTTTTGGTTTACGTGCTTAGAGCAAACATCCCAATTCTCCCAGTCATCGGCCCAATATCCTAAAGGGAAAAGCACAACGAATTTGAAATCCAGCAACAGAGGATTCATAAACCAGGGACGAATGATATTGGTATATCAACAGATACACTCGAGACACATTCACACCTAAACACAACATAAATCATGGAGGGGGGAATCGAGAAAGGAGTTTGCTAGTGTACAATGATGTTACAGACCTCTCCAGCCCCATTGATATTAGTTGAAGATCCAAATCAAAACGCCGAAGCTCCCATTTCAAGGCAATCAAACCGTCCAACATACTTTAATCATATCATGCATCAGTCTTAGTATGGCCCTCATGGTAAACGGTCTCTTTTCCATCCGCACGAGCATTGTTGGAGGCCGTGGCCGATGCCTGCGCAGCAGCCTGAGAATTGGCAGGTGTCGATTTCAAGTTCCTCGATGTAGCTTGAGCCGCAGCCGCAGCTGCATTCTCTTTAAGGCGTCTCATGCGCTCAGGTCGGCCTTCCCCTGGGAGACTGCCCCAGACCGGTTCGATTGAATCTGCGCGCCAATTATTGCGATTTCCACCGAGTGCATTGCGCTTTGGGGATAAGGGGGCAAAAGTGTCGCATCCCACGCCGGATTCACCCCACATGCGGACCCGCTGAAGCTTGCGCAGTTTGGAGAGACCGTAGACACAGACGAGACCAGTCAGCGCAAAGCAGATCACGGAGACACCTCCGAAACCAAAGTCTGATTCTTCAATAAAATTCTTCAAGTTCATGCCGTAGAGGGCAGAGAAAAGTGTCCCGGTTGCAAGGCCGAGTGTGCCAATGCTGAATTTGAGATCCATGAGCATGAGCGAGTTGCGGTTGGCGTCGAGAATAGCCTTGACTCTGAGTTGTGTTAGAGGCGAATTCAGCTTGCTATGAACGATCAAACTTACACTTCCTCCGTATTGCGAATATTCGTCACCAGATTGCCACTGGCCTGGACGATCTCATCGCACACTTTGTGGTATGACTCTAGAAGCATTTCCACTTCTTGATGGTCATCCTCTTCTCGCTCTTTGCCGGCCGATCTCTCAGATAGGTACATTGCAGCCAGATCGTCATCGGCCTCCAGAAGATCGTCAATAGCATCTCGTACCAAGCGAGCTTTCTGCTCAAATGTACCTAGTTTCTTGGAGTAGATCAAGAGGTGCCGGAGTTTATCTCGGTCGATATCCTCCTCGAGCGCACGAAGGACCCGCACAACGGGATCTCTCACTCCATTAAACTCCTCCTCCAGTCCGCTCGTGACACTGATGAGAACGGCTTCCAGCGCGCGAAACTCGTACGGCAGTGATTGACTAGGCTGAGCGGCACCCTGAGATTGTTTCTGGCGGAGCTTTCCTTCTAGATCATAGATGAACAGCGATTGCATGTATGAGTCTGTTGAGCCGTACGCGTCGAATACTAGTACCCGGTCCGCTTTGATGAGCACTCGCAGATGCAAGAGATTGATGAGAATTGCTCTAGGTCGCACGAGAATATGCGGGAGAGTCGACGAATCAATCTTGCGTAGATCTCGAGGGAGAAGGCCATACTGTATCGCAATTCATCTGTTAGCAAATGTTGGACACTCGAACCCGAGTCCTCTTTACCAACCTTGGCAATCAGCTCCTGCTTTCGGAACTCTCCATTCACGAGTGTGACATCTCCATTGATATCAAACTCCGTGCATCGAATTCGCAGCTCATTTGACGCCTTGGCTGATAGGCTTCGGCCAATGTTAAACATGCCCTCCGTCCCTTCATCCACAAGCCCAGGGTTAGTCGGGCCCTGATTCTGGTATTCGGAAGCCTTGTTTCGCTTGATATCAAAAAGCCGTCGGAGAAAGGGTCGGTTTTTGGTTGACGCACGGCGCGAGAATTTCAGCTGCGTAGGAGCCAATGGCGACGACACCATTGCTCTAGTGGGGTTCAATTTTCCATAATGAGTGCTGCAAAGTGCGGTATCAAGTATTTCGGAGCCATGAGGACCATCAAAACGTGTCCAGGTTGAGAGTTTCGGGGATGATCCTGTCGAGAAGCCTTTATCGCGGCCGACAAGACGCTTCGGATAAGTGCATGCTGATGGTGCGGCTGGGAGCCCAGACTGTGATCGTAGGAAGCGCAATAAAGAGGCAGAAGGCGCAGATAGCCTCGGAGACAGCATGTCTCTGGATTAACGACAGAGCTGTAAGCAAGTTCTCCCGATCAGATCAGATATGCTTTTTCCCGGTTCCCGGAACAATGTTGGCCCGAGAAATCAGTGTTGTACAAAGTGCCTGCTATTAAACCGCAACTTGCTGTTTCACAAATGTCTTGTGCTCTGAGATTTGGGAAAGAGGCTTTATCTAGATACTGCTACCAACTGCTCAAGTCAAAGCATTTCCTTCTCGGCATTCCAGTTCAAGCAACCTCTACAGTAAAATGGGTTCGTTGTGGCTGAACTCTTTTGTGGAACTTGGAGCTGGTCTGGTTGATGGAAACAAGGCCAAAGGGGCCCAAGAGATGGAAGACAAAGCACAGGATTTTAACGGGCAAAGAACCAATAGATGAAGAATCAGGCTTCATCTCGGATGAATAGCGGTATCCTCTTTATAGCGAAACTTTGAGCATGGTGACTATTATACTGTGAGAGAGACAAGAGACGGACCAGACTGTATATGCAATCTTAAGAGAGAATGCTTTGTAGTAAAAGTCATGGATGTCTGGCGTTTATGCCTATCCCAGGCAGGTGAGTTTATGATTTATGACGCTGTAAGCTGAACTCCATTTGGTCACAGCCTTGGAAGCATCTGCATGTAGGCCGTTGGCATTGAACTGAGAGAATTAAAAAAGAAACATGCACTTCTTCGTACTGAGACTGTCTCTCACATCCACTGCATCTACCATTGAAAGCTATATACAAAGTGCATTGCCCCTCTTTTTTTTTCCCTCAACACTTCAAACCAAACTTTTAGGCAAAACGCTGGACCAAGAAACAGAATGCTCAATGCTCACAAGAATGCGCAAAAGCCATTGGTATCTTGAAATTCTTCAACGATCCAACCGAAGACCAACCACTCACCAATCGTCGTCGTTGTCATTCTCGTCATCTACCATTGTTGTTAGCATTTAGATCCGCGTTTACATGTTGGAATTGACATACCGCTTCCGCTGACTCTCTGTTTTCGCTTGTTGAGAGCGTCTTGTAATGCGCCGGCCAAACCACCTTGCGGGTTGCCTCCTGCACTGGGGCTTGTGGTCGAGGACTCGTTGGCTGCACCGGGCATCAAGGCTTTACTTCGATCTTTCTTTTCAGTTTCCTTGACCTTGCGCAAGCCTCCGCCTCCATGGCCACCAGAAGCTCGGATGGACGCTAGCAGATCGCTGTGCCCACCGGCGGGCTTTGGCAAAGGTGGTCCAGCACCACCAGGGGGTGGAGGCGGAGGAGGGACACCACCTCCAGATGCTCCAGGCGGAGGAGGCGGAGGAGGAGCACCTCCAGGTGCTCCGGGCGGTGGAGGCGGCGGTGGTGGTCCACCTGGTGCCCCAGAAACAGGTGCAGGAGGAGGGGGAGGTGGAGGTGGAGGCATTGAGGGGCCACCCCGGCCCGGAGGCGGAGGGGGCAGGGGGCCACCGGGTGCTGCAGAACCAGGCGGCGGAGGCGGGGGAGGTGGGACGCTAGGAGAATGCTTAGGTGCCGAGGGGGGGAGGGGGGGAGGCAATACTGGTCCTCTTGGGGGTGGAGGAGGAGGAGCTGCTGCAGGAGAAGACGGTGCAGCTGGCACGGGTCGAGGCGGTGGGGGTGGAAGTGGGGGCGAAACAGGGCCTCTGGCGGGCGGAGGAGGAGGTCCAGTTGAAGTAGTCATGGGCGGCACTTTAGGAGGCAGTTGGGGTGGTGCTGCCGGGCTTGCTGTGCGAGGCGGCGGAGGGGGAGGGCCACCTGGTGCAGGGCTACGGCTGGGGGGTGCCGGGGGCGCAGACACCTTGCGGTCACCAGAGAAAGGCGGTGGTACCCCAAATCGCGAGTGGCTTGATTGGTATTGGCTATCATCCATTGGTGTCTTTGGTGGCCGTGGGGGCGGTGGAGGCCCAGGCCCAACATTGACGTTCGAAACTGCGCGTGGACGCCGCGGAGGTACAGGGCCGGCGGGCTCTGCGAATTTTCCTGCATCTGCAAATGGAGGCGGCGCATTGAATCTCCGCGCAGGCGGAGATGGCTCACGAGGGGGGGCAGAAACCGATTCTTCTGGTGCTTCAGATCGTGTTTTCCGTGACGGAGGCGGCGGCGGCGGTCCCCTTCTGCTTGTCGAGCTGGAACCCGTGACTTGGGGACTGATCGAGGCTACTTTCGGAGTGGGAGGTGCAGAAGGTGGCGGTGGAGGAGCAGACTCGGCCGCCGCTGCCTGCTTCTGGTCAATCCAAGCTTTGATGAATTCGGAATTCTCGGCGATTTGGTCCTCGGTAATTCCCATCCCCTTAAGCTCATCCAGCAGTCCTTTCCAAGAAGGGTCACTCGTATCAAATGGTAAATCTGGCTTGGCTGGTGGTACACTTGGGGATAGCGTCGGAGGCGGAGGAGCAACCTGAATTGAAGGCGCAAATGCTGTCGGCGGTGGTGCACTTGGAGCTGGGCTCGAACGATGCAACAAGCTGCCAAACAAGGACCGTCCTACTTTACCATTGGTAACAGGAGCAGGTCCCTGGCCTCGAGTAGATGCAAAAGGAGTCTTGGTGGTCTCTTTACTTGCATGTTTCTCGCGCTCATGCACCTTCTTGATAAAGGTCTTGGCCTCCTTTTCGTCGACAAAGGACAGGCCGGCGGGACAGGTTTCAAGTTCAAATGTGTGAAAGAAGGTTCGGTCCTGGTTGTAAGCGAAGTTGTCATAGATCTCCTGATCCCAGATCACGCCCCTGCCAGCGGGCTGCATAAAACAACACGTTGTCAGCATTTCTACTCATGTCTCCAACACCAGTATGAACCGCTTACCGAGACATCGACTATTTTCAGCCAAAACGTCCTTCCTACAAGGTCATTGCAGAGGACAGCAGCTCCTTGAATTCCGGTATATGTCCATTTCTGTCCATCCGGGTAGGCAACGTAGAGTCGCGCGACAGCTACGGCAAGGATCTTGTTGGCGGGTTTGGGGACATTCCGCTTGACAGTTTCCTTGTCTGCGTCACTGAGAATGGAGGGCATGGTGAATCGAGGTGGTCCCCTAATAAATGGACAGGGGAGAGGTGATAGTTCGAAGGGTGGTTACGTGAGTAGAGCACACATTGCAGCCGGGCGGGTATCTTCAAATGATGGAGTAGTGCCCTCAACACACCAACCGATACGGTAGTGATGGAAGGTACAGTATTTCTTTGTGATTGATTAGATTTGAAAGCCGAGGTGTTAGAGAGGAGCCGACCGGCGGTTGCCTTGAGAGTTGGAGAGGGAGGTGAGAAGGCGCAGGCGGGGCGGACCCAATATACACCGGAGTGACCTAGGCCTACTGCAGCACCGCCATACCGGCACGTGGTACTTTTCTTGTACTGTTCAAAGTGTGGCTAAGCCAGTACTTACTCATTTGACATTTCTTCTGTTTGATATCTTGATATCATGAATCTAGAATTATCGGAAACCAATCATTTTGAACATACGAATTAATATCGTATTGCAGGTTCATCATTGACGAGGATTGCTGAATGCGGCTCAACATGCCCATTTCAACATGTTCGAAATCACTCAGGGAGCCATTGAAAGATGACTCTCACTTCTGCCCAGGTGATCACGGCTTACTATCTAAATTGGATCTAAAAATGTGTTGGATACTTGTAGGATAGTAACACATGCCTATCTTGACTGTGTATGAATGTATCATTTGTGTCGCAACTATCCATAGATAAAACGATAGTTCTCCATCCTCCGTGTTTACCTCCGAAATCAAATGCACTATCCTTCGGGTTAGCTGTCCTGATTAGCATTTTTTTTAAATTAAATCACAGCGACTTTACGACACGCCCTCAAGTTGTGCTCTTTACACCCCAGTATGACCACTAAAAATAATCAGTAAATTTTGGAAACAACTACATTGGCATTTTATTGATTCTCATGAAGTGGGTGTGTTTAGGCAACTTCTATGCTGACAGTTGCAATCAGACCACCGACGTCATCCCGCTTGTGATCTACAAATCAGACGTCCAACCAACCTTCAAGACCTGCTCCTTCAACTCACCATCAATAAATCATCAGATTTATTTCATCAATCTACGGCGAAGAACAATCAGTACCAGCCAGTGAAAACTCAACAAGATACTCTTCTTATCTTCAAAATGCCGGTCATCCCCGAGTCGTCGGACTTCCCATCTGCACCCCACAAGGAAGGCAATGAGGCCGAAAAGAAACCAGGGCAACAACTCCCAAAAGCGACTGCAACGGACTTCTTGTCAAAGGGACCTCAGATTCCAGACAGTAAGTTGACTGCCCGACTCGCACAGGCCCGCGACTGACACCTTGTAGATATGCCCCCCAAGGCGTCGAAAGAGGAGCTTGAGGCACGCGCGAAGGAACTGAACAAATCGGCCAACTGAGAGATAAATGACAAACCACGTTCATATGGGTGCTTCATTCAATCACAATTTCTGTCATTCCAGGCAACCTGCCCTTGTTCAAGTGTGTGTCTATAGCGGGTCATGGCCCAAACTCAGTTTAGTTAGTATATAACGGAGAGTAGCTGCCTTATGATAACAAGTGCACCTATTGGAATTCAGCTATTTTTCTTCAAAGGCTACGTCTACTCCCAACCAAGGACCTCCTACGGTCGGGTTAGTTCACCAATTAACCATTCGATTCATTACGTCATGCATAATGACACACGTGATCACGCGATATCTCATTGACTGGACCCCTCATTCCTTGACGCGTTAGGAAGCGCCCCCAATGCCTCCAGAACGGTCCAGTGTGCCTGTGAAGCTGTCTCTACCATTGGTAAATGGCTCTACTAGCCCAGCGCAGGCTTACCGCTAACCCCAATCAAGCAATACCAGCAGGAGCTCTTCACCGAACTACGCGCCGAAGATGAGCTAGTCATCCTTGCCCGAGGCCTAGGGCTTCTACATCTAATAACAAACCTCCTCCACTTTTACGATGCGGCGGGAAACAATTTGGTCCTGGTGGTGGGTGCAGATGAACGCGAGAATGAATGGATCGGAGAGGGTAAGTGGATCGGTTTCTATTCCAGGCCGGACGCCAGTGTTGGAAGCTGATGGCTCCTGAAATCAGCTTTGGCGGAACATTATGCTACCAGCAAGTCCCCTCTTGCTAGGGGGTTGAAGGTGATCAACACCGAGAAAGCTACGGTGCCGATGCGGTGGGTTTCACATCTCTGCCATGTCGATTGCGGTGTGTTGACAAATTTCCAGAGAGAGAATATATGGCGAAGGGGGTATTCTGAGTGTTACATCCAGAATATTGGTTGTGGATTTGTTATCCAGTAGGTCTGTCTAGTGGAATGGCTCAAGGCACTCGCTGATCTTTCCAGAACTTCTTGATCCCGAGAAAGTCACTGGGATGGTCATTTTGCATGCTGATAAGGTTTTTGCGACGTCCCTCGAAGCATTTATTGTCCGAGTCTACCGGCAATCGAACAAGCTCGGCTTCTTGAAAGCATTCTCAGACTCCCCGGAACCATTTACTACGGGCTTTGCCCCATTAGCTAATATGCTGCGGAACCTTTTTCTACGCAAGGCGTCACTGTGGCCTAGATTCCATGTTTCTGTTGCTGAATCTCTAGAAGGAAATCGCAAGGCAGAAGTGATCGAGTTGGAAGTTCCTATGAGCGACAAGATGAGGGAAATTCAGAATGCTGTTCTGGAATGTGTAGAGATCAGTATCACTGAACTCAGGAAAAGCAACACCGGGCTGGATATGGAAGAGTGGACGTTAGACAGTGCTTTGCACAGAAATTTTGATATGATCATCAGACGTCAATTAGACCCAATCTGGCATCGTGTGAGCTTCAGGACAAGACAAATCGTCAGCGATTTGACAGTCCTACGAGCAGTCCTTCAGTATGTCCTCCACATGTCTTTTTATTTCTCTATGCTTACAGCTCTGCAGTGCTTTACTCAGCTACGATGCGGTATCTTTTGTCAAGTACCTTGACACTATAGTATCTGCCCATGCTCCGCCCCCCGGATCCAACAGGCATAATCACTCTCCGTGGCTTTTCCTTGACGCTGCTCATATTCTCTTCCAGACAGCCAAATCGCGAGTCTACGAAGGCAAATTGAATAACGAATTGACCCGCCTTTCATCTTCAACCACGTTTGCTTCTGATTTGAATCCGGCTCTAGAGGAACTGCCAAAGTGGAGTGTCTTATCAGAGATCCTTGCAGAAATTGAACACGATGCTTACCTCCATCCTGCAAGAATGGATCATTCGAACAGCACCATATTGATTATGTGTAGTGATCAACGAATATGCCGCCAGCTTCGCGAGTATATTGGCACCATGCATTCCAAAATTGCCGAAGGGTCTGAATCCAAAGAGGATAATGATCCTAGCGAGGATAAACCTTCTGCAGAGCTTATGATGCGGCGTCGGCTGCGAGAGTATCTGAACTGGAAGAGGTCTCTCTCAAATGTCAATAAAAATCTGTCCCAGTCAAGAGAGGATGACAGATCTGGAAAACCTCCCGAGTCGTCAGCGGCTCGGAGTGCGCATCAAGGACGACCTCCCCCAAACAAACGCCGTCGAGTACGCGGCGGCGGTGCAGTCACCTCAGCTGCAGGTCGTGTGCCAAACAGCAGTGTCCAAACCGAAGTTGAATTGCCCAGTCAGGTCGTCAATTTGCTAAGCGATATCCAACCTACTGAGGTGGAAGACATGCAAAAAGAGGAGGTTATGGTCGATGAACTAGTGGATATGGATGTTTTCTATGAATTGTATGATATGAACGATCTGATCATGATACATCCCTACGACGGTGACATGGATGAGCATTTACTTGAGGAAGCGCGTCCGCGATACATTATCATGTACGAGCCTGATCCCGCATTCATTCGAAGGGTTGAGGTATATCGCAGTTCCCATTCGGGGCGAAACGTGAAGGTCTACTTCATGTATTATGGTGGCTCTGTCGAGGAACAGCGGTATCTGAGTGCTGTTCGACGAGAGAAAGACGCATTCACAAAGTTGATCAAAGAGAAGGGGGTAAGCTACCCAGCTACAAACTTCATATTTCTAGCTAATGTGATTTTCAGACCATGGCAGTCACCTTGACGCATGATAAAAAGGCGGAAGATCCCCAGGAGCAATTCCTCCGGACAGTCAACACTCGTATTGCTGGAGGAGGACGACTGGCAGCTACAGCATCCCCTCCTCGGGTTGTAGTTGATGTGCGGGAATTCCGAAGTGCCCTACCATCTCTTTTACACGGAAATAACATGATCGTGATTCCCTGTCAGCTCACCGTGGGTGACTACATTCTCACTCCAGACATTTGTGTCGAAAGAAAATCGATCCCTGATCTCATAAGCTCGCTCAAGAACGGCCGCCTCTACAACCAGGCCGAGACCATGATCCAGTATTACAAGAACCCGTTACTATTGATCGAGTTTGATCAAAATAAATCTTTCACTTTTGATGCGTTCGCCTCTGTTCCAACAGGGTCCACATTTATGACAGACTACGGTTTCTCATCTTCCGGCACTGCAACCAGCACTACCAGCAGCTCGCTTGCCAATCCGTCCAACCCAAAGTCCGCTCAGCATTTGCTTGTGCTCCTCACTCTCGCTTTCCCACGCCTAAAGATCGTCTGGTCTTCATCCCCTTATCAAACAGCAGAGATTTTTGCAGAGCTCAAAAAGAACGCTCAAGAGCCCGACCCACTGCGTGCGGTGCAGCTAGGCCTTGATATTGATATAACTGACTCGTCTGGCGATGCCGACGTCATGGCTGCCGCTGGGATTGAGCACCGTACCTTTAATCTTCTTCCACAGGATATGTTGCGAGCTGTTCCGGGCGTTACACCCCAAGCTCTAGAGCGGCTGATTATCGAAACAGACAGCATTAGTGATATTGCCAACATGGATGTCGAGCAGCTTGATCCACTGGTTGGCAAAGAAGCTGCACGTAAGATCGTCGCTTTCTTCCAGAAAAGCGTATTTGATTAATGGGGGATTGGGTCTGGCGTTTATAATGCATTCTGTATCCAATCATAACTTTCGATACGAATGGCAAGTTCACAAAAAGACTGCCTAGGTACATGCATCAACATAGGCGGTAATGTGCCACAAATGCAACTACATCATCCCATCCCATCTTCCTATTTTTCCTCAAATCAACCCGAAGAACAGAAACCAAGGTGGCAAGCAAGTGAGACATCCGAATTATGGACAATTAATCGATTTGAACCTGGTCTATCCCATAGGACTTCTTTCCGTCTTGGCGACGATCGTGCAGATCAGCTAAAAACAGAACCAACAGCCGAAGCAAGGACCCCTGAGAAAGAGTGGAGATGTGAATCCCTTTGAGGCCAGAAAAAATAATGACTCCTAATATTTTCAACTTATCACCATGCATCTCAAGACTGTGTTGACTCCGGTCGCATTGGCGGCTGCTGTCAGAGCTGACAGAAGTACACGCGATGTTGAGCCGTGTGCTCAGATAAGCAATTTGGTGGAAGAAGCCAATAACAACCAGAGTACGTCATGAACTAGAAATCATCGGTTGATAACTAATGGTTGTAGCAAATGCCATTGTACCTCATGATCTCGCACATCAATGTCTGCTATCTATGCCCTTTGACTCGGACCGCGCCGTTGATTTCCTGATTCAGGTTCGCAAGATCCTCGAGTTCCAATCGACTATCGATATTTTGAAGGGTAAGCGATATTCATTCGAAGGAGGATCTTTCAAACTGGCTAAATTACATTGCTAGATCCACCATTGGGGTATGCCATGCCCTCCACCGATATCATGGGGGAAATCGATATAATCATGGGCAAGGCCAAGAGCAAAAGCTATGCCAGCCAATTTGAGATGGACTTGGAAATTAACCACCTTATCACAACGGCCCACGATGGTCACCTAGTCTTCCAGCTATGCTCGCAGTCAATCTTCACATACCAAATTGACATGCCCCTTGTGTCAATCTCAACAGATGCGCTCGCACTTCCTCAAGTGTACACTTTAGGTATGTTTAGCCCGATATCCGTGTCATAACATTCAAATAACATGCCAGATGATGCAAAACTGCAGAAAATCGATCCAGACGCTGTCTCGCCTCTGGTTTCCATCAACGGTACTGACGTGGCTACATTCCTTGAATCATATGCCAAGGATCAGAACCTCCAGGATCGCGATGCACAGTAGGCAGCCTTCTGAAACTAAGGTATTGGATCACACTAACTGTCGCAGGTATAATCGAGTATTCCCGGCGCCAGCCCGCAGTGTCACCAACACTCCTACTAGTGTGAATGGAATCTGGGCTTCCATTGGAGACTGGACTGATGGTGCTCAACTGTCCCTCAAGTTTGGAAATGGCACTGAAAAGACTATTCAAAAAACAGCCACACCGAGCGAAAAGTTCTTTTCTTATAAAGACGGCACGAGCCTCTACGAGATAGAGTGTCTTTCTCGAGACTTGTCTTCAGCTTCGAGCAGCCCATCCAGCGCCGAGAAAGACTCCTCTGAGATAGCAGGATTCCCCAGCACTACGTGGCGCAACTCAGCCAATTCAGTTGCTGGATATTACTCCAAACTATCAGGGCTGGAGGACACCGCAATCATCTTTTTGCCCACGTTCTCATCCAGCGCCTCAGAAGTCGCGAAGATTGCGGTTAACTTTTTGCAAAACAGCACCGAATCTGGAAAGAAGAATGTATTGATTGACCTCTCATCCAATCCCGGCGGATACATGTCTATTGGCATCGACCTATCCCGTATCTTCTTCCCCAATGCTACCCCATACACAGCCACGCGGTTCCGAGCCCACGATGCAGCTAAATACCTCACAAAAGCATACTCGCGCGACAACGGTACGGATACAAGCAATGTTTTTGCACATGGACAGATGGTTCGGCCTGACCAGAGAACGGACTTCGGCTCGTGGGAAGACCTCTATGGGCCGCACGAAATTCTGGGGAGCTCTACTTCTAGTCTGCTAGCCAACTTCAACTACACCTCCACCTCTTCTAAGAACTTTCCCATTAACGGTTACGGGCCAGTGCCATTGAACCCAAGCAAACCACCCTTTTCAGCTGACAACATCGCTCTTGTAAGTGATTGTTTCCCGCACAAGAGTCCAGAAAAGAGAAAAACAAACTAACTCAGTCTCTAATATCAGATCACAGACGGCGACTGTGTCTCAACTTGCGCGTTCTTCGTCAAGTTGATGAAACGACAGGGCGTCCGCACAATCGCCTTCGGTGGCCGTCCACAAAAGGCACCCATGCAGGGCGTCGGCGGTGTCAAGGGCGGCCAGTCACTCGGGATCAACTATATTAACGGATATATCGAGCAAGCGAACGGGCTTATTAGAGAATCGGTCAACAGTGGATCGCCAATCCTGACATCTGCTGAGTGGAAGGCGTTCAATGAGTCCAGCCCGAGCACAACGGCATCGCTCCAGTGGAGTGGCAATCTGAATCTGCGGAATGAGTATGACCCGGAAGATGGTCAGACACCGCTGCAGTTTGTTTATGAGGCTGCTGAATGCCGGCTGTTCTATACGCTGGAGAATTATTTGGAACGGGAGACGGTTTGGCAGGCTGCGGCGAAAGCTATGTTTGGGAGTGGGCAGTGTGTAGAGGGATCGACGAAGGGGAAGGGTAGTTTGGATTCTTGATTTAAATGGCCATCTGGCAAAAAGCATACGTTGTACATAGAATAGTCTCTAGATACATCTGGCCTGCACTTGACATAGGCTAAAATTGGCTGGAGCTTAGTTACGACAATCAACTTCATGTGTCTGGTTATTGCTTTCAAGTTGGTCTATTAAGAATGGAGCAAGTATGGAGCAAGTATAAAATAATAATATTTTCAATTCTCGTGGCCCATTTCATGACTCTGTCATAAAAAAAACGAAAGAGAAGCAAGTCGAGGCTGAGCAGAGTGAACACACCGCATGCAATGCAATGCAGAAAAACAAGCACACAGGTTCATGATGTATGCGTAGCAATCATTGTAGTCTCTGTCATGATCCCAAGATATTTGCAAAAAGGACGAAAATGGTATCGAGGATCATCAACCTTGGAAAATCCAAAATCGCCAATGGACAAACACCGAGGGTCCTCTGTTCGATGGCTTCAAGCCCATAAATGTTGTCGCAGTAGCGCCATTTTGGAGGGGTGTCCCTATTCTCATGCAAACCGACGTGAGGAGCAGCGTCATAGGCCGGTGAGGTGATTGATGCTCTTAGTCCGTTTGAACGAATTTACAGAGAAAATCAGATGTCGAAAGTGCCTCGCGTGGCAAGTAGTCAAAGGCAGTTTCGGAGCAGATGAGCGACGGCACTGTGCCATCGTCGGCGAACGGGAGGAGAGGGATTTGGCGAACATGGAGAATACCGAGGGGAGTGTATCCGAGGTATTCTTGCAGGGCAGAGCATCGAACTCTGGGGGTAGCAGGGGATGAGCTTAGAGCTCGTCGACATCGATCTCCTTCTCGTCCTCGCTCTCGCGGTCCTCGTCGAACTCGACATTGTCGTCCAAACCTTCGCCGCCGTAGGTATCGGTCTCGTTGATCTTGGCGTGCTCGGGCAGCTCGCCGTAGGCCTTCAGAGAACGGGCCTCGTCGGCGGTGTACTTCATGATAACATCACCTTTCTCGTCCTGGTAGTCACGGAGCGAGAGGAGAATGATGTCACCCTGGTTGATCCAGACCTTCTTGCGGAGCTTGCCACGAATGTGGGCCAGACGCTTCTCGCCGTCGAAGCAGAGTGCCTCTAGGCGACCGTTGCCCAGCATCTTCACGACCTGAGCGTACTCCTGGCCCTCCTCCTTGAAGACGAGTTCACGCTTCTCATTGTCGTTCTCGTTCTTGCCGCGACGACGGTTCTTACCACCCTATACTTGGCTGTTAGAATGTGACACATGATGTAAAGTCGGTGGTTTCACAGGGGAAAAAAAAGCTTCGCGAGTCCAAGAAGTCGCCAGCCCGAGGAGTAAGGGTCTACTCTCGAGTGGGCGACGGTGGATGTGGCAAGAAAATTATCATCAACAGGAGGGGCTGGAGAATTTGCGCGCTTACCTTTCCCTTATTCTTAGGCATATTGTGGTTTTTTGACCTTCACCGGGGTCAAGTGTCTCTGGGGTAGATTTTTTCCTTAGATCAACGAAGATCTGAAGAGGCCTAATCGAAGTTGATTAGGGAAGTGAGAGTGGAAGAAGGAAGGAGGTGGGGGTTCTGTGCACGGTATTCAAATCTTTCTCCTTATGTAATCAGGCACTGGCTGCCCAGTGGCGTCAGTGATTTCGCCCCCGCTTACAGCAGACTCTTGCCTTGATGCCTGATTTCGGGGTAGGGTTTGACCGCCTGGGTTGAATTGGCAGAAAAAGATGAGATGAGAAAGAAACATTGTCGAGGTTAGAAATTTGCAAGGGCATTTCCTAGGAATTCCCTGAGGACTTGCAACACATGGCTATGCCAAATCTGCTAAGAGACTGAGTCTTTAATTCAATCACAGCCATCTTGGCCTCCCTGTGTCCATTCCTACCAGCAAGCACGAGACTGCCTGATCCACGCAATCTCCGAAGATTCAGCGCCTCCCGAGTACACTCACCACACATTTGTGATACTTTTCTTGTTGACTCGACTATATCTCCTTGAACACGTATCCTGAACCTCCAACTGTCTCTCTGAAGTGCCCATTAGCCCTCGCTGGCTTTGCTTAAATGAACTTGGTGGTGTTCAATCAGACATGATATCAATGTGCCACGACTCTTCTTATATTTCACAGTCCAAACCAGCATTCTTTCTACGCTCACCGATAGACCTTTCTTTCTCATCATGGCAACGAAGTTTGGCACCTCTACAAACGGTCTGATGCTTCGGTACTGGCCAAAATGCAACACCCCTCCCGTTGCCGCACGCTACTTGAATTCCCCTACCCATCCACTCCGGCCCAAAATCCTCGATCTCTGCGGCCATCGTGAAAGAAACATATTATGGTGGCGAGTTTCGGTGTCAAACCTCCAGCAAAGTAAGCGGGTGGTTCGCTCCTGGTGCGCGCGCAGAGTTCGAATTGCTATTGAACAGGCTCTGAGGCAGCAAGGATTGGATAAGCTGGGGAAACCGCTCGTTTCTGGGTCTTCTTTGCAGAGGAGAAAACTGGCAGGAACCATGGACATCTACATTCAGCCATCGTGTGTGGCACAGGACTTCGAGGCAGTCCAAAAAGATGCACATCACCTAATATCTTTGCTTCTGAATCATGAATCACCACGGAAATGACCTATTGTCGATGAGTCACACTCAAAGGGTGAAGTCTAGGCAAGTTAGGTGCATCATGTGCCCCTTTGAGATTCAATGTATATTACCATAACATCGTGTATCATACTAGCAGTCGACTGTTAGACTGTTGCTGTACATCATCTCGGTGGAATTGCGATTATAGCGTTTGGGGGTAAATCAGTTTGCATCTGAGATTCAAATGATCTCAACTCTTATTCATTCCATTCTTCATGCCCTTCGGTTTGGAAATGATCGTTGCTCCGAGGTACAGAAGTAAACATAAAAAGCGCGAGTATCTGACAACATTCCCGCATCTCGCTAAATGCCGATCTGGCGGAATCGACGACCCGGGGTCTAGGCTAAGATTCACTTGACAACCGCCAACACTCTTCCTAATCTTCCCCCTCTTTCATTCTCGCCATGTTGATTTCCTTGACAGTTGGCAAGGTAGACGCGGGTGTCGCGGTGCTCCTCACACAAGACAATCGACTCGTAAGCTCAAACCCCTGGTCACCTACTCCCTACTCTCCAGACATCGACAATTTGCAATTTTGCGGAAGACGAATAACAAATGAACACTCTTTATTGACCGATTTCCGCGCAGATCGAATTCCCTTCGGTCCTCCTTCCGAATAACATTAGCTCAGGCAGTATTGTGGATATCACCGTTTCGCGCAACCATGCCGCCGAAGCAGCGAGCGCGTCTGCCTTCCAATCCCTCCAGAAGCGAATCTTAAATACCTACGGTATCAAGGCCCCGTCACCACCTATTCTGCGCCTTCGAAATGCAACCCAAACCTCGCTCGTTCTCGAGTGGGACCCAATCGACCTAGCCACTGCATCCCTGAAATCGCTCTCTCTCTACCGTAATGGCTCTAAGGCCGGCTCCATACCCCGCCCGCTCGAGACACGCAGTACAAAAATCAGTGGCCTGGCTATTCATTCTGAGTACTCCTTCTACCTTGTCCTGCGGACTACCGCCGGCACCTACCAGTCGGAGAAGCTGACGTGTCGCACACACAAAATGACCGACCTTTCTGGTATCACTGTCACAACGGGCGTCCTTGATCCGCAGCAGAAGGAGGCTCTCGGTGCTGCATTGGACCGAATTGGAGGCAAGATGATCGACTCAGTCCGTATCGATACCACTCACTTCGTCTGCACGGAAGGACGGGGCGCGCAGTGGGAAAAGGCTGTGGAGATGAACATTCCTGTCGTGGTGCCGGAGTGGGTGGATGCTTGCGAGACAGAGGGCACTATTGCTGGTGTGCGTGGCTACTATCTCAACGCAGACCCCAAGGCCCGTCAACTCGGGATGATCCACGGCTCGACCCACCAGCGTACTACTTCTACACTTTCGACTGCGACAAATTCCAACCATGGAAGACTCAGCACTCAGCCCCAACGGAGCCCTGCGCCAGAGCAGGTGCCTGAAGAGCCTCCTCTCACTCCATTCCCTGGGGGTGAGACGAGCAGCCAGCGCCTGGCGCAGACGCAGACACAAGAGGTTAGATCACAAGAGGCTAGATCACAAGATGGGGAAGACGAACTCCCGCCTCCTCCGCCCCCGCCCAAAGATGAAATCAAAGATTTAAATGAGCCTGCCCAGAATGGTGAGGCAAAAGCGGCACCTGTTCCAGAGGCGGAGAACGAGGAGTCTGAAGCCGAAGCTGCAGAAGAAAGCAATGGAGAGGCAGAGAAAGAGCAAACACTTCCACAGAACAGGCCCGAGGATGAGTCCGTGTCAACAAAACTCGGAGGCGCAAAGGGCAAAGGAAAAGAGGGCGAGGGTGACTTCAATGAAGTACCTCTCTGAATGGCCCTCTGATGATTTACTGTGGTCTGTCTTTGCTTCGGTGTCAATGTCTTGACATCCCCTACCCTGCTTTCCCCCCTTGTCCCCCTTGTCGACCATCGTCTACGACTTCATCCAGTACAGTTTTACCTATTTGTGGTCAGTGGCTTGTCTATTCTCTCAAGCGGACAACCCATGGGACTCTTACGAACATGCTCCGACTTTGATTCCTCATTTTTCGTTCTAGTGTTTCTCTTTTGCTGTTATATGTACGGTACGCAATTTTCCTAATGCAACCTTACTCATTAACCTGGTTGATCTGGTCTGCTTGGATAGATGTTTGGAAATTACGTCGATGATTATATTGTAGGTAAGAACACCAAAACTTCACGTGTGGCTATCTCTAAGTTGGAATTCTATCATGAAATGTCGTGAATCAGATCGGCCCGCCAGATGCAAAGTCGGTAGTTATCTGCAAGAAAAAAAACTCAGCCTATGAGAGACCAAGATGGCACATCGAGACAGCCTAAACAAATTTAAATCCAAAATAAATCCAGCTCGAACTCGTTTCAAATCTAGTTTTCATTGCGAATAACATCGTCAATCGCCTGTGCAACGTAGGCGACATTCGTTTGGCTCACTGTGCCCAATGTTAGCTTGTGTTAATGAGTTATCGTGATTGGGAGTCCTTACGGCCACTGATAGATGCTCGGCCTGAGTTGAGCAGGTAGATGTGGTATTTATCCTTCAAGGCGCCGACTTGCTTGGGGGAAAGACCGGTGTAGGAGAACATGCCGTTCTAAGAAAAATGTTCAGTACAAAGTATGTTAAACATATATTAATATCCAGATAGCTCACCTGCTGGATGATGTGCTCCCAGGTGCCAGGGGTCTGCAGACGGACCAGCTCACTATACAGAGCCTTACGCATGGCCTTGATGCGCGAGCTCATGACTTGCAAGTCCCGGTGCCAATCGGCAGTAAGCTCCTCGCTGGTAAGAACCTTCTTGACGATACTGCAGCCAACGCGCGGGCCCATGGAGAACTCGCCGCGGATCAGGTGGCATAGGTTGTTCACAACCACGTCGCGAATGGTAGTTGAGGCGCGGTTGGTGCAGTAGTGGAACGCACCAACGCGCTGGCCGTACAGGCCGAAGTTCTTGGAGAAGCTCTGTGCGACACAAATCTCCATGTCCGGCTTGTTGTTGAAGAAGTAGCGGACAGCCCACGCATCCTCCTCAACAGAGCCGGACGCGAAGCCCTGGTAGGCCGAGTCGAAGAATGGGAAGAGCTTCTTGCGCTCACAAAGGTCAGCGATGGCAACCCACTGCTCCTTGTTGGGATCCAGACCGGTGGGGTTGTGCGCGCAGGCGTGCAGCAGCACAACATCGCCCTCCTGTGCCTCGGACTCAAGGGAGGACATCATGCCCTCGAAGTCGAAGGACCGAGTTTCGGCATGGTAGTACGGGTATGTCTTGCGGGGTACGCCGGCCAGCTCCCAAATGGTCTGGTGGTTGGCCCAGGATGGGTTGGACAGCCAGACGGTGCCGGGCTTCATGTGGCGGGCAAGGAACAGGGCGCCGAGATGGTTGGCGCCGGTACCGGCGACGGTCTGCACGGAACCAATACGTGCCTTCGCCTCTTCTTCACCCTGCTTGCCCTCGAATCCGAACATCAGATCCCGCGCAATGCCTATGAAAGGCACATCGCCCTCGATCGCAGTGTATTCATGGCGGAAGAGGTCGTCGTCCACTACCAGCTCCCTCTCAGCCTTTTGCACAACGGGCAGGGGCCATGGCTTTCCATCATCTGTTCGGTAGACACCCACGCCCAAGCTAACTTTCTGTGGGTGGGGATCAACTGCGTAGGCCCCATTCAGGGCAAAGATTTCGTCCGGAGGCACCGGGGAGACGTCAAGACGGGTGTCTATTTTGCTCATTATGTTGTGTGCACGGTGCAATTGAGATTTCTGGGATTCTGGGGTGACTTTTAGGCAAAATGTGTGGCGAGACCCGGCGAATATATATGTCGTTGAGATCAAAACTTTGGAATCGCCCGCTGAGTCAACCCGATATCGCCGTCTTTTTGCCCCGCAGGAAGTCCCGCTTAGTAGCGGATTCCGGGGTCCACGGGTGCTTGGAAAGAACGCAACTTGCAATGCCTTCATGTGCGCTTATTTCAAATGAAGAGATAGCCATCAATGGCCCTCTAGCTTTGTGGTTGAAGAGCAGCCTTTGAGATATGTTGTTGACTTCATCTTTGAGAATCAAACTCTTAACATCAGCATGGAATGTCATCGGAGGTCTGCTCACGCGCATTGTAAACGCACTTTCTTCACAGGAGAATAAAGATGCGTTGTAATTGTGTGGCACTTCATTCCTTGGGGGTAAATGATGGCTCGTAGTTTGTTGTGGGAGATTCTTGGAAGAGGCAGCTGTGCACCGATACAGCATGGACGGAGATGTAAATCGGGACAAGATAACACACCTTTTCCATCCTTACTTCTTTTACATCAACATTTATGATTTATTCTATATGGCTCCTATTGTCCTTCTCTGGATTTCTAGTTACGTTTATTCAAAAATTCTATTGATATTCCAATTTGGAAAAGCCTAGTGACGGGTCGATCCTTTGTTGTATGGTGCGCTTCATCTGTCCCCGGTTGCATCTAGATGAACACCTAGGAAATATATTTGAATAGGGCAAAATTATGAATCTTAAAGGAGTAGCTTAATGGCATAGCCATGACGTGTTAGATGATGTTCGAGCTGTTATTCCTAAATATCTACTGAGATGTATTGGCTGGCAGCCAATGATCACACCCCCTCCGTACACAATTCTTTAAGCCATTCATCCGATGAACCAGGAAGCGAGCATTCTTCCCGTTACCAGTATGACCTCTCAAGCCGTAGCTGGTCATTCTGCCTTGCATAAGTTTCAGGTTCCAACCGCTGTCCAGCCACTTCCAGCCACTTCACAATAGCATCCCCCCGGAGCTGCTCCCTCAGCAAGACCCAATCTACGTCGTATACTACAATGCATTTAATACCTGGCGACTGCATACTCCTGAGATCCTGATCGAAGAATTCCGCAAGAACCCTGCTCGTTATACCATTTCCTATGGCTGAGCCCTCGGCCCCAACGTTTTCCGTACCACAGAACAGAAATGTCCTGTCGATGGCTTGGAGATCACCATACGAATATTCGAGCCCGCACCCCAGCTCGACGACCAGGGTCAGCCGAAGAGCAGAGCAGCCAATGTCAACTTCCATGGCGGTGGGTGGATGTTTGGTGGACTGGCCTGCGACCACGATCTCTGCAAGCGAGTTGTCCATGGTCTTGACGGGGAGCTTGTCGCATTGGACGTGGATTACCGACTAGCCCCCGAGCATAAATATCCTATCCCTGTGACTATTCCTGTGAATAATTGCTTGACTGCGTTCAATTGGGTAGGAATCTCCCATGCCAAAACCTTGGATAAGAACCGAGTGTTGACGAGGAAACGTCTAGATTCGCACCCAAAAAGTGACCGAGTTCAATCTGGATTCAAATAGGTTCACAGTGGGCGGCGCATCAGCTGGAGGCCATCTTTCGGCCGTCATTAGCCATCTCTGCCGCAATGCAAACATACATCTGCGTCTACAAATCGTAACCGTGTCGGTGACAGACTGACACAGCGTCTTCACTCCCGAGGGCTAATTTGACCGAGACGGTTGCCCTTGTGAATCCTACCGGGAGATGGAGTTTGCGCCAGTGCTACCAGCAGCACGCATGGCCTATTTCCACCGACCATTTTTAGGAGTTCCTCGACCGGCGGAGTCTGACGAGGTGAGTTCGGACATGGACAAATTGCAAAATGTGATGCTCAATTTGTCTAGGATTGGAAGATATCGCCCATTCTGACACCAAACTTTCAAAACTTGGCCCCTGCGTTGGTGTCCACGGCGGCATTGGATCCGCTGCGCGATGGAGAGGCGTATGTAGCTAAGCTTCAAGCCGCGGGGTATCTGTAGAGGTAGACCGAATTGCAGGTTCTCCACGTTTGGTGGCTTCATTTGATGGAATTCTGGATGGAGATCGGCGATATAACAAGAAGGTGATTGCGACAAGGAAGCGGCAGCTCCACGGGATGAGAGTTCAACCGTAAACAAACCAATGTCATAGCTTTAAACCGGATAATACCAACTATTACCGATGATTACCGATTATTACGAGAATCACGGTTGAACAACCCGTCTCCCTTTGGTCTTGCCGATACCGGGAAATTTCGGCTGGGGACTCGGACAGTCGAGCTGACCTCAAATTTGAGACTTTTCTTTTAAGAGAGACCCTCAATTTCACTTCCCATAGAAGCTTTAGAAGCTTGCTGTGAGCCTTTGTATACCTTCTTTGGTACACCAATCCAATTGTCGCACAATGAATCCCATTTCCTCCCGAGCCGCGGTGCGCTCTATGGCCACCTTGACACATGCGGCCAGAGCCACCCCCGCAGCTCGCAACGTTTTGTCGCCCTTTGCTACCCGGTCTCTGAGCTCCAATGCCCGATTTACTCAGTTCCCCCGCCTTCAATCTTTGAACACTTTTTCCAACAAGCGAGCCTTTGGAACTACTGTCAGAATGGTATGCTGTTTTGAGAGAGTGCAGTGGACAAACAAAGTCAGATAAACTGATGTGATCTAGTCTGTTGACACTCGTACTGAGAGCGATGCCTTTGGTGAAATCCAGGTGAGTGAACATTGATGCAGCAATGGTACGACTTGGAGCTAATGGTTTTCTCAATAGGTCCCCGGAGACAAGTACTGGGGTGCGCAGACCCAGCGGTAAGACCCCTCGCCCAATCGATACGTTACAATGGAAAAAAAAAGAAGTCGCTGACCAGTACAGCTCCCTCGGCAACTTCGACATCAACCAGCCCCAAGACCGCATGCCCGCCCCGGTGGTCAAGGCCTTCGGTATCCTGAAGGGTGCTGCTGCTGAAGTGAACATGAAGTATGGCCTTGGTACGTGAAACTTCTCTCGCGGAAAATTAGAAACCGCCAGGTTATTGACTTGCTCAAGATCCCAAGATTGGTGAGGCTATCAAGCAGGCCGCTGCTGAGGTCGCGGAGGGTAAGCTGCTGGACCACTTCCCTTTGGTCGTCTGGCAGACTGGTTCCGGCACCCAGTCCAACATGAATTCCAACGAGGTTATCTCCAACCGCGCTATTGAGATACTCGGTGGCACTATGGGCTCCAAAAAGCCCGTCCACCCCAACGACCACGTTAACATGTCTGCCTCCTCCAACGACTCCTTCCCCACTGTTATGCACATCGCTGCCGTTGTCGAGCTGGAGCAGTCACTTCTGCCTTCGCTTAAGGGCCTCCGCGATGCCCTTCAGGTGAAGGTCGACAAGTTCGAGCACATCATCAAGATTGGCCGTACCCACTTGCAGGATGCTACTCCTCTTACTCTTGGCCAGGAGTTCTCTGGCTACGTCGCCCAGCTCGACCGTAACATCGAGCGTGTTGAGGCTACTCTCCCCCACTTGCGTTTCTTGGCTCAGGGTGGTACCGCTGTCGGCACTGGTCTCAACACCTTCAAGGGCTTCGACGAAGCCGTTGCTGCCGAGATCAGCAAGCTGACCGGCACCGAATTCAAGACCGCCCCCAACAAGTTCGAGGTTCTGGCCGCTCACGATTCCATCATCGAGGCTTCCGGCTCTCTGAACACTCTCGCCGCCTCACTGTTCAAGATCGCCCAGGATGTGCGCTACCTTGGATCCGGCCCTCGCTGCGGCCTGGGCGAGCTGAGCCTGCCCGAGAACGAGCCCGGCTCTTCTATCATGCCCGGAAAGGTCAACCCCACCCAGTGCGAGTCCCTCACCATGGTCTGTGCTCAGGTTATGGGTAACCACGTCGCTGCCACCATCGGTGGCATGAACGGCCAGTTCGAGCTCAACGTCTTCAAGCCCGTGATGATCGCCAACCTGCTTCACAGCGTGCGCATCCTTTCCGATGGCATGAACAGCTTCCGCACCCACCTGGTGGAGGGTCTCGAGGCCAACGAGTCACGAATTAACTCCCTTCTTAACGAGAGGTATGCGCTTAACTACCCTCACCCCCCTCATTTCTGATGGTAAATTCTAACTGCATGATAGTCTGATGCTTGTGACTTGCTTGAACCCTATCATTGGTTACGACATGGCCTCCAAGGTGGCTAAGAACGCCCATAAGAAGAACCTTACTCTCAAGGAGAGCGCTATGGAGCTGAAGGCTCTCAGCTCGGAGGAGTTCGACAAGTACGTCCGCCCCGAGCTGATGCTGGCTCCCAAGGAGTTGAAATAAATGAACAGCAATGCTGTCCTGTGATATCATAGACCAATTCCGACAGGATGTGTACACTGAAAAGAATTATATGTTTAATAACTCTGTGACGTTAGACAGTTTTTGCATGTCGTAGATCTCAACTTCTGGGGCTATAAATAGCATCTTCGATCGCAAACCCAATCAAGAACATTAGTGAATCGGAGTTGCCGAGATCATTCAATACGTGCGTTTTAAATTTAAATGCAGATAGAGTACTCCGTACGCACATACTAGAAAAATCCCGAAGAGAAACAAAAAAAAGAACCCGGTTGGTATGGAGAGTATTAATAGAAAAGCCCCCCTTAGTGGCGGTGTCTCACCTGCAGGGCTGTACCTGAGCCCTCCATAGTCAAGTGCTCCGTACTCCGTACTTTTTTCTCAAAATCTTGGAACCTTTTTCTTTTTTTCATTTCCACATCAAAACTCTTGTATCTTTCCTCGATTATATATAAAAAGTTCAACGAGTACATTAACTTGCTCAAATTCAAGGCCGCCGATCTCCCTTGCGAATCCCGACCCCTGATAAATAACCTGCTCTCAACCATCAATCTCTACACTCCCACACTCCCACTCTCCCACACTCCCACTCTCCCACTCTCACCCTCAAAATGACCGCACATGCCCTTGCAAGCACTACAATTCCGGAAGCTACGAAGCCAATCATGAGTTCAACCATCACCGCGGTGGACACCGCAGTCGAACCCCTCATCGACGGTCCCCTCTTTCCCCCCAACCTCATCTCTCCAGAGGTGATCTCCCTCCTGCCAACAGACTACACGATCCGGCCCATGCGCCGCTCAGACTACAACCGTGGATACCTGGACGTGTTGCGTGTGCTGACAACTGTTGGCGAGATCACCGAGGAGGCGTGGAACCAGCGGTACGATTGGATTACTTCGCGCAATGATGAGTATTACATGCTCGTGATCTGCGATGGCGCGGATCGAGTCGTCGGAACCGGCAGTCTGATTGTTGAGCGCAAGTTCATTCATTCGCTTGGTATGGTTGGGCACATTGAAGACATTGCCGTTGAGAAGAATCAGCAGGGCAAGAAGCTTGGCTTGAGAATTATTCAAGCTTTGGATTTTATTGCTGCCCAGGTTGGCTGCTACAAGGTATGTGTACTTACCTCTTGTGTTCCCTGATTCTAGTGCTTTGTCACTGGTCATCGCTGACTAGTCAACAGAGCATTCTTGACTGCTCCGAAGTCAATGAGGGGTTCTATGTCAAGTGTGGCTTCAAGCGCGCTGGCCTCGAGATGGCGCATTACTACTGAGCGATTCTTGATTGTTGGTCTTTTTCTTTTGTAATCACCTGGTTACGCCGTTTGTATGATATAGCGTTTGGGTCAATAGGGTCAGTTAGTCCGGCGAGGCTTCGGTGAGGCGCCGTTGTTCACGATAAACCTACGCAAAGTATGCGATTGTTGCATTTGAGAAAACGGAGCTGCACCTGACCCTAATCCATCGTGATTAGCATGGCCCACCGGCACATGACAAGGAGCAACCAGGGCATTTGTAGGATTTTGCATTCACCCTCACATTCGGCAATTAATTGCGCACCATGAGAGCCTTAGGGCTGGGCAGCACTTGATCTACCAATCGTGACCACGATGATGGTGCTTCTGTCATTGGCGATCCCCATCTTAGCTTGTAACACCATTGATGTTTAAATGATTTCCGCTTTCTCGAGAGCTTGCAATCAATGCATTGAGGGGATGGAGACCTAGATGGTCAGAATATAGATGTGCATTAGACAACCAGTTATCATCTTCATTCAACTTGAAAGATCATATTTTGTTCAGCTATGGGAACGTTCAATCTAACGGTGTATCTAATTTGAAGCTGCCAGAATGAAGCCATGTAGCAAAGTGACTGATTCCTTTGTACACATGTACAACGAAAAAAAGTTTTAACCAATTCAAAACATGAAATTCAATTGTAGATCTGGAGGCTGAGCCTGGACTACTTCGTTGACAAGATCCAACAGAGATACATATCCAACTACTCATGAGTAGGCCTGGTGGACATGAATCTCAGGGAAAAAAGCAAGAAACGTTCCATTGCTGGAGGTTGGATAGGAACATAATTTTGATACTCGTGTGGGGATTCATTTTTTTTTTGATTCCTTTGTTCCCATTTTTCTGCATGAAATTGTATTGCATAAAGTATTTCCAGAAACAAGGTCAAGGCCAAAGGCCAGTCCTCACAGACAGGACTCCAGCTCCGGTGCCCGTAAGTTCCATCATATCGCAACCGTCACAGCGCTGCTCCTATCCGAACACCTCCATTCCCAACTATCTCATAAAGAAATTTAGCGGGACTTGGCGGCGACCTTGGGAGCAGAGCCCTTAGCACCCTGCTTGCTCTGAATGCGCTGGGCACCGCCCTTGGAGGCGGCGAGCTTGGCCTTCTCGGCCTTCTTGGCGCTGGCGGAAGCAGCCTTCTTCTCCTTGGCGTCCTTGATGGCCTGCTTGCGAGCAGCCTCACGAGCCTCGGGGCGCTGGGAGCGGCGCTCCTTGATCACATCGAGGGAAGCACCAACGATGGCACGCTGGTTCTTGACAACACGGCGGGTGCGCTTCTTGGCGACCTCCTATATTTCCAAAAAGATGACCCGGTCAGTAATCTGCAGTCGCATTTTTCCTTCACTTGATCTGAATCATGGTGGTGACGTGACAATTCCTCCTCTTGCTCCGTCTCATGGTTCGCAGCACCACTCGATTCGGCCTTTGGTCCCTCCACACAATCTAACAATAATCCAAGGGGAGGGGCGACCGACCTCAGAGATACCCTTGCGGTGCTGGCGACGGAAGAGAACAGTCCATGCGATGCGGCGGGGGTTCTTGCGCTGAAGGAAAAGGGACTCGGACTTTCCACGCTGGAAGCGGAAGATCTTGCTGTCGCCACGGACGAACAGCTTGCCCTAAAACGTTGAACATCAAATATTAGCTTCTAGCAGCAATAAGAAGACGGCGGAATTCATGTGCGGCGGTTCGACTAAAACAGAGTGCGACAATTGTGACGGTAGTGAGATATCGAAGTTTGAATGTCGAATCCGTGATGCCGTTGTTCCCTCGCACACAAATTCCTCCCAAAAGCGACGACGGGAACTGCAAACGCACCTTGCCAGGGTAGATCTTCTGGCCGCTGAAGGCGTCGTCGTAAGTACGCATCTTGACGGATGGAGATGCGCTGACGGGGGTCGGTTGGCGTTGAGTGGTTGTCGTAAATCGTGGATCGCGGTGATGCTACTGACCCAATTGTGGTGCGGGCGCTCGCTAAAGTGCGACACGTGACTGCCTCTGCCCTTTCCGGGTCGACTTATCGATAACGTCACATGACATCTATCTCTCCTCCAATGCTTTGATTGCTCATGATCTCTGACCAGGACAGTTGAATTTTATCACTTAGTCTCTGCTTCATTACCACGAGTCCAAACGATTAAATTATCGAAATGACAAACAAAGCACAAGTTTTTCTAACAAGTTCATGACTAAACGCAACATGGAATTTTCGCTGACTAATTGCTCCTGGCCCATGATGAAGTCGCATTTCATTTGAATCCGGACTACGTTTATAGGTGAAGTGTTTTGTGGTAGAGTGGCTCAAGCAAAATCCTCATATACAACTATGTGGGCTTGGTGTCAACCTGCATAGTTGGAGTACATCTCTTTTTCAATGGCCCTTTCTATCAGATTTGGAAGTTAGGAATAGACAAAGTCCCCTGGTTACACATGGAGAGGTGCTCTGTATACTGGTTCAAGCTTTGACCGCCTTTTTTTACACCCAAACAGCCATCTTTTACATATGACGCCCCCAATGTCACATTGAGCCAAACAGGCTATTAGCCCTGTGTCGTCAAGGCCTGAGACGGCAAGAGCGGCTGGCTGTTCTTGTTGACGTACACAATTCTCAAGGTGGGAATTACACCAGTGGAAACGATAATACGATCAGTACACCACAGGGACCACAATAGATGTGTGATGGCGGATGTGATGAAAATTGCAACACGCTCGACGAGGTTGTTTCTCTGCAACGCTTTGTGGAGAAGGCTAGAATGAGTTGAGACAAGGGTAATGGGAGGAAACGAGAATGAAATCCTACTCAAAGCAAGAAGGTTACCCAATAACAAACGCTTGGAATCTAATGCCTGCTATGACAAAAGAAAGGGTTGTCCTACACTTCATGATCACATAACACTAGCGCACTTAGGTCATAGCATGTGTCCGAGTCCACTCCTTTGCTGTTTGGATCGCAGCAGGCTCATCATCCTTCCATCTTTGAGCAACGTCGTTGGCGAGCGGGTCATCGGGATTCGGGGCTCCAAGCAGTGCCTGAATTGAGAGTAGAATTGTACGAATCTGGAGAGCTGGGGACCAGTTATCTAAAAGCCATGGTTAGATTTTCACACCTTGAGAACAAATCGTGGTGCATCTTACTCTTCAAGACATCCAAACAGATACGACCGAGACGATCGATGTTGGGGTGGTAGATCTTGGTCAGGAAGCGGATTTTGGGTGGGGTCATAGGATAGTCATCTGGCAGGAAGAGCTCAAGTCGGAAGATACCACCTGCAGAAAGTGAGTTAGTACTTCAATTGACACGATGATCTTGTCGCGGCGAGCCTACCCTCGTAAGGAGATTGCGCAGGTCCGTGAATTGAGACGTCGAAATAGCGAAGGTTATCGTCATGGGGCACAGCATTAATACCCGGAACACTGTAACCCAAGCACAACTTGTTAGCTGCTATGTAAATGACTCTTTGAGCAAGATGAGCTGCTTACGGCTCTGCCATCAAACGTTCCGTCTCCTTAATGATTCTCTTGGGTAAAGCCATGGTGTGCCGGCTTGTCAACACGGGTGTGGACCTGATTTAGTAGTTTCAGACGAAGAGGTGATTCCTAATGGAGACCAGGAAGTTGTACACTTTCGATGTAGGTTAGGACCACAGGATACAATCAGAAAAATTCAACACAAAAAACACATCCAGGTCTCGACATAAACGGCCGAGGGGCCCTTGCATGGCGGGGTCTTTTCGCGTCCCGTATGCGAGATCATGTGATGTCATAATCCCGCGGCGACAGCCACAGCCACAGCACCAGCCACGATTCTGTCTTTATCGCGTTATCGCAACCTGACTCTCCAGCCTTTGCGACAAGTTGAGGATACAACAGCCCTATCTAACCTTGAAACAGGTATAGCGGATTCCCATTGTAGAAAATGGGAAGAGGTACAGGACTACCAAATACACTTGGTCTTGCGTTATATGCATGGATAGACCTTTGACTGCTCGGTTCCTACAAGATCGCGGCCCGACGAACACCGGAGAATAAACAGAGCGGCACTCACAGTCAGCATGTCTAGCTCGATGGAACCGAGGCCTCTCACGTCGGCTATGGAGAGCCCGACGTTTGAAGAGGACAGCTCCTTTCATGTAGAGCAACCGGTGGGTTCTATGTCAATATCCCCCTGTGGACGCGATGTCGTTCTAGCGTCCAAGGAGGGTCTACATGTCATCGATCTGGACTCGCCATATTCCCCGCCGCGGTATCTCCCTCACCACACACCATGGGAGGTAGCTGATGTCCAGTGGTCTCCATTCGCTGCGCGCGATCAGTGGGTTGTCAGTACATCCAACCAAAAAGCGTTGGTCTGGAATTTGGCCATGAAGACATGGCAGAACTCCATTGAAATTGTGCTTCACGCCCATTCTAGAGCAATTACCGATATAAATTTCTCAGCATTTCACCCAGACATCCTAGCAACCTGTTCCGTGGACAGCTTTGTGCATTGTTGGGATTTACGTACTCCGTCGCGGCCCGCGGTCTCATTCTCAGATTGGTATACTGGTGCAACTCAGGTTAAATGGAATCGACAAGACCCTCATGTCATTGCAAGCTCTCATGACCGGTTCCTTCGGATTTGGGATGACCGGATGGGTGCATACCCAATTAAATCTATTGAAGCACATGACACCAAGATTTATGGGGTTGATTGGAATCGGGTTCGACGCGGTGCTCTAGTAACATGTTCTTTAGATAGAACCATCAAGTTTTGGGACTACACCACCGACTCAGATGTTCCAGAAAAGCAGATTCATACACCATTCCCCGTGTGGCGGGCACGTAACACGCCGTTTGGATGGGGCATGCTTGCAATGCCACAGAGAGGCAACAATGACCTTCATCTTTACAGCCGGCGGGCTGGAGAGGGCTCAAGCCCAGAGGACGACTTGCCTTTGGTACATAGTTTTCCCGGGCACAAGGGACAAGTCAAAGAGTTCTTGTGGAGACCACGTGGAGGGGTAGCGGAAGGAATTGACCATCGCGAATATCAACTTGTTACATGGGGAACAGACAGGGAACTTCGTCTGCATAAAGTTGATCCCGAAATTCTGGCGCGCGTCGGGTACGAGAGGGGCAAGTCCTTTATTTCCACACGAACTGTAACACGGCTCGGTGCCGTCTATCGGAGTTTCCGCGACGTGAATTCAGATTTGGATTTCGATGACGTTGAAGTGGCTTCCTCCGCTGGGCATCAGAACCAGAATAGTGCGGCAGGTACTGGGATGAACGCCATCACTGTACCGCACGCTCGTGGTTGGACAAAGGGAGGCCATATTGATCGAGTTGGCATGCAACCGAGGTCAAATTTAAGAGGCGACACAAATCCAATTGCTTGGATGCGAGGTGTGAAGATCTCAGGCTGGGACATTGAGACATTGGGAGATGAAATCAGCCAAGTCGGCGAAAAGTTCACCAAGGTGGCATTCGATTCAGTTGATGTCCGACAAAGAAAAATTTCTATCTCTCTCAACGGACCCTGGGGTGCTGATGGAGCCTCCCTGTTCTTGAAAGTTGATATTAAGTTCCCAATGAGCTATCCCAAGACTGCTATCCCCACATTTGCATTCCAAAAGACGGCAGCCGTCACCGATGAGTGGGCTGCGAAGACTACCGCTGAACTGCGCAAAATTGCTGAAACCTACATGTCCCGAAATCGAGGGTGCCTGGAAGGTGCTGTGCGTTATCTTTTAGGCGAAAGCAGCCTGGAGGACAGTATCGCGTGGATATTGGGTGAAACCGGCGATACCCTCAAGTCTCCTGTCAACAGTGAACTGGAAGGTGAATCCAGCGACGAGGATGAAGTCGGCATGACCCAGAGCCAAGAGCTGGGGATGAGTTCTGAGCTTCTCCGTCCTCTCAATGCCAACGTCATGGTGCCTGTGGCCAAAGCATGCGGAGCGCTTTGGGCAAATGACGGCCGCCTTGTTTGCTTCTTTCCGCCGAAACCAAAGAAGGATAAGTCAGCCGAGTTGTTCGAAAACATGGGCTTCAAAGAGATGACTCGTTGGTCCAGAGGTGATAAAGTTTTTGAAGGCTTCGGCCGGTTGCATACCCACTCACCCGGCCCACGCGGAATGGGAACTATTACAAGCACAGACGATGGTACCTCGGATGACTCGGACGAGTCGTGCTCAGACACATCGAGCTCTTCGGGCTCCTCCGACGTCCTTTCTGGGCTGCCAGCACGTTTCCCAGCATCTCGGACATGGCGCAGTACCGGCAGCTATGGCATCCACCGGCCGCGGTCAACAGATTTTTCTCAGCGGTCGACTGGAGGTGGAGCCACAGTCAAATCAGAGGCACCACAGAACATCGTATCTATTCATAATATGAGTGATATCTTACCTGTTAAGCGGGAGTTGGCGAGTCAATATCGCATCTGTGGCAAAGGAACAGAGGTATGCGCCCATAACGCAGCTGTTGCCCTTGACGCTGGCTGCTATGAATTGGCCCAAATCTGGGGTCTGATAAAGTTGGTATTACATGTCCGGAAAAGTCCCGGCACTTTGCCCGAGTCAGGGCTGTTGCAAAGGCGTAAACACAAAAAGGGGAGCGGAATTGGTGGTCTGGGAAGAGATGGGCTGTATAGAGACTTGAAGGGCAGCATCATTCGCTGGGGCGACCACCCCCTTGGAAGTCATTGGCTTGTCCCTGCTCTCTTCAAACACTTTGAGCGCATTGGTGATGTGCAGATGGTGGCAATGCTCTCATGTGTACTACTGGAAGCCAATCAAGAGGGATTTTTGGAGAATCAGCAAGCCACGCAGACACCCGGGAAACAGGATTTCTCATTGGACTTCTCCACTGTCTCATCGGCAATTCCAAACAAGCCACCAGTTGCAACGCCAGCTTCATCTGTCCTTAAAGAGGTCCAGTCTACGCCCGCGCCTCAGACTTCAGCACGCTCGTCTAGTGATATCTGGCGTCTCGACTCCACTCCTCCGTATTCCACAGGCACTACGCCTCCATTCATCTCCCGTCCACGAGGCATCGCTGCTGACCGAAAGAATCCAAGCCACAGCACCCTCATGGCTGCATCGCCTGATCAGCAATCCCAGACACGAAGTGGATCTGGGCTTGGAACGGTGTTGGCGTCCTCGTTATCTCGTTCATTCACATTCGGACCCTCATCTGCGTCGCCCCCGGTGAGTAGAATGGAAAAGAAAAAATCGACACCTCAAAACAGTCCGAGTGTGGCAACCGGACAAATGGTGAGTGGTTCCAATCCTGTTTTAAAATGCCGGTAAAGTTTGATCTGTCTGACCTTGGCTGCTCTCTAGTCGCAGGCTCAATCCGAAACTGAAAGCGACCACGCGCCTGAGCCTACACCACCACCCGCAAGATTTAAGGTCACATACAAAAACCAAAGTGCATTTGAAAGTGACGGACCAGCACAAAACTCCTTTCTTGACAGAGATGATGAGGAATTGTTGTATCGGTCATACCGCATTGCGTATGCCAATCTATTATCGATTTGGGACCTTCCAGTTCAACAAAGCGAGGTGATCAAGATTGGAGCCGTGGCTGATCGAGTGGACGACTTGACCTCAAGCCACTACTGGAACAGCACCGGTTCCAATGACAACGTGTTGAAAGACTCACAGTCAGAGCCAACCACCAAAGCCCTCGACTTCCAGCGCCATTGCGTTAGTTGTGGTCACGCGATGCAAATCTCCATCTTTAATAGAGAACCCATGGTCCCGAATACCCCCTCCAAGCCACACCAACGTAAACCATCAAGTCGTCGATGCCCCAACTGCAAGCCCCGGCAGCCACTACCAACTAGAATACCTTGCGTCATCTGTGGCGAGGTGGTCGACGGCATGCTGATCCCCTGTCTGAGCTGCGGACATGTGAGCTGTTTCGACTGCCATCGGCGTTGGTTCCTTCGACCGGCCGATAAATTCGACAGCCCATTCGACCACCCAGGCCAGAACAATTTCCTTCCAACCTGTCCAACAGGATGCGGCTGCCAATGCTCCGAGCACATTTCCGTTGATGTCCCCATGCCCTTGTGGGAACCGGCATTCCCTGGCCCCAAAGAGTACGTACCCAACACCCAGCGCGGCCTTGTACACGCGAGACACTCTCATCGCCGACAATCTGAGCCTGTTGCCTTGGCTCCCTTCCGGAAAGAGCCACCGCCCCCTAAGGGGGCTGGCCAACTCGAACACGATTTGGCTGTGTGGCAGGATTCATCGCCATTTGCATCTCTGGCGCGTGGTCTCGGTGGGGGGCTGAGTCGTGGCTTGCAGACGAAAGACGATCGGAAGATGATTAACTCTGTCACCGTGGCGTCGAAATCAAGAAATTCTTGATTTTTTGAGGTTGGCGTTGTGCGGTTTTTTTTTGGGGGGGGGGTTTGCATTTATCCATGACTTTCTGGGAAGGACTGAGCTCTCAAGAACCTGATTAGACAATCGGGTTCCATGAAACTACACGATTGACACTACCCACATAATCCACCATTGGTGAAGTCGGCTGTAGGTCAAATGCTTCACTTATTCCCATGAAAGGGCCTACTGAGTACAAGATAGATCTAGTAGGCACTACTTCTTCTACTCCGAAGTTTGGATACTGGGCAACTGACTTGCTGACGATCTTGATGTTCTATTGAGGCATTGAGCAACAACAGTGGCCATGAGCACAAGTCCAATATCAAAGCAGCACACCAATCAAAACAACAGCGCATATTTCCTAAGGCTGCATCTCTGCTGTGCAATTAAAGAACGTGAAACATCTACCATTTACGCGGATAAGGAGAACAGAGAAGAATCGACAGAATGAACTCGTGGCTTCATTAAAAGTATTTCACTCTTCAGGTAACAGAGCAAGCAACAGGGCGATCTAAGGATTTGGAAAACCGCTGAAAGCAGAGGAGAGAGACAGTGCTGGATAAGTGCAAAACACATACATCGCAGTCTGAATTCCCAATCACCCAAACAGTGCGCCAGTCCATTTACCCAAATCTATTTTCAAAGGGGTGAATCTACAGCTTCTTGAGGACAGACTCGGCCCTGGAAAGATCAAGGCTGTTCTTGGCGGCCTCCTTGGCAGCGTAGATGACCTTACCGTGGTCGAGGACGATCACGTAGCGGTAGGTGCGGCCCTCCTCATCAGCCCAGCCGATGCTCTTGGAGAACTTGGCATCGGGGTCGGAGAGGAAGAGCTAGAGAAAAAAAAAAGACATGTCAGTCAATCAAGTCCTTGATTCGTTCTGGGAAATTGACCGAGATTGAATGGAGGAGCGGTGGATCACATACAATGTCATTTCCGGTGACACCGTTGGCCTTGCCCCAGGCACTCATGACGTAGGCATCGTTGTAGGCGAGGACGGCGACCTGGTCGACACCCTTGGCGCGGAGCTCGGGGAGCTTCTGGATGTACTCGGGGACGTGGTTGGCGGAGCAGACGGGAGTGAAAGCACCTGTGGAGCGGAGTTGGGGTCAGCTTGGGAACCTTGCAGACGGCATGGAGAGGAGGGGGAGGAGATTGAAAATTTTCGAAAGAGCGGTCACGTACCGGGAAGAGCGAAGAGGATGACCTTCTTGTCGGCCCACTCCTTGGAGGCGTAGTAGTTGATGGGGATACCGCAAGAGGTGATCTCGCCAGCCTCCTCAGACCAGGGGATGTAACTGTAGTCTGTCAGCTGGATGCAATTGAATAAGGTTACTTGATAACTCACGAGAACACCACGTCCTGGGGGAAAGCGTCACCAGCGTTGAAACCCTTGGTAGCCATTTTGAGTATTGAAAGTAAGAGAAGAGAGAAAGAAATGAAGTTGAGTTGTAGATGCGTGAAGAAGAGGGGAAAGGGAAGAAGCGTTGTACTAATAGGTATTTAAGAGGTACGGCTTACACATTTCGGCCCATCGGGATTTATGACGAAGTGGGGACTGGCCCTGGATTTACCTCGCCAGAAGTGAGGTGATCCGAAGAAAGCTACCGAACCACATGGATTATCAAGAAAGACGGCCGAGACTGAGCGTTATCTGATTTATATTATTCGGATTGGACGAATTGGACGAAAGATGAGTCATCTCGAAGTGTTCAACACATGAAGTAGGGGGTAGGCTATTAAGAGAAGTTGCTCGAATTGAGCATTCCTGGCTGTTCCTCGTTGTTCTCGGTGGTTCTTGGAGACGAGTCTCATTTGTGTTCCAAGGCTATTGGCCCAAAATGAGGGACCGAGGTGGGGGATGATGTTGCAGGATGCCTGATTTATCAGGCAAAAAGTGGGATGACAAGGTCATGTGACTGTTGTGCCTGCATGCCTGCATGCCTGCCTCAGGCCAACATCCCACGGGTCGGATCTTGCGAGCTAACACCGGATCTCCAAAGTCTTCATTTTGTTTATAATAAATTGAATGTTCCAGACTTCAAAATTCCTCCAGGAGAATGTCTTCCAGGCACATCCACTCTTCCAGTCAAGTAAGCTCTGCACATGCCACCATATCAAACTCGCTCGTAGACTCTTTGAATCTAGCATCAGTCTGTGTTTGGAAGATCTCATCAATTCTGGCTTAGGAGAAAATGGATCTACCGTCCGCCAGCATCATGCAGGGTCAACCTATGTGACGATCGAACTCCTCATGAAGAAGAAATCAAGATTTGTGTTCAAAGTAATCTCAATCACATAACCTCTGATACACTGAGAGTCGCCGTTTGTCATGGATAGATAGTATGAGCTATATCAACCTGGATGCCGCAGCCGCAACCCAGGTTATCATTTTCAAGAGACGGGATGTGTACTCGTGCGCTCCTCAGCCCTCTTCCCTTGGTATCTGAAGGCATCCGAGGCCCACGGGTTTTCCCCAAACCGAGTAGGAGCACGTGCAAATGGCTCTGGCATCGATCGCGTCAACATGCATACGTCATGTTGGATGCGTGCGAAAGTGGAGGATTGGCCCCGGCTGAGGCCTGTGATAGACCGCATGGATGACCTGGATAGGAGCTTTGTCTTCTGGGGTCTGAGATGTGTAATTTATGGGATACCCATGTAGGTAGACTTGCAGCACCGTTCGCATTGCGGAACGGGCCGACCCCGCTTTGATAAAATTGAACTTGATCCAAAATCTCCTCAGAGCCTGGCTCTGCAATGGAAGAATAAAGGGGGTTCTTTTTTCTGTTTGCATGAGTCCAGATTTTTTGATGTCTTTTTTTCATTTTCAATTTCAACCTAGAACCCGCCGTGAGACGTCTCCAAAAAAATTTGTAAAAGCAAAGTGGCGAGGAACCTACTATTTTAATCTTGCAACTTGGAGGAAATGACACCGACTGAGAGGTCTTCTGCGCAGTTTTGGTTGTATAAGGGGTTTGGTTGTTCCAACCACTATCTTCAGCGCATGTGACCAGTGGCTGCTGGACCGTGTCAGTGACTTTGCAAACCTTGCTAATAGCGGTGCAGATGCCACGGCCAGGGAAGGACTGATGCATTATTTGCAAAATGCTCCAGATGACGAAGGTGCTCAGCACTTATTAAGAGAGTTTGCGATGGGTTTGGTGGATTTCGATCCCCATTTGGTGGTGCCAGGTTACTTCTGTGGATGCCCATTCAACAACTGGAGCACACGAATGATTTGCACCCAGGGTTTGGATTTCCCGATGCTGCAATAAGTAGAAAAGGGTTAACGTGTCGGATTTCTTTCATTATAGATAGCTTTGGATGGTATAGTCACATTCTCAGAATATGGGAATCAGGAGTCGTTGCCGATATTCCAATGTTTTTTAATGTTATAGTTCAGAAGGATTTGAAGCGCTATCGCGAGGACGGGACTGGAATATGCTCTTGATATCTCCAAGGAGATCTGTGGTTGACCCAAGATTTGATAGACTGCGATTGAATATAGTGGGTTGATTTCCTTGTTGGATGCATTGCTTATTTTATGAATTGTTATGAAGGCTGCGGCTGGGTTCCGTCCGAATGATAGGAACAGGAACCCCGAAACCCTCTGTGATAATGCCAGTTGGCCCCCAGATAGCAGGTTAATGTCTTGTGTCATTGACATGGGGTGTCGTCTCCATCCACCGAGCCAAAGTAACAGCTTCCCGAAGCGCCCGTCCAACATGACCACGCACACCAGCCTCTTCCATCACCATCAGCCCGCCAATCGTGCAGCCTTCGGGAGACGTTCCTTGATCCTTCAGCAGGGCCGGGTGGATGCCACTCTGAAGCATCGTTGCTGTCCCTTGCATCGACTGAAAGATCATGGTATGAGCCAGGTCGCGTGGCATACCAACCGCCACTGCGGCATCAATCATTGCATCGCAAATCACAGCGAAGAAAGCTGGCGTTGAGCCCCCGACGGCAGTTGTAGCATTCATTAACCTCGGATCAACGTGTACTGCCTTGCCGATTTGTTCGAAGATCGACGTCGTTATCTGGAGATACCGGACCGGTAATGCAGGCTCCGATGTTTCAATAGCCGTCAGTGATTGAGACACCTGGGCCGCGATGTTGGGTAATGTGCGTACCACCCAAGCTCTGCCAGCTGTGTTATCGGCAGTGGTTGCGCTGCCGTAGACTGTAGCTTCCAGCTTTTGTCGTGTCCAGCCGGCTGCAATGCTGATTATAAGCTTGTCGGTTAAGGCCTCGCGGAGCCCGGGTTGCGTCAGCACGGCCTCGATATCGGCGGGGTCTGCGCCTAGAATAATCACATCGGCGCTTTGTACGGCATGCACGTTGTTGCCGCGAGAAATGGTTATTATGTCCAAGGACGTGGCAAATCGCTCGGATAGTCTCTTCTCTGAGTTTTCACTACGCACGCATGCTGTGTATCGAGCAAACGGTAGCTCTTTGGACTTCTCTGCTGGTGCATTGACCAATCCGTCTAGGATGGCAATTCCCAGGTTTCCTAGAAGCGTCAGTTGATGTATTTGGCTTGCGGGTCTGCGCCCTTACCACAACCAAGAATGCAAAGGGTTCCATTTTGAATGTCCATGATTGAGTGTTCAAATCAAAGAAGTTAGTAAGTTGTGAGAAGGAAGTGAAAACAAAAGACAAGTTTTGAATTTTGGAGCACATCGGGGACGCTTCCGAGTGTGGAGAATTGATGCCCCGCTCGAATTGAATCGCATGAGCTTGAGTTTAATGAGGTTCAGCAGATTTGAAGAAATTTCAAGATTTTCCAAGACAATCGAGTGTGTTTTTCTCCACCAGCTAATGATCATTTGCTTCTCCTGGTTCAAGTCCCCTGAAAGGGATACATCGATTCCAGGTGACTCCAAGTGTTCGAGTCAACAGCAGCTTTGTAGAGATCAGCTCAAGGGTTCAAGGTAAGCCTACAAGACAGAGATGATATTAGGAAATATAGGACATATAAGAATTCCAGAAAGATCAAACTGGAGAAACACCGGAAGTCCTCCCGACTATCAGCAACAGCTTCCCCTCAGCTCTTATCTTCCTTACTCCAACTCAGAAAATAATTGTTTTCGGGGTGAATGGGCGGGGGGGGGGGGGGGGGGGATACTATATCAACTTAGTAGCCCACAAATAAGCAAATGCACATTGAATTTTTTTTTTCCATCATGGTTTCCACATCGGATTCCATAATCGTCGTGGGCGCTGGCGCCGTTGGCCTCTCGGTAGCACTGCATCTGTCTCTACGAGGCTACACAAATGTCTCGGTGTTCGCAAAAGATGATTATATCCCTGTCGGAGACTTGACAAATGTAGGATACCCCACCAAAGCCAGTTGTTTTCCAAAATAAAGAGAGCAATTTGGATTAACTAATTGCTGATGACTGTTCGATTGAGACATAGGTCTACCGTGCAGCACAAGATGCAGGCGTGCGATTTTTCCTGGGACAGCAAGTCGACCAAATAGTCTACGTAAGTAGATTAAACGGGAGAAAGAACGCTGGAATCCGCACAAGGAATGCCGGATTTTATCCCTCGTCACTGGTCATTATCGAAGCGAGGGCTAGGGATGGCGATTTATCTGAATTTGGCCAGTTGCATGGCCCTGACCCTTTGGCCACACCCCTTTCTTGCTATACCAGCATCAACTCAAATTCCTTCGCCGAATACGTTCCCCAAACATCGTCCTCGGTTATACTTTTGTCGGGAAGCTTGGTACAATCCTCTAAGATGTCTTTGGTGGGACCACTGGTCGTAGATCTCTTGGAGGCAGCGAGTGGTCAAACTACAGTGCAGGTTCAGAAAGGGGAGACTTCACTTCACCCCTGGTCTAAGTTATGAAAAAAGCAAATGATTTCTTCTTCCATCAAGGATGGAAAGAAAATTGATGCATTTATCATCACCCAATAATTCCCGGCCCTCGAAACCGACTTGGATCCCATGACGCCGACCGAGTCCTACGATGTACTTCTACACATATAACCTTTCAAAATTCAACTACAATCTACTTTGTTCAAGGGTCCGACAGCTGCATTTCATTTAAGAATCGTTTTTGACACTAGAAATCAAACTATGAACTCAATGAGTCTATGTTAATAGTGTTGCCGACGAGGCCTGTCGACTCGCTCAGGGTTAACCAATTCAGGAGCTCCTGGAATCAACACAACCCAACCAAGACAGGGGCGACAAAGGCCCATCGCAAAAGCCTCAGTGATACGGAGGACGGGACGTGGATTGGGGCAAGGTTCTCGTCTTTCACGGGCATTCGCTTCTTTACAGCGCTCGATCCACACTGCTTCTGTATGCCCGCAACCACTGATACCGCAGTGGCCGCGATACCATTTATAACGCACTTTACACATGGTGGGTAATGGGGTTTTGGAAAATGGGTAGAGCTCGGGGGGGTACTCGCGATTCTAGCCTTTTCTGGAAAAGCCTGCGATAGTTGGAATACAGGATTAGGAAGAAAATCCACATCTCTATATATAGAATTTCAAGAAAATCATGGAGCGAAATGAAATGAACAACATTGCAGCTGAGTTCCTTTCATCCTGAACTTTGCCTTGTTTGAGACACAGAGAATCCCTTTAGGATGCAATCAATTTTGAGAACAAGTCACTTGCTGATATCTTTGTTTCGAATTCAACCGATTTCCATATACTCAAATTCCACCTGATCTTCATTGTATTCTTTGCTACATTATCATGCGGATTGTCTATCTGCATACAAAATTGGAAGGATTTCATAGGCACTATCTGCTACAAAGAAGGTCAGAATTAGCGCGAAGTAGTTATGGAGTGTTTCCATTCGCCTCGCAATCTGCTCTTTTTAATTATATTATAAGAGCCCTAGCTTAATTATTTAAAAAGAAGAGCTTTCTCTCATCTGTGGGGCATGATTGGTTAGCACTTCCAGACAATCCATCACATCGACGAAAGACAAAGGAAATCCACGAACGCAAGAAAAATCAGCAAAAATTTATTCCAAAGTTTGTATCTATGTAGCACACGCAGAATGCCCAATAGACTGACCTATTCTGCGGACTTGAAGTTTCCCCAATTATCCAACGTCATACAGTGACTCCTCCGCAAAAGTGCCAACACCCCAAATTCTGCCTGCTAAATATCTACCAATCAAAAGCTAAGGGAGAAAGGACGGTCTGTCAAGTTAGAGAGGCGGTAAGATAAATCAGGAAGGCGGTAGCAGAAGGGGTGCTGACACTTTTGCGGAGAGTCACTGTATGTAGGGCTCGATATGAAAATAGTACGATCTAGTCAACCCACCTCTCCACGAAGGCGTCCAAGCGCCTCATGAGCACCACACAAACATATGCGCCCAATAGGATCCATAGCAAGGCTTTTCCCTTGTGGGGGGAAGACAGTGGCTTAGGATTTCTACTCTTGTTTCTTCTGTTTCTAACTAAAATTTGGTTCGAAGTTGCTTTTTTTTGCAAATGATGACCAGGCACCTGACCAGGATCCAGAGATATATTTGCGACGGACGTCGACCAAAAATACCAGTTCTCAAAAACAGTCAAGCAAGCATGCCAAATCGTAAGCCAGAATAGTAAGAAAAAATAAAACTCATTCGTGAAACTGACCAATTTCCTACAACACAAGTTACAAGCACCTGGGAGTAAAACTCAGTACAATGTCTACCTACAGCTGACATGGCCAGGGATCTACCCATCAAATCATGTCATTTCTGACATGACGCTAAATCACAAAAAAAAAGATTCATACGTTAACCTTCATCCGTAACATTGGAAGGATTTTTTTTGCGACAGGCAAAACCAATGATTGGTAACAGGACGACCCTGAGGCCCCAGCAACGTTGTGCAGCCTGTGGAGATGACTAAAGCTGTCTACGGGTCCCGCATACGTGTCTTGGTAGAGGGTAAGCTTCCCAACCTTGCAATCGGACAAAGACAAGCTTGACTGCATTTCCCCCGAGATTCCCACCATGACAGATCTTAAACCGCCCTTTACTGAGGAGACTGCGCTGAAGAAAGTCAAAGCAGCCCAGGATATGTGGAATACGAAGTACGTCTCAGATTTCTTGTTTCTATGACCCTTGACAGGCCATGTGTTCGAAAGAAGGGTGTTGAAGGGTTTATCCCTTGCATTCTTGCTAACTTGTATTTGTTTGTCTGTGCGGATCGCCCTGGACACATACGGATAGATCTCAACTGGGAAAGGTCCATCTTGCGTTTGAGATGAACGCAATGTTAGATGACGTAACGATTCTATTGCCTGCTCTGACCATGTGCGAATAGGGACCCCGCCCGAGTCGCGCAAGGATACAGCCCAACATGTATCTGGCGTGTTCGAGATTTATTCTTTACCGGGACAGAGTCCATCGTCGCGTTTTTGGAAGGGAAATGGAAACGCGAGCGTAATTATCGACTTCGGAAGGAACTTTTCGCTTTCCGGGATGATCGCATAGCTGTGCAGTTTTGGTATGAGTTTCAAGACGTGGAAGATGGAATGCGCTGGAAGAGGTGCTATGGATTGGAAGACTGGACATTTGATGAGACCGGGAAGATGTGCAAATGTATGATGAGTGGAAATGATGTCCTGATCGGATCGGATGGTAATGGTGAGGGGAGATGGTTTGCAGATGAGGTTAACGTAAACGATGTACTTATTAGTGAGCAGCACTGGTAATTTTACTAAGAACAGTCATGTGTCTGATGGTAGAATCGGATCAGAGGACGTGATGCTGCTGTAGATCTCCCTCTAAACTGCGTCTGAAAAGGGTACGCTCTGCGGGGCTATCTGGACTCTTAATTTGACCACAAGAGCCGGATATTAAACCGTGAAAAGCTTAGGAATACGGAATGTCTAGCAAAAATTGACCCCTGGACAAACAAAGTGGTCAGTGGTTGATTTGTTACCATGCCCCTTCGTTTGGAGAATGCTATCCGTCGATCGTAACTGATGTTGACAATGAGAGCATTGTACGAGGCTACGCAGAACGAATTCATCTGAGTCAGGACCCAAGGTCATTCTACAAAACAAAAAAAGGGGGAGATCCTTCGTTATAGCCGCCAGTCGAGGGAAGGAAAAACATGGGAAAGTGGGAATAGTGGCATAGAACTTTGAGTAGTTCTGCCTCGGCACAACTGAAAGATCAATTAACACAATAAAACCAGGCAAACATGCCTACATGAAGTCAAACAGGGCCTCGTAGATAGTAAACAGTAAACAACAACAATGGTCATGGACATTCCAATGGGAAGATAGGAATCTTTCTCATTCCAGTCCAGCCGAAGTATGCCAACCACTTGTCCTTCATGAAAATTGGCAGTTCCGATATTTTGTCCTCTTGTGTTTTCATCTCAGTTTCAATCAAGCTTTGTCGCTGGAGGTCTTTTCTGTTCCTTCGCCCGTTGCATCTAGAATCGACGATGTGGTGTTGACCTTCCCTTGTCACTCTTTAATTTCTCTGATTTCTTGACAGAAGACTTTGGAGCCGTTCTTTACCCCAAACTTCGTTTCTTGGGCGCTCAAAAAGAGTTGTGCAGTTTTTTTTGCGTTCGACATAATTCTCTGTGCGTTGGCCATTGATATCTTTGTTGACGAAAGGTCAGCTAATGGGAGTCTAGATTGACAACGAATCCCCCAACTCGCCAACACGTCCTACAGTACCTCCACCATGGACCAGATAATGTCCGATGTCAGTGACCATCAGAGGAGGCGCCAGCCCTTGAGAGATGTGTCAAGCCGGATGAACAACCCCAAGTCGCCAAAGGTCGAAACACCGCGCCTGAGGATCCAGGAATCCGAGCAGCTGAAGAGTCCTGACCGGATGTCCTTTCTAATGACTCCAACTCCACAAAGAAACAAGGAAAACGAGTTCCTCTCCGTGGCTAATGACCTACAACCAGACTCGGCCCGCAACTCCATCATGTCTGCCGCTTCCCTTCTGTCACTCAAGGGGAAAAGGAAAACACATGTGGGACCATGGCAGCTGGGGCGGACACTGGGGAAGGGTGCCACTGGACGGGTTAGACTAGCCAAGCATGCTGTCACCGGACATACGGCCGCGATTAAGATCGTTTCGAAAAAGTCCGCTTCGATGGTTCAGAGTGAGAGTATCGCTGCAATGGATCGTAACATAGGAAATTTCCCTGCCAATCCTGCCACCAGACAAATGCCCTGTGGAATTGAACGCGAAGTGGTCATCATGAAGTTGATTGAACATCCAAATGTGATCAGTCTCTATGATGTTTGGGAAAACCGCGGAGAATTGTTCGTACCGACCACCTTCAAAATTGAAAATGTGCTAACGCAATTTTTAGGTATCTTGTCCTTGAGCACGTAGAGGGTGGAGAGTTGTTCGATTATGTATCACACAATGGACCTCTACCAGAAGAAGAGGCAGTGCGACTGTTCCGACAGATCATTGCGGCCCTAGGGTATTGCCACCGTTTCAACATCTGTCACCGGGATTTGAAGCCGGAGAACATTTTGCTTGATGCAAATCACAATGTGAAGCTGGCTGATTTCGGTATGGCCGCCCTACAACCTGCAGGCCACTGGTTAAACACTTCGTGTGGCAGCCCTCACTATGCAGCACCGGAAATCATCTACGGCCGAAAATATCGCGGTGACAGAGCAGATATGTGGAGCTGTGGCATCATTCTCTATGCACTTTTGACTGGTTATCTACCTTTTGATGGAGGCGACTTGGGAAGCACGCTGCGACTTGTGAAGAAAGGAGACTACATGATCCCTTCCGAGTTGAGCCATGAAGCTGCCGATCTGATCCAGCGTATCCTCCAGAAACGCCCAGAGGATCGTATATCCATGCAAAACATTTGGCTGCATCCACTGTTAACCAAATACGAAAAGCTTCATAATGCCATGGTTGATCACTACGTCGGCCCACCTCCCGCTTTGTCAGTGAAGGATTGCGGACAAACCCTGTCCTGTCAGCAAGACATTGACCTCGACATCCTTCGCAATCTGCAAACATTGTGGCATAATGTCAAGGCCGACGACCTGATTCAAAGGCTTCTCTGCATTGAGTAAGTACTATCTATTAAGCTTCAAAGTCACTTCTATGATGCTAACAAACCCCTCAGACCGACCCACGAGCGGATGTTCTACAACGCTTTGGCAAAATTCCGTGACGAACAGCTGGAGAACTACCAAGGACAGCCTCTAGAGTACTCAGCTAGTGACTATCACCACATCTCTCGACCCGGTGGGAGAGTTCGTCGAGGCCGCAGCCAGACAGGTCAAGGCAGCTCCAAGCGCCGCACTCAAATCTCATCTGTCAAAGACTTCCCCCGTCCCCTCAGCTACTTGCAGGAACCGATGTCCTCCGGTACTACGGCGAGCTATGATCCATACAGGTCACCCGTTCACAGTGGCACAACGTCTGAAGCACAGTATACTCATGTTATTGTCCATCGACAGTCAACAGAGCAGTCTCAAGCTATTTTATCGTCGCCTAGGGTGAAGCCTCCCCCTCCCATTGCGGAGGAGCAAGAGCCAGAGGAATCAGGTGGGCCCGATGAATCCCCATTTACTGTTCTCCAGAAGCGTAAGCACGGGCCGAGTTCCATGAAGTCTTTCGTCTCTTCGAAAGTGCCTCACTCCAGTTCCCGTGCTCCGGGATTGTCCACACACTCCATGAGCTATCGTCGTAATGTCTCCTTCCACCACGCTCGCAACCGCTCACATGGATCCACAACTGCCAAACCCAAGAAAAGGAAGATTGCTCCATCAAATCAACAGAATGATGTGAGGAGGTCACCGAGCACCTGCAGCTTGCAAATTATGACTGATGCCGTCGATCTACTTGACATGCCAAGCAGCCCACCCCTGCCAGCACAGCCAACCGTGGTTCGAGCTAATGGTCCGAAGGTCAAGAGTCTGGGGCAAGTCAGAAAGGTTCGCGATACAGACTACACGTGGAGGGAGGACACTCGAAATGTCTCCCATGAGCTGAGCCAGATCTGCGAAGAGGCATTCAATGGAAGCTCTGTTACAACCATTCGCACCACCAGCTGTGGATCTGGATACGAAACTCCGGGGACTCCAGTCTCTATGGCAAGCCCTGAGCAAGTTAAGCGGAGTTCGACGATCCCGGTGTCTCATTCTTCCCAGGAGTCATCTCGGTCTTACAATATCAAGGAGCTTGTTGAAACACGTCAAAAGCTTATTGAGCACAGCCGGGGTCGAAAGGACAACGTTCCCGCTTATCTTTCTGGTGTCATCAGTCATCTAGATCGCTTGATCAAAGAAGACCAGGCCCATAATGGTACGGGATTGCAGCTGGATGCAGCATGTTGCCAAGATCCCTTCTTAAGTTCGCCAAAAGAGGCCATGCTCCCTGTTATCAATGAGAATTGCGCAAGCACTCTCCGCGACCCCAGTGAGGCCTGTTTACGGTCTCAGCAAAAACCAGGAACTTACCTCGCTTCGTCCCAGGGCGATGCTAAGGCAACCATTCGGATGGTCCCCCATAGCTCACTCCCATCCATGGAGGAAGTCAAGCCCCTAACCATTCGTAAGAAGAACTATAGCAAGTTCGCTTCATCAGATGTTCATGAATTTGCTATGGGTGACCCCACGGGTGGCAGTTTGAACTCTTCCATTGGATCTCGACACGCTGCTCAATCTAGTGGACTGGCTCCCATCGAAGAGATTCCTCTGTCCCCCAAGAAATCAACAGCTCGTGCTCCTGAAGGAAAGAAATGGTCATGGTTTAAGAATCGTTCTCAGGGCTCTGATAATTCCTCTGCTCTTCCACTCAAGGACGGCCATCTCATCACTCCCAGTGGAGGCACGACTGTGCACCATCCAATCACCTTCCAGCCCACTTCTTCTTCAAAGGAGGAGCCCGTAGAGCGAGTCCCAAGACGAAAAACTTCTATGGATCGCTTTGGCGGTGGCTTTTTCAAGAAACTCTTGACCAAAAAGACCACCCAAAACATGGAAGAATCTCCTTCTCGTGAGTTTTAGCACTAATCACTTTGAGCTCTTCGTTCTAACCTATCTACAGACAATGAGAGAGACCTCCAATCCACGCCAACTAAGGATAATCGTCACTCCTCCCTGATTTGCAAGGGACTTGCAGATACCGATAGTTCCGTTGAAGCTGATGATACCCAAAACCCACCCCACCACAAGCGCCGCTCCATTGCCAACCACAACTGGCTCGCCCGGGTTTTCCAAATCAAGCCTGCTACCCAAGTTATTGCGCTCAATACATCAAAGGTGAAGGGACGCAAGGAGCTCTATAAACTACTTCGCGAGTGGCGGGATTTCGGTATGGAGGATGTGTACCTGGACAAGACCAACAGCATTGTGCACGGTCGTGTCAGCGAAGCCAATTGTAAGTCACTCCTCTGATCCGATTCGACACCTATTCTAATCACTGTTTAGTCCTCCATCTTCGAGAGGTTGAGTTCACTGCCGAGTTTTACACTGTCCTCGAGCACGGCCTCCAGGCCAACCTGAGCTTGGTGCGCTTTAAACAGGAGCGTGGCGCCGCTTCATCCTTCAACAAGGTCGTTGAGACTGTACAGAGCACACTCATGCGTCGCGGCATGGTTGTTGAAGACCCATCTCGTGCAAAGAAGATGGCGCGCGTTCTTGACTCAGTCCCGAACTACCGTTAAGTTGTGTTATTTCACAATCCATTTCCTTGACATTTCCGAGATTTTTGCCATGAAGTTTATACTTCAAATACCACCGTTAATCAACTATCGTCTCTCGCTTTCCAACATTGCTTTCGCAATACACCCTCCAGCATGTTGCGTTCCAGCCCCGCAAAAGCAATTCCTTTGCATTTCATGACGTCTGATCATTCACATCCACACTCGTTTTCATCTCATGTAAGACCCGGCCACCACACAGCGGTAGTAGTACAGGTCACACTCCTGGGTCTGTCTTATTTTCCCCCTCAACTATCTCTTTTGTCTGTCAGGCACTTTGTCTACTTGTTAATCATCCTTTTCTTTTCAGACTTTGTGGTTTTATTTCTGGATTCCTAGGCTCCTTATTCATTCTTCCATTCTAGCAGATTCTCTAATCGATATTTTTGCTTACATTTCCGGTCTTTGGACTTCAGCTACTCGGCAAAATGCTTAATTTTGCCGAGTCTGTGCCCCAGCTATGCCCTCGATGTTCTACAGAATACAAGCTTGAGGAAAAAATTTCCGTTCACTACAATTGAATCCTGCCATTGTAGTCGTTGTCTTAGAAACCGTCCACGCATTATCTTATTCTCCACGCCTACCTACATAGTAATCCTAAATCCTCCGTTCAGATTAGGGCAAGTCACGTGGTGGGTCCGTACGATGTACCTCTGTCGGTGCATGTGCCCCTTCCCGGTTTACATTGCATATACGCACATATGGGGTCTAGATAGCATGCTAGAGGGGGTAGGTGCATGATGTAGTATGGAAAGAATGCAATACTCGGCCTCTATTATGCAGCCAAGATTGCCCCTTTGCAGGGACAAACCTTATAGCCAATAGTTCTGTTTTCCAAGAGAAGCCACTAACGCCTCCGAAACTCCACTCTCAATCAGAACAGAGAATAGGGGGAGTAAGAAAAATACCCTGAATAAAGATAGCACTAAAAAATTTGCACTAGTCCAGATCGGATCGGATCGGATCTGTAGACCTAGGGAGGTTTACTCGGGACAATTCGCATGGTAGAATTTCATCAGAAAGCGCTCAGAGATTCAAGACCTCAACGGTTAGTGGAATAGCATGCGACAACGACTAAATAGCAGAAAGAGTGATCAAACAACCTCCAGATATAGGTATAAGCAGATACTTAAAAACGAAAGACAGGCAACACGTTAAGTCAGGACTTCAAAAAAGATCAAAACAGTTTCAAAGATTATAATCAAGGCAAAGGGAAATAAATTATGACACAGCCGACCCACGTCTGTTAGTTGCGTAGGCGAAAAACACATGGCCACACATACATCATAAGAGATGCTTAGGAGTAAGAAAGAGACGAATGCCTTCCCAATGATGTTAAACTTGAATGAAGAACATCAGTAAAGCACAAAAGCTGTCAAAAGTGCAAAATTGTGATGAGTGTAAACGAGACAAAAACAAATACCCCACCCGGAATTTAAATAACAATGCAGACAATGTCTCCGGCCCCGTAGCTGGGAATTGAGTTCCACGGGGTAAAAAAAAGCCGGGGAGAGTGTGAGATCTGATGACGTCCATATTGCATTCATGCCGGACTCTCATGACATGTGGGTTAAACCAATAGAAACCAGAACATAAACTGTATGCACCTGGAAACCATGTCAAAGCACTCTGCGAGAAATTGCAACTCTTGGATTTGCGATTATTCAGATATCGAGGCCGAGACCAATCGAAAAAAAGAGAGAAAAAAAAAGAAGTGGAAGTAAAAGGTCATATGCCGATAGATCCAGAGTCCATATATCTGGAAGTTTCAGTTTAAAATTCAAATTCATGCTCATGAATCTCGTGGGTTCGCATTTTGTGATCTTGAAATAGATCAGAGAGGGACGTCCTTGTCGCGTTCATCGTCTAGGTACTCGTCATTGTCTGGAATGTCTTTCCGAACCTCCCCTTGCAGCCTAATGCAACGGTCCGACGAGACTTCAAATCTTCCAAATTCCAGCACTCGGAACATAGCTCTCGGACCGTGTGGCCAGCACACGGTTTATTCGAATAGTCATCATTCCTCACCGGTAGCGTACCGCATTCTTCATGCGTTTTCCGGTTTTCATTTGGATGTCGAATACCAGTTTGAAAATTGCTATTGCGGGCCTCGGCGATTCAGCGCATTGAGCATGTTACTATCCGTGCTGGAGCGGCCATGGGAATCGCCAGGGTTCAGCATGTCGCGCACGTTCAAACCACCTCGTTGCGAGCCACCAGGGGTAGAGGTAGGCGGTGGCGTCACAACCCCTGGCTGAGGAGTACCACTTGACTTAATTGGCGCGCTGCCCTGTTGAGCCTGGACTGGGGGTACGCTGACCTGGTGTGGAGTCATAGGCGCCTGGTGGGGATGCATAGGTGGGAAGGGTGAGCCGTGAGGTGAGGAGGAGGGGCGTGCATCGTAGTTGTAAGCCGATGGCGGCGAGGTGCGTCGATCGTGGACAGGCGGAGGGGGATATGCGTAAGGGCTCGGCGTAGTGTGAGTTTGATATCCTGGAGCAGACCCAGCGGGCGTCACGGGTGCCAGATTGGTTGGATCGGGGTACTCAAATCCGGAGTTGGAGCCTCGACGGTGTCTCTGCACATCACAAAATTAGGTCTCTCCCTCTCTTCCTATTACCAGAGGGGGGATGGTGGCCTTACCGGATCGGACATGGTTGACGCAAGGGGCAGCGGAGCACCATCCATGGGAGGTCGCCCGTTTTGATAGTACATCCCTTGAGGCGGCGGCAAGGTGGTCTCTGGGCCCTGTGGCTGCTGTTGAGGGGGCAGAGGCTGTCCGTGAGCGCCGTACAGGACAGGCGGTCCACCGCGGCCCCCTGGTCCTGGTCCATTCTGTCCAGGTCGTAGATGAGGGTAGGCGGTGTGGGCTGGCACAAAGGCTTGGGTTTGCGAAGAGACCGGAGTGAACATGCAGTCTTGGTTGAATCGAACGCAGTTGCTGCACCGTCCATCTGCGGAGGTCTCGAATCCCGAGCAACGAATCTACCGGGCAAAAATTAGCGAGTGGTAACTTGTGGGTAGAGAGGTATCCCCGTACCTTCCGACGCCGACAGTACCGGCATGCAATAGCCGTTCGCTGTCGTGGAGCAGCTGCTTGGTAAGGCGCTTGTCCTGCCTGGGGTCCATATGCATCGGCACGATAAGGACCCGGTGGAGGTGGGAGACGGTAAGGATCTTGCGTCCCGTGGATAGCATTCATCGCTTGTGGATGCGGGTATCTTGGATCTGGATACTGCGCCGGGGAGTATTGTGATGGGGCGTACTGCGGAGGAGGGGGGTACTGCGATGGCGCGTATTGTGCGGGTGGGGGATATTGGTAGGCACGGTCTTGTTCAGGTGGTGGAGGGTAGGAAGTTGGCGGATACTGTGAAGCTATCAGCAACCGCAGCCACAGCCAAGTCACAGTCCTTTAAACTTGCTCTGAGACAGTACATACTGGATAGGAAGCCTGATCATCCGGATTGTTCCACTGGGTGGCTCTGGGGTCCCTAGGATCTCTTGGGTCTCGAGGATCCTGGCGGTTAGGGTCGTGATCATTGGGATTGCCCGACATTGGTGTTGTTGGGAAGAGTAAGACGAGATGAGTCAAGGATGCAGGGATGTGACGTCGAGTTATTGAAAAAGGGATTTCGAATCACACGAACAAAGTGAGCATAGCGCAGTCACGCAGGGGAAGGGGAAGAAGGGCAGATGCAGGCAGATCCCAAAAAGAAAACAGAAAAAAAAATGGAAATTGGGAAGCAGAAGGGGGGGGAAATAAGAAAAGAGAAAAGAAACAGAAAAGAAAAAAAAGAGAACCTCGGTGATTATGACGTGAGCAGGTATAAATAAGTGAAAACCCCACGACAAGATAAGCAGAGAAGGGAAGAAGAAAAAGAAGCTCAGATCGGAATGGGCAGAGAATAAAGGAAATAAATTGAATTGAATTATTTGATTGGAAAAGCACAGGGGAATTTTTAGAGAACGGGGTGGAGCCCGGGCAGCGCGGGCTAAAGCGGCGCCAGTGACCCATAGACATGGAGGGGGGATTGTTATACAGTGTATCTATACACCCGTGGACGGGATTGTATGCATCAAGTTTGTGTGTCCAAGTCGAATACACACATCGATACGTCGAGTACGATGACCTTACCTTACGCTTTCATTTCGTCAAGTGAAACATGGGAGACAAGACTTGGAACCATGGATGTGAATCTAGGGTACCAGATTCCCGTTGCTATGAAGCCGTGCGCGGCGACCGTCCTTTTTTTTTTTTTTTTATTGTCTTCTTCAACTAGCAGTAGCGCCCGACAATGACTTTCCACGTTTTCGTCACTCCACAGTGCTACCGGAACAATATATCTACAGAGTGAAATTAAAAAAGTTCTACGTGACCAGAAAGATTGATTCAACTATCAAAATTGACATCATCAATGTGGCAGGTGACCTCTCATTTGCATGGACCAGTCCCTGCACGTCAATTCCTCCGAGTGACCCTTGCTGCGTAACCCGTCCAAGGACGAACGACCGCCTCGGACCGTAGTCGCACAACCGCAACCGGCCCCGCGGAACCAGGATCATTTTCCATGGCGATGGGCTCGGGTCGGGGCGATACATTCCTATGCATATGGGGTTGGTTGGATTGCGTTGCATTTAGTTTTTTTTTTTTCATTCCAACCCTTTCATGATATTGTTATACAAACTACCCTGGGCTTTCTTGCCTTAGCCAGGACTACCTAGTTCATCTGAGTACATGGGACTACTGCATGTACCTAGGTACTATGAAAGAAAAATTCAAGCGGTGAAAGTGTGGCGATCAGACTTCAGCTGAGGGAGTGGGATTCAGCCGGACCACTCGCCACTCTTCAACACGGATGGGGCATCCTCAGGAAGACGAAACTTGGATGGGAATAATGGCGCAAAGTCACTGGAAGAAAAATTGTGGCGAGAGCGGATCCCTTTCTGTAGAATGTACCTGGCTT